TGAAGGTTTTGGCTTTTAGAAATTGATTTTTCTTGAGTACCCAGCTGGTTCTTTTTTTTTACATTACTACTTATACACTAGTTCATCCTTTTGCTGCTAGATTGTTTTTTTTATCATTATCTCATTACACCATGTCACAATTTTTTTTTATTATTTACTTTTCATGCTTGGTCTTTTGATTCCCTACATTCAAAGTAAGGGGGGGATGTATTACTATACCAAATACTCCATTGTCTACATCCCATTTGGGCATCCAATGGTACAATCATGAATCATTCGGTAAAGTATTCTTCCATTGTTTATTCCTAATGCAGTCATCAAAGGAAGTATTGACTCACGTTAGTGCCTCAAATGAGATCTATATAACAATCTAGTTTAGCTCCTTTTTATATAGTTGAACTCTTTTAATAAATCATTCGAAGTTATATTTATACACATTTCTTGCAACACAATATGCATCAGAAACTTCTATGGCTTCATATGTCCCTTGTAAACTAGTCAATACTCTATACTCATATGCATAAATTCCGTTAACTGTGTGTGTTTCAACGACTTGTGATCTTCTTTTACCTCTTTTAACTTCAACTTCTTCAGTTCTAACATATGTTAATGAAAATGGCGGAGTACCTTCAAATGAAAAAATAATTTCAGCTTGATCACCTTCATGAATATCTTGAACAATAATATCACCTTCACTAACTTCAACTGATGGGATTGGATGAACACCAATGGTTAATTTTTCTCCTAAATCTTTATTCTCTGGTAATGTAAAATTAACAACACAATTGGATGATGAATCCTGTAATGATGCAATAGAGATTGAACCAGGTTCAGATGCTAATCTAACAAATTGTGATGATTGTTCAACAGATCTTAGATCTAATCCATTAAATGAATAGACAACAGTGAATGGTGGTGTACCAATCAATTGATAACCAATATGATCACCAACACAATAATTAACACTTGAGTCTAATTGACTAATCTTTGGTGTGTCTGTGATGGAAATTGAAATATAATTACTCTCTGAAAAATCTTCCTTAATACAACCATTAGCATCAATGATTTTCACAATTGTCACAATATGATTACCCAACTTCAATCCACGGTATAAATCTTTCAAATCCATTGGTTCTTTGATGTTTTTCAAAGTTAAGAAATCAGATTTTGAGCTGCTTTCATGATAGATTTCAAAAGTAATAGAATATGGTGAATTACCTTGTAGATTCAATTTAATTGGTTCCAATAAATTCTCTTCCAACAAGTTTGTTGTACAAGTTCTATAAGATTTTCTCTTATCTTTGAACTCACCATTAGGTGATGGACTGATTGATTGTTTAACCACTATTTCATCAATACTATAACGTATCTTTGTTAAATCATTCTTGGAATAAACTGCATCATAAACACCATTGATGATATATTTATATTCACCACCTTTATCATTTGGTAATCTTATAGATGCAAATCTTGTGGCGACTGAAATCGATCTTGAAGTTCTTTGACCTGTTGGACTAACGATAGTATAATCAACAACAAATGGTGGAGCACCATATAATGATAAATCAATTGAATCTTCATGGAATTGACAAACTTTAGCCTTTTCGAATTCGTTTGTACCGATTTTGGAAAGTTTTGATTGTTCATTAACAGCCAATGAAGGTTTTGGTTGATAAGTAACCTCATAAGTATCAGCTTTATCCACAGTACCTGAACATAATGAATCTCTAACTGATTTCAATTTATAAAACCCAGCTTTACTAACATCCAAGCTTGACTTATGAGCGTTTCTGAACGATTTATGCAATGCAGATACACATTCACCTTTTGGATCAAGATAATCATAAGTGACATCAAATGAGCCTTCACCTAATAATCTAAGTGGTAATTCAGCTCTATCACCTTCTTTAATCTTAATTTTTGTGGTACCATCTAACGGACCGAATCCAATTGAAGGAACTTCCCTTCTAACTGCAATTTTAGCGTCAGCACCATTCAAATTAACAAGACAACCTGAATTATCCTCCACTGCAGTTAATGAAACGATATATTCACCACCAGTTTTAAAATCAGGAGTAATAATTTGATATTGATCATTCTTGATGTCTTTAACAGAATATGGGATTCTTTTATTTGTTAAAGTTTCAATAATATCGTAATCTAATGAGAATGGTGGTTCACCTTTAAATTGGATTGGAACATGACCTTGAGAACCAAGACATAATGAGCCAGTTTTTTGATAGTTGTGAATTTCAGCACTTGGTTTAACTCTCATTGAGGTTTCATATGTAAAATCAGAACTTGGTGATAATTGAATAGGTTCAACATATAAACTATCCATTAAATTGTTGAATGAAATTTCATATTTACCTTCTGCATGTGGTTCATAAGAGAATCTATATCTTGTACCTTGTGAAACTAATTTACTTGAACCGAATGGCCTTTTCTCACCATTTTCAATACGATGAACAGTTTGTTGTAAAGTGAATGGAGGTGTACCAACAAATGATAAATCAAAAACTAAACCAACTTGACCAACACATGAATCAGTTATTGGTTTGGAATTGATGTGTAATTTTGGAACAACTGGTAATGAAATTGAAACTGATGAGCGACCTGTGATGATTGCAGGACAGAATTTGGTTTTGACTGATTCTAAGGAATAAGTACCTGGCTTAGAAACTGGTAGTTCTTCTGATGGATGTTTGAAAACATGAGTGAATGTATTGGTCTCACTTTCATCTTCACTGACAAATTTGATTGTTGCTTCATATGGCGCAGCATCAATGGTATTTGAGTCAATATCAAGGAATATAGATTTCTTGGTGGCTGCATCTCTGTTTAATTTTTCACTCAAATGTAATTTTGGTGAATCATGTGCATAGAAACTGTGCAATAATTCATAACTTTGGAATAATTTGTCATCTCCTTTTAATGTTTCAGTGAAATTAACCAAGTTACCTAAACCATCCACAATCTCTTCAATTCTATAACTATAATCACCAAGTTGTTTGATTGGATTTTCAAGTTCAACTTCCACTGGGATAGATTTTGCCCATTTCAAGTTTGATAAATGTTCCCTCGATAATGATCTCGTAGAGCTATGGCCTAATAAAGGACTATTGAAAAATTCAGGTTGTAAACTTTGATCATTGAACTCAAGCACTTCATGATTAATCAATTTCTTGTACTTCAATTTTAATGGTGGCACACCAGTGATCGTAAATTTTACCACATCTGTATCACCATAACATCTATCACTTTTTAATTCATCCAAATTATTAATCTCAGCGGTTGGACAAGTTGGAACAACTAATGAAGAACGATAATTTCTTAAGCCTAAATATTTTGAATCTAAAACTTGACTTATTTCATAAAGACCAGTTTGAGAGATTGGCAAGTTTAAATAATGGATATTGGGTCCGGAAATTGAATCTCTTTCATAATGTTCATTGATATTGCTTGATTCAAATTTCTTGATGTCCTTTTTGGTGTAGTTTAATAAAATTGGAACATTTGTTTCCAAGTCCACAAATTTGACTTGAATGAAATCAATTTCTGAAGTAGAATTGAATCTGATTGGAACATTAACTTTGAAATTTCTAACACCAGATGGTAAACAAAAACTGTCACCAAATGGATTGAGGAAAGCAGTATTCTCTGGTAAGATTTTAATGGTATGTGAACCTTTGAAATGCTTTGTTGGATCATAGTTTTCTGCTCGACTCGAACTTCCCAAAATTGTGAGATCTCTGCTATTAAGTTGCTTCCAGGCTTGAAATAAAATAGCTGTTAATGGGAAACTTAAATCACTAGCTAAGAACAGGTTTATCACTAGTAATAAAATGATTTGTAAAATGACTGTAGTCTTTTTGAATGTCAACGATGGAATTCTGAATGCTGGCAAGAAATATAGGAAAGCTGAATCATATATGATATACTTTGCTATGAAATTGAAATGATGACTTGGGAATCCCAAAAATGTTGGAACTGGTAAGTTACTTTTCAAAAGTATCAAATCGTAAACTTTGTATGATTGAATGATGGTAAACAAGGCAACAGCAAATGCTTTTTGTGAGCCAATGTCTAGAATTGTTGGGGGTATTAGGGTATCTTCTGATAGGGTAGGTGCTTTAGGTAATGTTTCTTTGAAATGTTGATGTTTTTCCTCCTTTTTGATGGTTGGAGCTTCATGATGATGATGATCGAGATCATGATCTTTAGCAAGCCTGTGACGAAACGACGATGGTGAAGCGCTCACAGGGTCCCCATACAGTTCAGTCAATCTCTGTCTTCTAGACCTCTCCATGGTGGATTCTGCAACAGCGTGGACTCAATGATTGGACTAATTGTTGTTGTTTTGAACTTTGGTTCCTTCATTTTTTGTTTACAATTTTTTTTCTGATGGATCAAGACATTTCGCGGAAAGTGTGCGCCGTTCAGGAATATTTCATAGGGTCCTTCAGGAATTTGCTTATTAGTGGCATAATGGTGCCATTTGAAGGTTGAATAGACTGTGTATGGTAGTAAAGCTAATTAAAGACAATTATAATTTAATTTTAATGCTTTTTTCGGTTGATTCAATCCGTTATTTAAAAATTCATTGAATCTTACCTAATCGCTCAGTACATTCTGACATAATCTTTGGCCCATTTCTGAGCAGCATGATACGCTTCGAAGACCATCTGACACCAATGTTGAACAGAATAGAACTAAACAACCACAGACACCAAAAGAAAACACCTTTCAGATCATTTGAGACTCTGTCAGTTTCGTGTATATAAATATTTGAGAGAAAAACGTTGGTTTCGTGTCTGTTTATTTTCCTCAATTTATCAATTCAATCTTTTGAGAGTTTTTGAAACCCCGTGAACAACATTATCAATTGAATTGAAACCTACAAAATGTCCAGATCTTTGGTACCAGCTAATTTCAAGGACATACTGCTCAAATATATCAAATTTATAGGTCCTGGTATCATGGTATCAGTGGCCTATATGGATCCAGGTAATTATTCAACTTCAGTTTCTGGTGGTGCTAATTATGAATACAAGTTATTATTTGCAGTCTTCATCTCCAATATATTTGCTGTGCTCCTTCAATGTCTTTGTGTGAAATTGGGGTCTGTCACTGGTTTGGATTTGGCTCAGAATTGTCGTAAACATTTGCCTTCCTGGTTGAACCTGTCTTTATATTTTTGTGCTGAATTGGCTATTATTGCTACTGATCTTGCTGAAGTTGTTGGTACTGCAATTGCATTAGAAATCTTGTTCAAAATACCTTTGATATGGGGTGTCTTGCTGACTGTCTTGGATGTGTTGGTGATTTTAATAGCTTATAGACCAGAGACAAACTCCATGAGAAATGTTCGTGGATTTGAAATATTTGTGAGCATATTTGTGTTTTTAACTGTTGTATGCTTTGTGCTGGAACTATTCAAAATTAGTGTTCCAAATAAACTAACACTCTTCAGGGGGTTTTTACCTTCAAAAGAATTGACTGAAGAAAAAGGGTTATACTTATCTTTAGCTATTTTGGGAGCAACAGTCATGCCACATTCACTTTACTTAGGTTCATCATTAGTTCATTCAAGATTAGCTGATTATGACATTCAGCACAATAAGAAAAGGCCAGTTGATTCTAAAAGACCATCTCTTGGTGCATTGAACTATTGTTTGAAATTTTCATATGCTGAATTGATTATATCTTTATTCTTTATTGCAACATTTGTCAATTCTGCCATCTTGATTGTTGCAGGTGCTACACTTTATGGTCAACCAGATGCTGATGACGCTGACCTATTATCGATTTATGAAATGCTTTCAAGATACATCTCACCTGCTGCTGGTTTAATATTTGCTTTGGCTATGCTTTTCAGTGGTCAAAGTGCAGGTATTGTATGCACAATGGCTGGTCAAATTGTCAGTGAAGGGTTCTTGGAGTGGAGTTTCCAACCTTGGGTAAGAAGAATCATAACAAGAATGATCGCTATTATCCCATGTATTTTTGTTACTTTGACAATGGGTAGAAAGGGAATTGCTGACATCTTGAATGGAAGTCAAGTTTGTTTGTCGTTGATCTTACCATTTGTTTCAGCTCCACTGATTTACTTTACCAGTGTCAAGAAGTATATGCAAGTTGATATTGATGAACAAGACAGTGAACACCATATCTTGAGCTCTAGTGGAAATCCAAGCAATTATGGTGCTATTGCAGCATCTAGAGACGGTACCACAACTGGAAAGAAAACTGTGGATTTCACAAATGGTAAAATATTGACCTATTTGTCTGTTTTAACTTGGGCTACAATTGGATTCTTCAACATATTTTTGATCGTTTCATTGGCCTTAGGAAAAGATGTACATTTTTGAAATAATCTACATACAGCAACGCTTAGATTCAAAGAGAACCCTCTTATTTATTATACAGTACATTTTGTTGTTTGAAAATAAAACAGTATTATAGACTAGATCCTGTAGCTCATCTTCTTGATTTATTCTTCTTTTTGGAATTTATATTTTGAGTAGGAACAGGTAATGTTCCACTGTAATTTGTCTGTAGGATAGGTAATGATGGTGATGGTTTCCAATCAGGTACGTGTCCCGAACTCAATATTATTTCTCTCAATATTCTATTTGCTTTATGATATAACTTTTTTTCTTCCTCTGTTGGGTATGAAAGTTCAGTACTTTCTGACAATCTTTTCTTTTTCAATGCCTGTAATTTGCTTAAAATCTCATTTACAAATTGTGATTCAGTACCTTTTTCAAAAGCTTCAATTTCATCATCATCAATATCATTACCTGGTGCCCATTCATACAAATTATCTAGACTTATAGTTCCAATTTCTTCACTTTGATCATCATCTTTTCCATCTTCTTTTGTAACGTCATTCATTTCAACATCGACATCTTCTTTACTTGTTTCTACTTCCTCATTCTTATCCTCAGTTTTGGTTTTTTCAAAAAATTTAGTATAACCAATTTGTTCAAGCCATAGACGACCTTTATCTTGTGAAGTAACAACTGTATTTTGCTCATCTATAACTGGGGCAAAACTTTGTAAATCACTTCCTTCCAACCATTTAGCAGTTGGCAAAGAGTACCAATTTGGATGCAAAAACCTACTCAATATTTCAGTTGGTGGTAAAGTTGGTTGTGGAATACGACCAACCTGTGGTGATAAGAATCCTAAATTTGTAGCTGGTATTGATCCAGCTTGAGGAACAACAGTTGTGGTGGAGAATGCTTCAGGTGGCAAAATTTCTCTTTCATCTAATGAGGAACGTTGATTCAATGATGAAAATAATGGAACATTGTTTTGTGTGATGATGAAGAAGGCTTCTGAATTACCTAAAGAATATGTTGTTGAAATCTTGACAAAGTCTTGAGACAATGTCTCTTCAAAATCAGAAGGTGGAGTTTCACGCAATGCCTTTTTGTCAGCTTCCTCTAGTTCAGAAATCTGTATATGGAGTCTATAACTTTCTCTTAATATGAATTCAGTTGCAAATTTATAAAATCTATCAATGTCAACATAATGTGGGCTTCCAATTTCTTCATTGAGTAAGGAAATATAGGCTGATAACCTGACATCATGGTATAATGAATATATTGATTTGTAATATGACTTTTCAATTCTATCCAGCACAGTATTTGACTCAAATTTACCTAAATCTTCAACTAATGCATGATAAGATTCACTGATTTGGGTAGGTATACTTTCTTCGAATTCAATTGGAATCTGTGTTTCAAGAACTTTGATGGTCTTATCAGCACTGTCCAATTGGTTAGTATTGAATCCAAGAAACAAATATAACGCGTAACTTACGCTTTCAATACTAAAAAGATCTCTTTTAAACAGTCTTCTATATTCTTGACATTATTTTGTTCAGCTAAAAAGTAAACAGGTCAGTAAAAACGCCCCTTGGTCTAATTTTGAAAGACAATCATTTCAACCTACTTTTAGTCACACTCATCTTGTAACACTCTATTTCCTGATGAGCACGGTGATTGCAACAGTTCTGGATCTCTTGGTCTCACTCTCTTGTGTTTTTCACGATCTCTGTCTCTTCAAAACCAAAAACTCGATCTTGATGTTTATTTTTCTCGTTACACGACAATTTTTTTTTCGAGGATTTTGTAGGGTGTTGACTTCCCAAATAGGGAGTAAATTTGCATTTCGACTACATACATTTGAAAACTCATACAAATCTCTAATTTCACTCTATTTACTCATTAACCCATTGTCCAGCCACTTTGTTCTGGATAACCTTGATAGTCTTCAGGTCCAATCCAACACCACCAGCACCAATAGCTGCACCGATTCTTGAAACAACCCAGCACTCTCTCTTTGTGGATGTGATGTTCTTTGGAGCATATGGGTGACCTAGAGGTTTCGAATACGTTATCAACCCACTATTCTTAGCAACACTAGTCAATGCACTGTCTGATATATCCGTTAATGCTCTTAGTCTTGTCTTTGGAGGCGTTTTGGATTCAGGGTTGTTATTAGCACCTTTATTAACTGATTGATAAATCAAATAGGAAGGTGGAACATCACCAATATTGCACAGGATGGAAGTTGGATGAATATAAACATATGGACTATCATCTTCTTCTGAACCTTTTGTAGGGAATAACGTGATGTATGGTATATTGATGATATTTGTTCTGTTGGTGATTTTAACATCTGATTCAATCAAATCAGCTCTAATGGCAACCTGGTCAACAAAACCAGCAGAAATCATTTGCTTAATAGCTTGAACTTGACGTTTATCTGGACGACCAAGTTTCATTTCAGATTCTTTAACAGAAGTTGCAATGTTCTCCTTTGTTGTATAAGTTTTAACAAGATACATAACTTGTTTTCTCAACTTTGAAATTTCCTCCATAAGCTTTGGTCTCAAGAAATGGTTTCTCAAGAATTCATCTCTTTTAGCTAATGGAACATGATCTAAAGCACAAACGGCACTCAGTAGTTTCAATGCATCACTGAATTTATCAAGCTGGCAGAATATTTGTCTTGATGAATGGAATTTCGAACGTAATTTACGTTTCGCCTCTAGTTCAATTGGTGATAATTCCTCTTCTTCATCTTCATTCTTATTTTGTTCCTCCACTATTCCTAACTCATTCTCATTAATGAATGGGTCACCAACAGATAAAGCAGAAACAATAGCAACAATATAAGGTAAACAATTTAATTGATTTCCAACAAGAAGCATTTTAGCAAATCTTGGACTGATAGGGAAATAACTCATAGTTCTACCAACATCAGTAATCTTGTTCTCTTTGCTCAAGGCACCTAAATATTGCAACAATTTCTCAGCTTTACCTAATGCAACTCTTTCAGGTGGTGTCGGAAATGGGAAGTTCACGACATTATCAATACCCATGCTTTTCATTGACAAGACAACAGTTTCAATTGGTGTACGTAATATTTCAGGTCTAGAGAACTGTGGGAAATCTCTTTCATAAACAGCAGAAGAATACAGTCTATAGCAATGACCAGGACCTGTACGACCAGCTCTACCAGCTCTTTGGTCAGCACTAGCTTTACTGACCCAATCAATCTCAAAACTTTGCACACCAGTCTTGTCATCATAACAACGATCTTTAGATCTACCGGCATCAACAACATACCTTATACCTGGAATTGTTAAAGAAGTTTCTGCAATGTTTGTGGCAACAATACATAGACGGCTCCCCGCTGGTGGTTCTTTGAAAACCTTCATTTGTTCATTTGTTGGCAATAGAGAGTATAATGGTAGGACATATAATGGATCTTGATCTGTTTGCCCTTCTTCCAAAGTTTCTTCAAAACCTTCTTCTTCATCATCATCTTCATCTTCATCAGCACCATCATCAAATGCTTCATCGGCATTGACTTTAACACTGAAATCAACTTCTTCAGCTTCAATATCAGCATGTTTAGAGTTTATACGAACATCTGCAACTTCCTCTTCATGAACAAGATTCTTTTTCTTATCCTTCAATGGGAATTCTTTTCTTAATCTCTTGACAACATTTGTGATTTCATTTTGACCAGTCAGGAAGATTAAAATACCACCTGGAGGAAGCTTTTGATGGATTTTACAAGTTTTTCTGAACACTTCATCCAAATAATCATGTTTGGTACGTCTGTTGAAGTGAACAGAGACCGGATATTGACGAGCTTCAACTTTCAAAATAGGTGGTGGGACATCAAACAAAACTGAATTTTCACTGAAATCAGTAACTCTTAAAGTAGCAGACATGATAATCAATTTTAATTTTTTAAACTTCACTGGATCTTGGGCATTCAATTGAGCACGAAGTTTAACAACACGACTTAACATACCAATCAAAATATCAGTATTGATACTACGCTCATGAGCTTCATCAATAGTGATTGCTGAATATCTGTTCAAAATGAAATCTGTCATCATTTCACGCAACAAAACACCATCAGTCATGAATTTCATTCTCGTATCTTGCTTAGCTGTAGAGTCAAAACGAATTTGGTAACCAACTTTATCACCATGATCTCCCAATTCATTAGAAACACGCTCAGCCATAGAAATAGCAGCAACTCTTCTTGGTTGGGTGATGGCAATCATACCTGGAGTATCTGGACTCTCTGGAGAACCATAACCGGCTTCGTACAGGAATTGTGGAACTTGTGTAGTTTTACCGGACCCTGTTTCACCACAAACAATAACAACATCATTATGGTGAATAGCTTCCATAATTCTATGTTCTTCTCCGAAAACTGGTAGTTGCATTCTGGATTGTTGGATTTCATCTGATCTGTTGACATTAACGTAAAAGGCTTGACGTTTGCTATTTTCATCAATTGGGATATATTCTTTTGGCAAATCATCTTCTAAATCTTCTGGACGATCAACCCTTTCATAGTGGACGTCTGGTAGAGTTGGAGCTGATGGTGCTTCACGACCTTCAAGTTTTCTGATTTGTTCATCTGCCCATTCTTTGAATGCTTCAGCTTTTAAACTGTGTGAAAACTTTTTACGATGTTCCTCTTCTTCCTCTTCTTCACTTTCATCATCATCTTCATCGTCATCTTCTTCACCTGAGCTTTCACCTTCCTCATCTTCACCTTCTTCTTCATCTTCTTCTTCATTTTCATTCTCTTCATCATCGATTTCCTGTTCTTCTTGGCTATCATCTTCATCTTCTTGGTCATCTTCCTCCTCAGAAGACTCGAAATCATTCTCATCCTCAATCTTGTTTTTTCTTCTCTCTTCAGCAGCAAGCTTTGATCTCCAGTTATAGCTCTTCTTCTTTGTTTTTGTAACTTTTGGAAGATTTTGAAATGAAAAGCCTGAACCTGAACCACCAAATTTACTAGGTCTGAAATCAATGAATGAAGATTTTGTTTCTGTTGAATCACCAAATTTCTCACCATCATCGGACCCAGAGGCACTATCATTATCATCCTCTTCTTCTAGCTGATCTAGTGATTTGATAGGATTTTCATCTTTGAAATCTTCATCCCAATCACGGACTTCTCTTTCTTCATATAAAATTTCCTTTGTTCTTTCATCACCTCTTCCTTGTCTTTCTAATTCCAAAGCTTCAGCAAATTCTTCCTTTTTAGTTTGTTTACCAGTCCCTAGTAGCTTTGAACTCTTCAATAAAGATGTATCAAACTTGGATTCTTGAAGCTTCTGTATCAAAACTTGTTTCTCTTCTCTTTTCAGTTGATGTTCAATATATTTATCTAATCTCTTCTTCTTATTTCTTGAAACTTTGGACTCAGCTTTGGGCCTTATTTGTTCTTCCAATTTTCTCTTCCTATCTTCCCTTTCAGCTTTGGTCATTGGTTGTAAGATTTCAGCATTTGGGTTATTTGTTTCCTCTTCCTTTGGTTCCTCTTTAGCTTGGGTCCCATCATCCAAATGACGAGTAAACTGCTTTTGTCTGACACGACGAAGCTTCTCCTGCTTCATCAGCATCCCCTGACGGGCCTTCTCATTGAATCTCTTTCTGTATTGACCCATGCTCTATCCCTTTATTCTTAATTCATTTCTCTGTTAAAATGCGATGAGCTCTATAAATTTTTTTTTATTTTGCAAAACACGCTTAGTCAGCCTCGCCTGCAAAATCCTCAAAATTCAAATCACATACAAAAACATTAGTGAAAGTCCATTGTAAAGACCCCAAGGAAACAGCCAGATATCATTTGGCTATCTAGTGATCTGGGATGGCTCATAAGCTGGAGGTAGAGGATGGACTATATGGGATCATTGAATCGCCGAACATCTCGAGGATCAGGTTTGGAGAGTATGAATTGAACACCTGGTATGGAAGTGCTGTATACTTTGCCAAAGACAAGAGAACATTGGGTTTCAAAGACATTAATCCATCTAAAAGGAAATCTGAAATGAACAGAGAGGAGATATGGCTTGAGAAATTGTTTATATGTGATTCATGCTTCAAGTATACCGATGATGAGAAGGATTATGAGGCCCATTTACTGGCTTGTGACCATCTAAACAAACAACTGGGAAAGATCATGTATAGAGATGAAAAGTATGTTATAAGGAAAGTACGAGGATCGAAACACAAAATGTTTACTCAAAACCTATGCCTGTTTACCAAGCTCTTTCTAGACAACAAATCCGTGTTTTTCACTGTTGACTATTTTGAATTCTATATTGTTTATGGCACCGAGAACAACAAACCCATGGGTTTCTTTTCAAAAGAGATTCTATCATGGGACAGAAACAATTTGGCTTGCATATTGGTTTTCCCACCATACCAGAGAATGCACTTGGGTACACTGCTAATTTCATTCTCCTATGAATTGTCAAAATCACAAAACTTGGTATCTGGTCCAGAAAAACCTTTATCGCCTTTTGGTTTGGTTGGCTACTTGAAATATTGGAGCTCCATCATTACGAGGGAACTTGTGTTTGGTAAATTGTCGGATGCAAAAGTTGTTACATTAGAAGAAGTCAGTAAGGTGACAGGAATACGGCATGATGATATAGTGATGACGCTGAAACATATGAATGTATTGGTTAACAATGATGGGGAGCTATTTGTGCTGAAAAAGATACTACAAGACTGGGCAAAAAGAAACAAGGTTAGTTTAAATCCATTGTTAAAAAAGGATTGTCTATTAATTTGATTGAGGTTTTAATTTACATAGCTGCATTAATAAATAAAAAAAGAAAAAATGGACACTTGAAATCAATTCGTAGCGCTTCTCATTTCTCAAATAGCATTTCAATCTCTTCCACTCTCCTTTTTCTTCTTTCTTCTTCTTCAGCTTCAACAGCTTCACCAATAGTTCTCTTACGTTCTTGAATCTTTAACATTTTCTCCTCTATACTTCCCTCCATAATAAATCTAACAACTTTAACATTATTCTCTTGACCGATTCTATGAATACGATCAATAGCTTGATCTTCAATACTCGGAGACCACCACGGATCACACATGAAAGCCCTTGAAGCTTCAGTTAAATTCAAACCAACACCACCCGCTTTTAATGATAACAGCAACACTGTGACACCAACACGAGGTTGCTTAAATTCCTTCAAGATATTACTTCTATTGTTCATACTCAATCTCCCATCAAATTTGAAAACTGTTAAACCATTCTCCATGTGTAATTCTCTCTCCATTATATCCAAGAGTGTTGAGAATTGTGAAAAGACAACAACTTTTTCATTTGATGTGGTATCTCTAATGATACGTAAATGTGATAATAATGCATTTAATTTTGATGATCTCAATGAATTATCAAACTTGGATAAAGTGTATGACTTGTTGGACAATACTGAAGGAATATTCTTGACACTAATTAATTTGGCACTCGAAATCTCTTGTCTGCAATTTGGACATAAAATCTCATTATGCTTCATTTCTTGATAATCACAATGCTCCAAGATACAAGACACACAAAATGGATGACCACATTCTGTAAAAGCTAACTGGTCAATCGGAATTGGTTGATTAGTACAAATTGAACATTCTAAATCATCAATCTTGTCAAACATGTTGTAAATGTTGCTGCTTGCTAAGTTTAGGTCATTGATGGTGAAAGTTTCACTTCTTTTGAGTAATTCCTCAGGTACCTCAATTTGTTGAACTTGTTTTGTGGAGATGTCTTCATCCATTTCATCACTACCACCATTAATTAAATCCATATGGCAACAGATTTGTCTTAATCTTAAGATATGAACCAGAATTGTAGTATATCTTTTCAAAATATCACCTTTTGCAATACTAGCTTTAACAGATGAGGACGCCTTAGCAAGAAACCAACTGTATAGTTTATGTTCTTTTGGACTAAATTTGATCCTTTCAATAACAACTTCTTTAGGTGGTAATTCCACAAGGGCAACACCATCTTTTTTCATACTCTTTGTACGTCTCAACAATATTGGTTCCAAAATTGATTGAACAACATCCAAAGCTTGTTTGTATTTCTTGTTTTCAAATGGGATTGTTACAAAAGTTTTCCAATATGAAATATTTGACCATGGTTCCAATTCCAAAAACTTGATCAATGCATACAAATCATCCAATCTGTTAACAATTGGTGTACCCGTTAATAACCATTTTCTTGAACTTTGTAAATCATAACAAGCCTTTGTAGTTTTAGCCATACGGTTTCTAATATTATGACCTTCATCCAAGACAACTCTGAAAAACCTAACTGAAAATAACCCTAATTTTGGAAGAACGTTATCCTGTTTACTTGCATAATCAATCAATTTGGACCATTCATGTTGAATTGTACCATAAGTTGTTAAAACAACCATAGGAGGAGAGTCACCGCATAATTGAGCTTTCAGATCCTTACCAGATTCAGTACCATAATAAACAAAAACAGAACCATCACTATTATTTGCTTTATTGAATTCATCCTGCCATTGCGATAGTAAAGAAGTTGGGACAACAATCAATGTTGTTCTACTAGCATATCTTTCTTCAATAGCATTTTGAACATCATAATCCTTATCAAAAGGAGCATTGTGAATTAAAGCTAATGTTGAAACGGTCTTACCAAGACCCATTTCATCAGCCAAGATACCACCACGACACATTGTTTTCAAGATTGGTTTTTCCAAAGAGAATTCACCAGAATATAAATTTGCATAAAATACATTTGTATCAAAACTTTGACGTAAACTTTCATTTCTCATAACTGCCCAAGATCTCTCTTTTGGCCATTTGAACTCTTTCCATAATGGGTTCATTTGTTCACCTTCATCTTCATTAATTATTTCTCTTTCACCACGTAACATCCATGTCAAACCTTGCTTTTGATATGGTCTTAAGTTTAACTTGAAGTTTTCTTTTGTTTCTGTTTCTGGTAAAGTTGTTAAAACATCTGCAGTTTGTGTGATTCTGTAAAACTCTTTTAACTGGTTCAAGTTTAATTCATCAGCTGGTTTTGGTTCACCATTGTTTTGTTGAGTTGGTGTAATGTTGTCCATACTGTCGTCATCATCCAAGTCAATAACTTCATCCTCTTCCTCATCATCATCTGTAGTTCTAACTTGGAAATCTAGCTTATTGAACAACTTGAATAACCCAATCTGTCTTTGTCTAACATGTTGTTCCACTTCAGTCTCATAACCTACATTATAAAAACTGCTTTGTTTACGTTTCATTTGTTTCAATTCATCTTCAAATGAAGCTGCATTTTTCCACTTTTCAAAGATCTTAGAGGTCAAATAACAATCTAATTGAACAATAAATGAGTCACCAGTACTCAATCTACCATCACATAATACAACAGTAACATCAAAATCAACAATATCTTGATCCACTAAAGGAAACAGAATAGCAGCAATATCTTCTGGAACTCTTCCAATCTCTTTAGCTTTGTGAGGATCATGGTAATCTTGAACTAGCTTGATATTTGAAACATTTGATCCAGTACCACCACTTCTTCTTTTCTTTGATGTAGATTGTGATGTATTTTTAACAATAGTTAGTTGTGTCCCATAAGGTAAAGGTTTAACAGTTGGTCTAGTTGCCCAGCCAACAACTTGTAAACTTCCAATAAATCTTCTCCATTTCACTGAAGGTGAAAGTTCCTTAGTTTGTGTTGGTACAACGGATCTTCTTTTCCTCTGTGGTAAGTTTGTTTGATTAGATCTTACTGCTGATGTTATAGTTGGTTGTTGTGATATTGTACGTCTAGGTTGAGGTTGGGCTTGAGGTTTTGGTTCAGGGTCAAAGACAATACCGTCATAGTACTGATTCACTGCAGATATCACTGGTTGCTCATGGTCTTTGAATTTGATATATAGTTGTTGGACTTCAGGTGGTGTAATACCTTCAATGATGGCTTGGACTTGAGATTCGAAAAACATATAAGCATCTTCTTCTGGATCACTTTGATATTCTTCTTCGTCATTTGCCACAAATAAGGATTGTTTGCTACTGATATTCACTTCATTAGGATTATCTTGTTTCCCTGACTCAGGTTGAGATGATGATGAGGTTGGTTCACTCTGTAATGTACTATTTGCACTACTTTGGCGTAACAATTCTTTGTGATGTTCAATGGGATCTAAATGTTCTCTTTTAACTTGGATTTCACCAGCTGAGCTATCACCAAAAAACCTTGATTCGTCTTCCATTCTTTGTGACCAAAATGCAAAGTAATTTTGCCTTCAAGTAGTGCTTTAATGTTGTAAATAGAGAAAAAAAAATATAATCATTACGTCTATAAAAACGCGTTTCTTTCTTTTTAGCGTGTCACATCTAGACTTCCTAATACGGAAAGAACATGTCTTCACATATTCATAGCAAAATGAGCTTTGAAATTCGCGAAATAAAACAGAGCCGAAATTTTTGGTGAGAAGAAATAAGCAGAAACAACTTCAAGACGAAATAGAGATTCAGTTCAATATCAAATAGAAAAGGCATGGCTGTTATATGACATAACTCACATATTCACAATTCATTATACAACAAGAAGAAACCAAGAAAAAAGATGCCCACACAACCGATAGGTGGGAGATTAATCAATAATCCCAAAATACGACGCTGGTTATACAGATCCTCATTAATATTCTTTATTGCATTCTTTGCCGGATTTTGTGCAGTTGTTCCTATTGATTCCATTGTTCAAGCTTCACAATCATCCAACTATGCACTAAACACTTTCGTTGTTGTTGGTGCTTTAGTGTTATTTGGTGTTACGGGCATAGTACTTACCACAACAAGGATTTATATGCAAAGGTCAGCATTACAAGATATACCCAAGAGATATGTTCCATTAGATGATGGTGACTTGCCTAAAGAATGCGATGTTATGATAAAGGAGAATTTCGCAAATTGTGAAAAAATAAGATCAAAAGCTTTGAATACAGATGATGATGACGAAGAAGTTGTTAAACATCCAGGGTTATCAGGACCTAAATCAGAATTATTACCACCTTCATTAGCATTTGATGAAGTTGTCAGAGCTGTTGGTGATAAATTGAAATGGGGTGGTGCCCTTATGGGGTCAGATACAAGAGTTCCACCAAATTCAAGTTTTAGAGAAATTGTTGCATATTTAGAAGAACATTTGATTGCAACAGATTACAAATTAAATAAAGAGTATGTGGAACTGTATGAAGTGTTGAGATTCTCAGGAGATTTGATTTCTGAGGAAAATTTCATAAAGTTCATGACATTGTCTATTGAATTTGTCAAAATCACAAGACTTAATATGGCTGATGAATCACAATTAGAAAGGATAAGGAGACAGTATAGTGAATCTGAAGCTTCACTAAATGCTCCTGGGTTGAATGGATCTGAGTTTTACTCCAAATTATCATTACCAGGAGCATTATTGAGTAGGAGTGCTAACCATACTAATAATGGATCCACTACAGCTTCAATAAGTCAAGTTGACACAAATTGGTTAACGAATTCAAGACCAACATTGCAGCTCAATGAGTTTCAAGAACCTGCACAAAGTGAACAAGAGTATCAACGTTATCATGATATGTTGAGAAGAGTTGGAACTGGGCAAACAGTTTTATCATTTAGGTCTGGAAAAGGACCGGAAGAAGAATAAAATGCATTCGTTTTATATATAGCCATCATTTTTATTAATGTCAAATCCGTATCTGTCATGTTAAACAAATATTCTTGATTGTACATGTCTTCAGTAGATTTTATTTTTCTAGGCATTGATGTTATTGAAACGTTATAGTGATTGAAAGCACATAAACATCTCATAATACAGTTGCCAAATCATTTTACAAATAATCATGAGTATCTTTCTTTAATTATGCATTAAAATTAATGGGTATATATCTTTCCTACCTTATGACTGTTTATTTGAATCTTTGGAGAATTGAGGCAGTTCAGAATATTTTTTATTATTTGATTTTGGTTTGAATTTACCCAATACTTTATGTTTTGATTTCCAAACTTTTTGTCTAATTGCTGAAATATCACGATCATTTCTTGTTAACCAAATGAAAATGTACATCCCAATAGCACTTATACAAACAACAGTTGGAATTGACAGCATGATGTAATAAGCACTATCATTTGAAATACCTTCATCTTCCAATTTTCTAGTTTCTTTATTCTTCTTGGCAACTTTTGGACCTTTCAAGATTTTGAAGATTGTTGCATTAGTTAATAAATTAAACTCATCATCAGTAATACTATTTGGTTGAATGGAAATTCCAACATTTTGTTCAAATTTCCCCAATAACCAATCTTCTTGGATATCTAATGGGAAATAACCATCTAAATTTTCTATCCAATCACTAGTGAAAAAAGCACTATCAACTTCTCTTTTATGCATACCTTTTTCCCTTAATGATTCTTTGACATAACTTAGGTGAATACGAACTTTATCAACATTATCTGGGAAAAATTTAGTATACCAAGTGACAAAATAAGTCTTACCCAATTTTAATTGAGAATTTTCTCTTGGTGTACAGAAAGGTGCACTCTCCACATTTCTAGCTAAACCTTTCATGTAAAATCTATCAGGAGTACATCTGATCAAAGGATTCAATGAAACATAAGTTTTATCTTCGTCAATGAAAATAACCTCTTCATGAGTTGCATCTTTATCCATATTATGAGCTTTCAAATCATCATAACTATAAGTGGTTGTACTTGCAGTTTGGAAATACGTTGAGTAAGTTGGTGAAGGGTTTTTAGTCTGACCATTTTTAATTTGTGGTTTAATTGTCTTTGGTGAACCATCTTTATTTAATGAAACCCATGGTAATGGTTGATCTGTTTCTTTTGAAGGTTTCCCACTAAAAGTAACACCTTCTATCACAGTTGGAGTGATAATTTCTTTGACGGATGAGTAAATTGTACGGATCCATGGTTTGGGGATTTCACTTGATGATGAAGTTGTTGATGTTGGGACTCTAACTTTTCTATATCTCTTCTCCAGTTTAGGAGCTTGAGTAGTTTTGGAAGATGCAATATCCTCTGTTGAAGCTGGTGCCACTGTTTCAATAGCAGCTGAAGAAGCAGCAGTAGCTAATGATATGAGATATAGCAACTTCATAGCAAATAGATTTGACAGTTATCGAGTTCAATGTTATTGTCTCAATAGATCAAGTTTTTTTGACTTCTATTATTTTTATTATCGAGTTAATTCGCGCTCATTTTTGAAAAAAAAATATTGGAACGGGACCACACCGGATAAACCGAGATCCCATTGACTGCCTAATTGGGGAAATAAAAAAAAGTCACAACATAGAAATAATATTATACAGAGATGAACTAAAACTGGAAAAGCAAAATAAAACACAATATACAACAAGAGTTCATATGATCATCCAAATAGCACCCAATATGATGATAAACAGCACAACAGCTGTGATGATTGCAGCACCGGCTTTATCTTTAGTTTGAATATTCAATGGTTCATGATCCAATTGATTTGTATTTGAATCTAAACCAGCATTATAATCACCAGTTGTATTAACACCAGAATCATTATGATCTAATGGAGCTGGCATTGTACCAGGTAATAACGACAACATCACTTCTAAAGCAGCCATTTGTTCACCTAGCCCATATTTATTATCCCAACCATTTACAGTCCAATCTTGACCACAAGTTATACCATCAGTACCACCAGAGCAAGATTTAGCAGCAGCTGAAGCGGATTTTTCAAGTAATGGACGGATATCATCATATAATGATGGAACAAGTAATGAAGTTAAACCTAAAGCTCTTGAGAAAACAGCTCTGAATGAACGTTGATCAGTATTACAGGTTCCACCACCTTGACAAGCTCTTTCATACATGATTGAATTGTTGAAAAACACTTTTGAACCTTCAACCAAATTTTGAACTCTGTGCATCCAAATATCTTCTTGTGTGGCATTGTATAAGTAAGCAGCACCACCTAATAATAAACCATAATTATAAGTCCATTCCAGTTTGACAACATTTGAACAATTATCAGCAATATCAGCACCATCATAAACTCTTGCTGCATCAGCTTCCTCCAAGAAATGTGCATCGATTAACCATTGATAAACTTCATCAGCAACCTCAGCATAACTATCATTACCAGTAAATCTTGCTAATCTACCAGCCATATGGAAAAGACAAGCAGTACTCACGGTGTTTTTATGATTATAACCTGAATTCCATGTGAAAATTTGCCATCTTAAACCACCACCACAATTTTCTCTATCCCATCTTTTCCACATTGTATTATAAACAGCTTGAGACATTGTTAACCAACTTGGAACTTTTTTATCATCACCATGAGGTTCAGTGAAATTTCTTTCAGCAGCGGCCATGACGAATAACCCCCAAAACCCTTGATCATCATTACCTTCAGTTGTTGATTGATTCTTTGGAATATAATCATAATTTGTACCAGTTTGGGCAATCAATGAACTATACAAGACATTTTCATAAGTGGTATTTTGACAATAGTACCAATGGTCTAATAACCCACCAAAGGCATGGCCAGCTTGCCACCAGTAGTAAGGAGGTTGGAACATCCCAACAGTACCACCATATTGAGACCCACTATAATAGTTCATCATCCCGTCCGCCACAAGACTGGCAGCGCTACAGATGGAATCCTTATCAGATATTTGTAGATCGACAGCATAGACTGCCTGGATGATTGTGGATAGTGCAATGAATGTGAGCTTACTTGAAAGAATCATTGTAGCATGTGTTCGTTGTTGTTGTTCTTGTTGTTGATACACGTCAAAAAGGGAACAACGTCTGATACATTTCCTCTATATTTAAATTTTTGGTACTGAATTTTTGTAATCAGAAAATTTCTTGGAGTTTTTTGTTTTGGTTTTTTTTTTTCAGCTGGTGGTTTATTTTGGGGGTCCAAATTCCAAGCAAAAACTGCGGCCGTGCCAAACGAAATGACGATGGTTTGAATTGTGATTGGAGTGTGTTGAGGTTTGGCAGTTTTAATTCATTGTGGAAGGGGTTCTTGTTTATGAAGGAGTTTATCAGTATGTCGTAACGTTGATGTGGACCCTTGGGCTGACTAAGTCGCGTTCTATAAATACAAGCAGACCCTTGACAATGGCTTAGGAAATACAATAAGATTTAGGCTGAAGAGAGCATTAGATATGCCAGTTATATAGTTCATGAAGGTTATAAAACTCAAGTAGTGTGTTCTTTTGATAACAATCGTGATGATTATGTCAAATTCTGTAAATCGGTGACTGAATATCCCATCGTAATGATGTTCAAAATTGAACCCTGTGCGTGCATGTACCGAAAAAGGTGATGGAGTTGGTGGAGGTGACATGGATTGAGTCAAGCGACTTAAATGGTCTATCTTCACCAAAGATTCAAAAGCTACTTCACTGCAGTTCTACAAGGTTGAAACAAACTATTAAACGTTCCAAAAATAACCCAAAAATTTATTAATCCATCTATATTACAAACATTCCTTTGACTTATTTATGCTTCTTTGGACCATCTCTATCATTTATCAACAAGTTTTGAATGATTTCCAAAGCATTTAATTGTTCACCCAACCCATAATAACCATCCCAACCATCATCATTCCAACTTAATCCACATGTAACACCATCTGAACCACCAGAACAAGATTTGGCAGCAGCTTCAGCACTTGGTTTAATCAATCCAGTAATTGTTTCTTCAAAATCTGGAATCAATTTAGAAGCTTGAGCTAAATATCTTGCATAAACAGCTTTGAAAACACGTTGGTCAGTGTTACAAATGTTGTACGTTTGACAAGCACGTTCATACAACACTGAATTATTGTATAAAGTTTGAGAACCTAAAATGATCTTGTTTGTACGATCTTTCCAAGTTTCATCTTTTGTAACATCATACAAGTAAGCTGTACCACCTAATAAGACACCATAGTTATAAGTCCATAAAACTTTTGTAACATCTGTACAATTATCATCAGTATAAGTTCCATCATAAACTTCTGTACCCCATTCACCTTCATAAGCTAACCCGGCACCCATAATCCAGTTATAAATCTCTTTAGCAGCTGTAACATATTTCTCATCACCAGTTAATCTAGCTAATCTTGCACTCATTTGGAATAGATTAGAATTAGCAATAGTAGCCTTATAATTATAACCACCACGATCTTTATTATATTGCCATCTTAACCCACCATTACAACTATCTTCATCCCATCTTTTATAAATAGCATCAAAGACATTTTCAGCCAACTCTGTCCAACTATATGGGTTACCATTTTGCTTTGGATCTTTAAAACTATATTCAGCAGCTTCTAAGACTGTCAACCCCCAAGTTGCTTGATCATCATTACCTTCAGTGTTTGATTGATTTGTAGGTTGATAATTATGTTCATCACCAGCCTGTGATAATAAAGCAGTGTAAATCATATCTTCGTATGAAGTGTTTTGACATAAATGTTGAAATCTAATTAATGAACCAAATGCAACACCATATTCCCACCAATAATAAGGAGGTTTGAAACAACCGACTGAACCTCCATAAGTTGAACCATCATAATAATGAAGAGCACCTGTGGCTATGATACTTGCTGCATCACAAATAGAACTTGAATCTGATGTGTCTAAGTCCAATCCAAGTGTATATAATGGAAGTATTGAAGTGAGTATTAAATGAGAGAAAAGCATTGAAAATTAGCTGGGTTTTATAAAAAAAAAGGTAAAACGATCGTGTAAATAACGAAAGGTCTTTGGGTATATATGGATTTACAAGAGGTGAATGATTCAGAAGAGACAACGTTCATTGTGATCTGGAGGGCATGTGTACCTTTATATATATCTGATCAAGGTGCTCTCCTTAATTAATGGCCGTTGAAGAGAATTTGTTTCAGTGTGGTTTGAGGTGCTAATTTTACCTAATCTTGTACAAGTTACCTGAAGACGCGTAACTCGACTTATTTCCTCAGGGCAGTACCACTGTAGAGTTTAGCCTCTTGGAGCCTACAAGGGATGGTCCATAATTTAAACATGAAACGAAAACATTGCAGGTTTCACCAAAAAACAATCAGTTGCATAGATTGGTTTCTTGGGAAATGTAAGGAGGTTGAAAACGGTCAGATCTGGAATTACACAAAGAAAAATTGATCAACTAAACGTTGAATCACCAAGTTTCAAACCAAAGATGTAGAGCTGGCTAGAGACATAGCTCATATTACTGTTCTGTTCTTTAAATAGTTCGTGTATTCATTAGTTTCAAGGCTTACTAGCCCGTCCACAGGAACACTTTTCCTGTGAGTTGGTGTATAGATAAATTACTTACGTCTTGACTCAACTTCCCAAAATGGCATAAACGCTTGATTTGTGTTGCAAAGACGTAATTTCAAATGATGAATCGATTTGATCTAGAATCAAACACCAAGAAAAAGGGTTTGATACACATCACAAACCATGGAATCTTTTACTATCTGTAAGATGGTTAAACTGTGGAAAGCTTTTCAGGAAAATCCGTTATCATTATAAAAAAAATCGGCACAAACCAATTTTGTTTCATGTAAATCGTCAAATGGCGTAAAAAAATTACGGATTTTGGCGTTTTCAATCGCGTTTTTCTTTATGAAATTTTAATTTCCTTTGCGCAAATTTTATACAGGCAGGCGCGTTTGATCCTGATTTCAAAATTAGATTTAGCGTGTACGGGAATGTGAGATAAATGTCAACATCTGGGAATAGACTAAAGGCCATATTGTTCGTATAGTGGTTTGAACCTAGTTATTTCAAGGTGTTATAAAATGTGTGGATAACTCTTGGTGAACTTTGTTTAATTTACAAGGATCTTGTCGAATCTACAGGTGAGCTTTATCATCTTGATCCCATCGCCCAAGATAATCCACCCTGTAAATCATCCGCAATAAATAAATAAATTTTCAAATAAATAAAAGCAATCAAGTTGTGAACTTGATACAACTTGGTATATATATAGATAATCAATTAGTCAACCCAATAATCTTTGAGACTTGGTTGAAATTCTTGACAACATATCTTTTCTCATCAAGTTTCAAGATTGTATTATCCTCATTTGTTGAATTAGTATTTGAAAAATCAGTCTTGATCTTAATTTTGGCTAAATCTGTTTCATCGATTTGATTAGCCAAGGATTCATATTCATCTTTTCTATCAATTAAAATCCCATTCCAACCAGCTCTAAAACATGCTTCTAAATCATTGGTTAATTCATCACCAATATGCCAAACATTGGGCATTAAATCTTTTCTATCAACACCTTTTAAAGATTCACAATTCTCTAATAAATCATCTATAATATAGTTGAAAAATTCTAAATTTGGTTTTGTCACTTCAATATCATAAGATAGATAAACTTTATGGAAATATTTTAATAATTTCAAACTTTCCAACACTTTAACCACTCTTGGATCACTATTACTCGAAGCAACAAATATAACATTATCACCATAGTTTTGTTTCAAAAATGCTTCAACATCATCATAACCAGTATAACCTTTAAACCCTTCAAATGTTGTCAATAATTCATCAATGAAATCTTGTTGGATCTTTAAAGGATCATAAAGTTTAACAAGCAATTGACGCCACCATTCCTGATATGTCATTTTAGCACTCTTCCCAAAATTTGGATATTTAGCTCTCATATCCTTGTAAACTAGATCAAATTTGTTAGTTGGTTTTGTAGCCATACTAGACCTGAACTACTCACCATCGGGGAATCTACTGGATAATTCCTCCTCAGATAGGTTAAACCCATGCTTAGCACCTATTTCAGCATAGACTTTCAATATAGGTCTTTTGGATACAAACAAGGTGTTGAAGGCATCAAAAGAGACGACTTTAGGGATCTTATTCATGTTGAAATTGAAACAACTTTGACTTTAGAAATTATTATTTCACTGTAGAAACCAGTTTTTGAGGTACGTGTCAAAAACTAGATCAGTTGCTGCAAAGCAGATCCTTAGTCAGGGGTTATGTAAGTTAAGAAAAAAGAAGACGCGAATTTTGAAAAGTGTTGAAGAACGCGTTTTCTTTAAGTTCTATTTACAAGGTGGTTATAAAGTGTATCAGAAAGAGTGATATCAACCATGTCTATTGTCTCGTTATTAGGTATCAACGTGATCAACAATCCAGCGAGATTCACTGACCCATATGAGTTTGAAATCACATTTGAGTGTTTAGAACCGTTGAAAGATGATTTAGAATGGAAATTAACATATGTTGGTTCATCAAGATCGTGAGTATAAGACTAGTCGTAATGTCTTAGAAGCGTAAGTACTAACTCTTCAGTCTTGATCATGATCAAGAACTAGATTCTATATTAGTTGGTCCTGTCCCAGTTGGTATAAACAAATTTTTATTCACTGCAGACCCACCATCAGCAGAGTTAATTCCATCAAATGAATTAGTCTCAGTAACAGTCATATTATTATCATGTGCATATGCAGATAGAGAATTCGTTAGAGTAGGTTACTACGTTAATAATGAATATGATTCTGAAGAATTGAGGGAAAATCCACCAAATAAAGTTCAAGTTGAACATGTTACTAGAAATATATTGGCTGAAAAACCAAGAGTTACAAGATTTAACATAGTATGGGATAATGAAGGTGATGCTACTGAGGAATTCCCACCTGAGCAACCTGATGCTGATTTAGTTGAGGATGATGAAGAACAATATGGTCAAGGTGAAAATGAAGGTGAAGAAGATGAAGAAGAGGATGAAGCAGCTGAGGAAGTTGATGAAGAAGGGAACCCTGTCAAAAGTAATAATAATGAAGATAGAGAAGGTACAGTGGAAGCTAGTGATAAGAAACCAGAGGACGATAAACAAGGTGATGAAAAAATTGTAAAGAAACAAAAAATCGATGGTGAGGAAGTTAAGAAAGATGAACCAAAACAAGAACAAACTCCAGTAGTGGAACAACAAGAGGAAGAAGAAGTCAAGACTCCAAAAGATGATGAAAATTTACTAGTATAGATACATTGATGAATGAATGAGTAAAAAATAATACACAGATTTAACTACATGTATGATATCAGTTTAATAAATTTTAATCACTATTAAACTCCTCCCATAATTGATTAATGATTTGAAAAGTTTTAGTAATCTTTTCACTCAATTGTTTATATACATCATCATTAACATCCAATTTCAATGTTCGTATCATCTTATCAGGATGCCATCTAATTCTTTCAATCTTTAAAATATTTACAAATTCATCATTTACACTTGTTTGTAAGAATTTCCTAACATTTTTCTGATCCAATTCATCATTTTGATTAACTATGGGGAATACAATGTCTCGAAGACCATGTTGTTTGATATATTCCCATTCTTTGAAGTAATCATCATAAGTAAACTCTTCATCATCATCTCTAACATCTTTGTACTTCTCCTCTAAAGTATCTTTAGCAGACTTATACTCAGGGAGATCCATATATGACCAATTATAACTTTGAGTACTATGTTTATCATTTGTTAATAATGAATGTCTTTGTTGATAATGTAATGAATCCTTTGAAGACTTTGATCCAATGAATCTGTATCCATTAATGAAAGGTCCCCATTCGATGAAGTCATCCTTTTGATGTGACGATGGATTGGAATGTGGTTGACGACGATATTGTTGTTGTTGTGATGCTTTATCTTCTGTTTCTGATTGATGTTGATTTGGTTCCACGTCATCTCTTTGTAGGGGTTTGGTAGTCTTTTGATTCTTAAACCTGAGTCTAGTTGACTTCACTTTACCAACTCTTGACTTGACATCTTTCATACTTCATACTAATCAATACTTGGTTCAAGTTGTGTGTTCTACGTATTCGCGAAGAAATTTAAAAAAAGGGATTCCAGAAGCAAAAAAAAAAGATGAAAAAAAGGTTTAACGTTGATTTCTGTTCCTCTTTTCACTAGTGGTTTTAACAGGCATCATAAAACATTTTGTCTTCTTTTAAATGCTACTGATGTTCGGCATTGGGGTTTTAAATTTTCACCTTAACGCCTCAGCGTTTGGTTGTAAGCCAGCAGGAACAGCTGAATACTATTTTTATTGAATGTGTTTGATTTTTCCAGTTCAGCATTCCCGTTTCACGTCTTGCTTGGTGGATCATGGATAAATCAGTACAATAATTGCCATTAAAGAGTTATTTTGATTGGTTTCATGGCACTGTGCAAGAGTTACCTTAGTCGTGATGTTGATCTATGAGTGTCTCGATGATGATGAATTGAGCCTCTAGTGAAATGCATTATACAATATCTTTTCAAAGATCAGTTACTCAGTTGTAGTTTTGTATATAGGTGAGACTAGATTTGTATTCTGTAATTATATCTCTGGCGCTTCATGTTAAAGATTGAATTCTAACGAGATAAAGATGATATGGCGCTTAGGTTGTAAAGCACTACAATCCAATTGTTCACAAAGAATGTATAATTGATCCATATGGATAAGATCATAATGACAAGATCAAGTATCCACAGGATGTCTATATAATAGTTACAACACTGGTTTGATGTTTATATTCTTCATCTTCAATGTATCAACAAACAACCATATTGAAATAAATATCGGCATGGGCTGTCATTGCTAATTGAGAGCTGTCTAGTAAGGTACTTTTTGATAGCACTAGTAGTACTCAAGATAAATATTTGCACTATTATTCAAATTATGAACATAATCAGGGTCAAGAAAATAAACATTGAAAGAGAAAGTGAATTATGTTAAAAAATTGAAATTTATAGACATTCTCTGATCTGCCATTCTGTACAGTGTCAGCATTAACTATGAACGAAAAAAAAGTACATTTATCACTTCAAAGAATATTTATACTTCTATTAAACTATATTGTATCTCAACCCAAGAGGATTTCCCACCCCCACTCTTTCATCACGGTACTCCAATGAGTCCAACTATTAACACCTCTTGCATCATCTCTTTTATCAGCAGTTAAAGCATCAATTTGATCTTGAATATCCCATTTAAACCCATCACCTCCTTTATTCAATGAATCTTTTCTTCTCCAAACCTCTTTAACAATTTCATAAGCTCTATCAATATTCCCAATCCCCATTAATTGGGATAATACTTGCCATCTTGCAATGATCCAATCTCTATCCTCTTTATCATCCATTTCACATGAGGCAACTAATAATGGGAAAATATGCAACAGACAAGTTTTAGAATTTGTTGGAATTGAAGCTAATAACATCAAAACTTTTTCAGCTAAATCCCTTGAAGTTTGAGATGGGATTTCCGGGATAGCCTGGTGTAAATATAATAAAGTTGCATAACGGTAAGATTCAGCAGTGGCTATAATTGAAGGTAAATCACAATAAGGATCTTCAAACTTTGGTTGTTTGATCAATTGTTTATGTTTCCAATTCTCCAATTCAGTCTTGAGAGCAACAGCATTGGAAACTATTGATAATGAAATCTTGTTCAAACTTCTTGTCTTGGTGATTAATGAAGCTGTTCTACCAATTATTAAAAATAAATCCTGAGCACAACCTAATAAAGGATCAATTGTATCATCAACTTCCACACCACTAAACCCATTGAGCAACCTATTAACATGTTCATCAGTATCACTTTCCGGACTATTACTTTTCTGTCTTTCCTCAGCTTCCACAGCTTCAACTTTTTTCAAATATTTAATCATTTCACTATTTTGATCATAAGCATTCGAATCAATCAATTGAGATGAAACAATCCTTGCCAAAACATCATGATAGATGAAAATATTACACAATACTTTAAAAGTTGGTGAAATTGGTTGATGAGAATTCTCATGGTTTTTTAAAATCTTGTTAATTATGGATTTAGCGCCTCTTAGATGAGCAATACCTGTTGTCACCTGTGTGGACCAAGTCTCTGTCACTGTTAATGCAATACAAGTTGCCAATGCAACTTCATTAGGGATTGAATTATCTGTTAACCCCTGTGCTAATTCATTGATTGCCTGCTTCATATAAGTCATACCGATTCTTTTAGTTTCTTCATCATTCCTAGCAATATGCAATAATGTCATTGAGGCTAAAGATTTAAACAATACTGAATGTTTTAAAGCCATGGGCCAAATGACAGTTCTCCATGGGTTTTCGGTTGGTCCATCTCTGATTGACATGATTGTGGAAGTATATTTATGGAATCCGTTGGCAATTTTATCAAATTCTGTGGTTAATTCGTTCTTCTTGGATATTGTGAATGAAGGTGGTAGTCTAAATTGATCTTGTTGTTGTTGTTGGTTATTGTTAAATGAATTTGAAAATGTAATCAACTCTTTACGATATTGAGGTAATGAACCACTAGAGAAAATTGAATCAACAGAATTAGCTCTTCTCATAGAATGCAAAGCACCTTGAGACTCCTCTAATGACTTACTATTATCCTCTTCATCATCATCTTCAATAGCTTCTTCAATTTTCGGGGATAGTTCTATATTTGAAGGTGATGGAATATTCATTGAATCGAAATCAGTAAATGCTCTAACCAATGTGGAAAATGATGGAGATCCCAAGAATGCAGGTGGTGATAAGCCTGTTATCAGGTTGTTGTTGTTGAAGGTGTCATTATTGGGTGTTTGAACTGAATTGGATAATCTTCTTCTCTTGTTTTGGTTTTTGTTATTATTGTGGTTCATTGGTGAAGGCAAGTTGTAATGAAATTGATCAACAATGCTTGGTGATAGGCCTGTGGTTGGTTCATTAATTGGTGAGTTTGGTAATGAATGTTGTTTTGGAGCAGCAGATTCAACGTCATTTGTGGGTTTTGGGTCAATGGTTTGTGGGTGTTGTATCTTATTATTATCAATTGTTGGGGTCTCTGGAGGTAATGATGACGATGTGACTGATGTTGATGAATTATTATTACCATTTGGGTTCTTACCAAGGGCCATCAATTCATTTTGTTTGGCTAATTCTTGGAAAGTTTTACCAGCAATTGATAAAGTAGCCTGTTGTAAAGCATTTTGGAAAATATCAGATTCAGGTAAAGATAAGGATCTTTTCATCATTATTCTTTGATCAACATTTTCCACTTGTTTGGCCTCTAGTTTCTTTTGATCTGGATTAGGTATATTAGATTTCTTTTGATCCAAGGACGTCTTCTTCTTACTGGCTTGTTTTGGAGTAGACTTCATCACTTTGAAAGAAGTTGAAGTTTCTTCAAATGTTTTCCACCTGAAATTTGTAGAATAACCACCACATTCTATATTCTTCTTGAGACAATTGTTACAACTTGGCTTAGTCTCATCACATTTAAGTCTTTTTTTCTTACAAGTGAGGCATCCATTTCTTGATTTCTGATTCTTTGGCTTGACACTAGACGACGTAGCACTCTTTTCAGACATGGGGACTTGAGCTTTAGTTGTAGCTGTAGCTGTACTCATTCTAAATTAGAGGATTCAACGGTTTTGATAAAGTGTTTTGTAGCTGTGGGATAAGTTGTATCGAATAAGTAAAAGGGATCCCAACTTGTTTTATACTTGTTGAGCTTTGTATTAATGCCAGTGATAGATAAGGAAATGCTGATTATCGGAATCGTTTAAGGCCTCGGAGCATTGTAGGCTCAGAGCTGGAAGGAGCGTAGGCAGGGCTCTAGGCAGGGCTCTAGGCAGGGCTCAGCCTGGAGACAGCCAGTTCCTAGGCAGACAACCTGTCAAGAGGCTGTCTAGCACAATCCTTGATAAGCAGCCTCGGAGATCGTCTAGCGATAAGATCCAACGAGTCAAAGTCAAGCGAAAGTAAAAACAATTGTAGATTTTAATTATGAATGGTTCTAAAGGATATTTCATTGTATTTATATTCATTCTTGAGCTCATTTCCTTTGAGCAAAATGAGCTGATTTTATGACATTCTCGTCTGTTTTTTTTGCAATTTGCTCGTGATCGATGATGAAGTTGTGATTTGATTTGAAGCTGATTTACTGGATATTCGCGGCCACTACGAGGTGTGCAATTAATTGCCTAGATAGGAAACATTATCCATCTTTTTATTCTAGCCTATTTAACAATTGAATCAACTTTGTATTGTTGAAGACTGGCTGTTGGAAGTTGCTACTGTTTGGCAACACTCTCAATAGGTTGTAGACTTCATCTGTAACGTATTGCTTGATCTTGTAGTCTTCATTCTCTTCTTCTTCTTCTTCTTCTTCATCCTTCTTGTCATCTTCATCTAATCTTTGTTTCTTCGTTTCACCATTCTCAACTTGTTCATCATCTTCTAATCTTCTCTTTGAAGAAACACTCTTTTTTGGAACCAATTCTGAATATTTTAAATCATTATATCTAATTAAATCATCACTAACATCATCACAATCTTGAATATCTGCAAACGTATATCTATCAGCAAATACTAGTATCTTGGAATCTTCAGGGAAATATTCAAAATATTTCTTTTCCAATTTATCAACACTTGAAATTTGACCAAAATTTAATTCATAACTCATATAAATCTTGAAAATACGTTTCAACCATTGTGATTCAATAAATTTCCCCTTTACATTAACAGTGGTTTCAAATAATGATCTTGAATTTGTATCATCATTAATCTTTATCAAAAACTTCAAATATTTATAAATATATTCACCATCATTACTGAAAAATGCTGGTTTTAAACCAAGATCGAAAACTTTGATTGCAGTTTTGGTATTTGTGGCAAAATGTTCTAAATTTGCAACTTCAACGAAAACATGATGAGTTAGAACTTTTTTCGAAGCACGAGCTAATCCAAATATCTGTCTAGCCTCTTTAATACCTGATAATCTTTTCATCGATTTGATATATTGACAATAAGTTAAGGAAATGGTTTTGGATAATTTAGCTAGATCTTTTAATTTTGATTGGATTTCTTTATCATTTTTGATAATATGCTCTTTTTCTTCATCAGTCTTTGGTTTTTTAGGTTCACCATCTTCATTTTTCTCCTCTTCTTCATCATCACCAAATAATTCATTCTTCAATTCTTCAATTTCTAAACTTTTCCCATCATGTATTTGAGTTAAATGTTCAATCAATGAACTAAATTTTTTACCAACCAATACAGTATTATTCTCCACTTCATAACTTTCAATCAATTTAAAATTTAGTGCAAATGATAATGGATTAACCAATATAGCTTCATTCAATAGTTCTTGGAAATTTATACTTGAATAATGTTGTTGATTTTCTTTATAAAAATTTGCAAACTCAAACCATAATTCAGGATAAAAGGTTAAATGTTGAATAGCTTGTTTATAAACAAATTCTATTCTTTCAATTAATTTATCATTGTCTAATTCCAATTTGTTAGATTTTTCCCAATTAACCCAATCTAACCATTTCGATAATTGGAATGAATCATATTCATCTTGCTTAGGAACAAAATCATCACTTCTAATCAAACCTTTTGTTAAATTTGACCATTCTTTAAACCATGATCTTGAATTCATATATTGTCCACTTAATTCTCCAATGAACTTTCTTGCAGTGTTTGGACTTAATTCGGTTTCAAATGATGTATAGATACCCCATAGATTCTCTAAATTATTCAATGGAATGTTTAAAGCCTTTTTAAATAACTTCCTCTTCATATCCATCTTTTGTTGACCATCCCATGTACTAACAGGTTTCCAATCTTCAATGAAACTAAAATAATCATCCCATAATGAGCCAGATTCAGGATCAAACCCAACTTTATTAATAGCAACTTCATAAGCTTGGAATATAACTCTTCTTGCTTCTTCACCTCCAGTAATTAAATTATTTTTCCTTCTAATATAATTCACATAAGTCTTCCATAATAAAACACTAGAAGTATTATATAAACATCTTTTGAAAATATTCTCCACTTTATCAAATTCACCACGATTTAATTCATAATTAATATAATTAATCCATTGTTTAGCAAAAAATGGAAATTTTTTAAAAAATTTATCATAAGTTTCACGAACTTGTTGAGTTTTATCCTTTAATTCAATCTTTGAGATTAATTCTAACCATACTGAAATATCTCGATCATTTTCTTTTAACTTATCCTCCAATTGTCCAATAACATCAGAGGCTAATCTTGTTTTCTTATTCTTTAATGACTTGTTGTTGATTGATGTAGTGGCAGATGGTATACTAGTTGATCCAATCTCTGGAGTTGGCTCAATCTCAGGAGTGCCTACAGTGGACATTTTAAAGACACAGAAAAAAAAGGGTTTGTAGCAATTGAATGGGCTAACAAATAATCTCTAGATAAAAGAGAAGATGTGAAATATTGATGGTAGTAGTTCACATGTTGTTGATGTTGATTTGAATTCTTGAAAAAGTTCGAGAAAATGCAATTCGGGGGTCTGTATATCACGTGACTGAAAATTCACCCTCGTAATTCTTTATTCGGAAAAGGTCATAATCAAAAGAATAAAAGATGGGTATAAAACATTTTGAAGTGATATTTACAGATATAAAGGAAATAGTTGAGATATGGAATTACATGTTTGGGGTACTCCTGATAAACTAGCAATCATTGATGCTGATTGTTTAGCAACTATATGGTATATGGCTTTAATAATTCCAACTGAAAAATTTCAAATTATAACATCTTCAAATACTGATATTTCAAAATCTGGGAAACTACCAACTCTTAGACTTGAGAATAATGAACAATATGATGGGTTTTTAGATATAATAAGGTATTTATCAGAACAAGGTTATGATTTAGATAAATCGTTAAATAAAGAACAAAAGGCATTAAATCATGGATTATTATTATACATTCAAGATAAATTTCAAATAATTACAGATTATACATTGTTTTTAAACAAATCTAATTATGAATCATACACAAGGTCTATTTTCAAAAATTACCTACCATTCCCAATGCAATATAATACACCTTTACATTTTAGATCAATTGCTAAAAAAAATTGTGAAAGAATTGGTTTAACCATAGAGGATAAAACTGAAATTGAACAAGAAATGTTGAAGAATGTACCAACTGTTAGTAAAGTTCAACAATTAAAACATGAATCCATGATTGAAGATAAATTGGTTTTGAAAAATTCAGTTAGTAATATGAAATGTTTAAATTATTATCAAAATTTAATTGAGACAATAATTAAAATGCAAAAAGAATTGGGGAATGATGCTAAAATCAATATCTTTGGTGATCAAATAACAACTTGTGATTTAATCCTCGTTGCACATCTTTATATTCAAACTCATCAATCATTACCTGATCAATTTATAACAAATTATTTGATAAATTTATCACCAGGTTTTTTAGAAACTAAAACTTCAAATCTTTCAAAAATTGAACTCAAATTATCAAAAATTAAAATTGAATCACCTCTTTTCAAAGATTCTCCAAATTTATTGAATTCTATTAGATATTTGTTATTTTAATTCTTTTTAGGTTTATAACCATCATGTATAAAATAATAAACAACAGTACTATCATCATTTACGATCCCCACCAAGATTCTTTTAGGTCTTTTGTTTAATGTGATTTCTAATTCATGGAAAATTGAATTAAGTCTACGGACAGTTAATTCAGATGAAAGTTCAATTGGTAAAACAATTTCAATTGATTGTTCCTTTTCATCATTTAATAGTTTTTCCTTTGGTTTACCTTGAAGTAAAGTTTCATTTGATAATTGGATTTCTGTAACTTGGGTCCATAAGTTTTGATAAAGAAGATTCTCTTTCACTTGGTTAACCAATGACATGATTTCTTGTGATCTTTATGAAGTTTCGTTAATTGGAAAGGTTTTAAGCATCGTTCCTAGTAATTTAATTTTTTTTTTCCAGATCTGTCAAAATACACCGGGTTTCTTTGAACTACGTTAATGAACTCTACAAACAAAATTGGTTCTTCTAAAGCAATTTTTATTGTAAGTTGTTTCTTTGTATCTCATGATAAAGTTGTTTTAGTCATAATAATAATAATAAATAAATAATTTGAGGTGATCAAACTTTATTTACCTCTAGATTTCATCTTTTTAGCCCAAGCATATTTGATTGATTTATTAACACCAGCTGTGAATATTCCTTTCAAAGTTTGAGCAGTTGAAGATTGGAAGATGATTTTTTCTAATTTCTTGTTTGAATTTTCTATAGTGAAGCCAGGTGGTAATACAAAATGTTTTTGTTCAATAACTTCTTTCATAATTGGTGAATAATAAGTTTGAAAATATTCAAAATTATTATCAACAATTTTTCTAATTTTTTCTGGATTTTCTGCACCTAATTTAAATCTTAGGTCACCTCTATAACTTAAACTAGTTATATTCTCATAAAATTTGAATTCATCAAAAGGTTCAGAATCAGGCAAATTTGCATAAGCTAAAGTTGCAGCTGCTCTTAAATTTTGTTGATTCCAAAATCTAACAATAGGATCATCTTTCAAAATATTGACAGGTTTTTGTAATCTTCCAGCAAGATAAAAAGTGTTCCATTCAGCAAGATCTTTAACTAATGTATCAATGGAAACAACACCATATTTAACTAATTTCCCATCAATCTCAACATATGGGTTAAAATAAACACCAGCACCAACTTCTTGAAATTTTGAAACAACACTTGAGCCAAAATATCTAAGACTTGAATAATGATCTTTATTATATTTCATATTAATAGAATGCCAATGTTCAGGATATGTAACACCAAAGATTAAATCAGTTTGAGTATCTGAATTCAAATAACCTTGAGAAAAAACACCAGATCCATAAGCAAATGCATATTTAATTGGAGCATGAAATTTCGAAATTATTGAATTTAAATCATTTTCACCATTTGGCTGAATATATTGATTTTTAGCAAAATTTGGAGGTAATCTTGAAATTTTATTTAAATCTTTAAAATTTTTCGATAAATATTCAGCTCTTCTAATATTTTCATCTAATAGTCTAAAATCTTGATCTTGTGTTTTATCTTTAACGGTTGATTGATTGTTGTTATTATTGATGTTTCTACTTCTCCCACCTAATATCACAGCCTTCTCAAGTTCATTAACTGCTGATTCTGATGATGATGAAGATATCAATCTTTTCAAACCATGATTATATGGGGATATTATAGAACGTATTTTGAATGTGTTGTACATGTGAGTAGTTGAGGTGTGAATTATGGATGTTGAATAATGAATGAATTTGGAAGAGTGGGTATCTTGTTCAATTTAAATAGTAGCTGGTTATTTGAAAGGTACTTTTATTCATGTTTTTGCCAGCTACCGGCCATTCAAAATAGGGGTCTAGGCCTATGAATGACATGTGAAAACGGGCCTGAGTGGCGATTATTGATGGGACTAATACCGGTCTAGTCCCAAATGTAGTTCTAGGCCCAGCTCTTGGTCACGAGATTCATGATTTCCGTAAATAGACAGCTGCCGTTTTGGGTAATACAAATGCTTTCTAGTTTGACACAAAATAAACTTCTCAACAATAAATACATTTGAAAGTAATTAAATCAACATCAATATATACATTAGCTCTGATATCAGTCATAAAATGCTATTCAGTCTCACCCATAAACATTTTTTTAAATCATCTCCAAAGAAACTGGCCAGATTAGCATCGTCAGTCCGCTGGAAGAGCACCAAGTTGGCAAACCTACTCAACAATTCAAAAGAACCACCTATGTTACATTATAACCAATATTTAAAGAAAGTCGATGAACCTGGTGATTATGCGATAGGTGAAAGGTATGCAGACTTTATGGACCAGCTTATGCTTGATGAAAATAGGAAACAATTAGCTTTTGCTAAAATAGCTTTAAGCACACCCTCACTTTTGACTGGGGAAGAAACATCATCAACAACAAAGCCACGTTATAACAGTGAAGTAAGAGATACAAAACATGAGCCAGTGTCAGGATGTTCAATCAGTAGCTCTAAATTCAAAAACACTAATAGCAAAACTCGGGTTGAACGAATAGATTATTCATCAGATCCAAAGAATTTAGAGGATACCAACAAGAACTACCAGAATTTGAAGAAACATCAGAACAGGACACCATCCATGGAGCGTCGAATGCTTAGTTTGCTTGATATTGAGTCTCGAATTTTACTGCAATCCCCCCAAAGTGAAGCTGATGTACAGTACAGTTTTTGTGCGAAAGTGGTTCAACCTATTTGCTCAATGATTGAAATGGTTTATGGGGTAACAATTCAATTTAACCAACAAGTTTATAATAAAGAGTGCAAAATATTCCCTGGCATAACAATTAAATCACCTAATGCAAAAGGCTCAGTGGTGGTTGAAGTTAAAAAACATTTGCCAGCTGCAAATGAGTTCAATAAACAGAAGATTTCAGAATTGCTCAAGATTAACGGAGTTCAACAAGTCATCAACTCTATAAGTTCCTCTGGTTCAAGATTTGGTATATTGACATCTTTTAAGACAACGCTCATCGTTTGGATAAACCATGATAATGTGACATTCACGGATGAAGAGTGCATTCTTGATATAAAGTATCTTGTCATAGACCATTTAGAGCCATACTGCACTCTTAAATCAATCATTCATAACTTGTTGATTGACCAATTCACTTCACCATTAGATGTTCAACATGAACGTTATGAAAAATCAATGAAGTTCAAGGCAAACTTTTCAACATCTCCAGCCATTGTTGAGAAAAAATTGGAGCTGTCAAGACAATATATGAAACTTCAATATGATGCAAAAACTCTTGGTGGCAATGAAGAAAACATAGAAGTTGTAATTGATTCCAACGTCACTCCAATTGGAACTTTGAAAGATTATGATCATATGGTGAGATCTATTTATTTGAAGAAAACCCACTTTAACCCAGATGACAAGTCTGAGGACTCTGTTTTCATCAAAATTTGGGATCCTGTCACCTTTGGAATGAATGATGATCCAACACATAATCAAGAACAAATGGAATTTGAGTATTTAAACTCAGTTCACAATCAAACAATTGTCAACAAATGCATCGCTGGAAGTCCAAAGTATTGGAAACGAGGATTTCTAGTTGTGAAGGATGAAAATTTAAAAATCCTATCATTGGGGAAATTTATGGCGTTTGAAGTTTCAAATATGAGCAGTCAGATGAAATACCAACCAATGAACGTGATTTTACCAAAGGCTCTTTCACAACTTGAAGTGCTGAATACTAAAGGTTTGGGGCTGTATGTCAATATTGAAGCTGAAGATGATAGATTCAACCCTGAAAAAGACATGATCCTTCAAAAAAACGGTGAGCTGTCAATCATTAATGTTGCTGGAACTGGGGAGCATCCGAGAAGTGATTCTGGTAGAAAATTTGACCGTAGAGTTCTGATTGACGGGATGAAGATGTTTTATGAAGGTTTTGAAGGATGAAATGGATTGAAATTGTGAGTATAGTTCGCGAATGCACTGGTTATATAATCATTAATTAAACGTGTTTGGATTTGACTAGTAGGCTCATACGGGGAATCCACTTTTGAGCCAATTTATCTCTAATCTTTTCAAAATATTGATTAATTTGCAATGATAAAAACAGTACAAATTTGCAAACAGTATTAGCACCTTTGAATTAAAATCTCATCATCACTGTGTGTCCCCATGCCAATTTCTCTTGAATAAAGATTTGATGAGTAAAAAAACAATTGTAGAGTTAATCTGATACCAAACAAATAAACAACCAGCTCTTTTCCAGGATACTCCAGTTGCTGATTTGAACTATAGAATGCTGGGCTCTATAAGGACGCTTCGGGTCTTGCTGCTGCTGTTGCTTTGCTTCGCTTTCCAGTCCGTATTAGCATCATCAATTACCGCTGAGGAAGATGAACTACAAGAGACAAATACTATAACTTGCTCATCAAGAACTATTGTGCAGCTGACATCTCAGGTATCTAGCTCAAAAGTGTCGTTGAAGAATAGAGATTACGGGTCAAGTGTGTTGAGAGAGCTTTTGATCCCAATCAATCAATCAAAACATCAACTGAAATCTTCAACAACAACATCATCATCATCATCATCAATTCCTTCAAGATCACCATTATCATCACTATCAGACACACATCCCTCTGTTATTCCAGTGGTGGAAATACCCAGTGTGGAACCAATCTTATCAGCATCATCAACTACATTGGACACAATGGAAATTATTACAAGTTCAACCTCAGAACAATCAACTTCAAAATCTTCCAATGACCCTATAATAAGCTCAGAATCATCTTCCTTTTCAAATATAGTATCAACTCAATATTTTGAAAATGAAACAGTATTTGACAATTATACCCAATCTAATGAAACAATTGAAGATCTAGAAGATTTATCTTTCAGTGAAGAGGAGAAGGCACAATTTTTATCATTTGAAGAGTGGAAGAGAAAGAAAGGTGTGGATTCACATTCAGGTCAACAAAAAGAACCTGAAACTTATCTCAATAGAATTCCTAAAACCCCCAATGTTAAAGATTCAATTGGTGAAGAGATGGAGATTGATATTTCTAATTTTTTCGATGGTGGATCAGTAGAACCTGAAGGTAAAATTTATAAAGATAAATTTAATTTTGCATCATTTGATTGTGCAGCTACTATTGTGAAAACAAATAGTGAAGCTAAAGGTGCTACATCCATTTTATTTGAAAATAAAGATTCATACTTATTAAATCCATGTTCTGCACCAAATAAATTTGTTGTTATTGAATTATGTCAAGATATTTTAGTTGATAGTGTTGTTATGGGTAATTTTGAATTTTTTTCTTCAACTTTTAAAAAAATTCAAATATCTGTTAGTGAAACATTCCCTGTTGCACAAAATGGGTGGAAAATTTTAGGTCAATTTGATGCTAAAGATATTCGAGATTTCCAAACTTTTCAAATTGAAAATCCAATGATTTGGGCAAAATATTTTAGAGTGGAAATTTTAGAACATTATGGGTCTGAATTTTATTGTCCATTATCTGTTGTTAGAGTTCATGGTAGAACAATGATGCAAGAATATAAACAAGAAGAGGCATTACAGAAATCAAATACAGCTGCAAAGGAATTAGAATCAAGTGGAATTAAGGAAGAACAAGATAAAACTAAAGCTGAAGAAGCTATAAGTGCGGCATCTGAAAGTTTAGTTTCAGAAATGGCCAAATCTTCATGTTCACCAACAAACAATTCTTCCAAAATTGTTGATTGTATTTTAACAAACAAGACTGTTAATAATTCAATAAGAGATATTCAAAAAAATTTAACAAATTTAACAGATGAAGAAATTAATGATGAATGTTTAGTTTCCTTACCTCAATTAAAATTTGATGAACTATTTGATGTCTTCCAACAAACTGATAAATGTGAAACAATTGAATTATATGATAACAAGAGTTCATCAATACCAGTCTCAACACAATCCCCTAATGTTAATACAAACACTGGTACTCAAGAGTCTATTTATAAAAACATTATGAAGAGATTATCATTATTAGAATCAAATGCAACTTTATCAGTGTTGTATATTGAAGAACAAAGTAAATTATTATCCACAGCTTTTTCAAATTTGGAAAAAAAGCAATCTTTAAAATTTGACAAGTTGATTGATACTTTTAATACTTCAATTTATAATCAATTGGAAAATCTGTCAACGTTATATTCATTATTTCAAAAACAAACTGATGAATTATTAACAAGTCAAAGATTAAAACATGAACATTTATTATATGATGCTAATTTGAAAATTGAAATTTTGACAAGTGATTTAAAATTTCAAAAAATTCTAAGTTTCATAAATGTATTGGTTGTTATCTGTGTGTTGATATATGTTGTTATAACAAGAGATACATATATTGAAGAACAATATGTCAATGATGATAAGTATTGGATCAATGTTTCTAAAAGAAGAATAACATCAACAGGATCAAGATTAAAAGCAAATATCCAAAGAATGTATTATAATAGTGATGGTGGTGGTGGTGGTGGTTATGGTTCACCAAGATCATTAGGTCCATCAGATGAAGAAGTTGAAGATGGACATACAACTCCTTCAAGTAATGAAAAACAAGAGACGAATAGTAATGACAATAATAATAACAGCATTGTTAATGCTGGTGATGGGAAATCTGAGAATAGACCATTAACACCAGAAAACAGTGATCATGAATGAATGAATATAGAGTTAATGCATAACTACAATGTAACTAACACAATGTAAAACCTCATGCAATATATTAGAACAATTAGAAAAAAAGAAACTAGTTATATAATAACAGAAAAACGAAAGCATTAAAAAACCAAAACCCAATTCATTAATAAAGAGAACATTCTCTTAAACCATCATATTCATTTTATTTTGAGATCTTTGAGCTAAAGGACTTGAACCTGAACATTCCACAACATCTTCATTATAGTTTCTTTGTCTTTTATTAGTCTGTGTGGTTGTGTGTTTTATAAAACTGTTATTATTACTTGAATGATGATATAAATTTGAAGAATCAATTGGAGAAGTTGTTGGAGTCATTGTTAGAGAAGTTGTGGAGAAATTTTGATTATATAAATCATTGGAAAAAACTGAAGACATTGTTGATGATGCTGAAGGTGGTGTTAAAGGTGAATTGAAAGTTGAGAATGGTGGTGGGATTGGTAAATGAGCAAATTGTGTGGAGATTGGTGTTGCTGATGTTAGTGATGAAGTTTGGAATCCCAATATGATGTCAATTATTTGAATTGAATGTTGTGATATTTCAAATTCTTCAATATTATTTATTGATGATGATGATGGTAATTGATTTGTTAAAGATGAAAATTTCCCCAAGAAGTTTGAAGTTAATTCAACACAATCAAATGATTCATCATTTTTATATTTATTTAATAAAGCTTGTGATAAATTTGTAAAAGAATTTATCAATAATAATGAAATTTGACGAATTTGAACTATAGTATCATCTGTAAAACCTGATAAAAATGGTTTTATAATATTTGGATAAGAATTTTCTAAATTTTCATCAAAAGTTTCATCATCACTTAATTCATTTGATAAATATTCATTTATAGATTTTTTCAAAGCTTCTAATGCAGAATTTGAATCCATTATATTACTTGCTAATAAATGACAAGTTATTGCAATTAAAGAAGGTGGGAATTGTAAATAATTTCTTTCATATAATGATATTTCACATAAAAATCTTGTTAATGTTGTTATTTTAGATAATTGATCATTTGATGAAATGAATTTATTGTTCAAATATTTCTTTGGAGTTGAAGTTATAAATTTTTTTGAATTTTTCAAACTTATTTGTAAACAATCTTCTAAAGAAGTATGAAGTAAACACCAATCTAAAGTTGATAAAATATGTCTTTCCATTTGAACAAACATTTCCTGGTCATAAACATTTCGACACATTATAGTTAATTCTTTTAAAGTTGGAACTCTTGATTTTTTATCTTCATATTTAGCAGCTAACCATAAAGCAGTACAACCAACTAATTGATAATGTCTTTTGAAAACAACTCTTTTGGAACAATATTTATCAATGATATTAATTGCTAGAAATAAAGTTTGAGGATGTAATCTAAAAGATTGATGAATCTCAATAATGAAATCTAAAAGGTAAGGTCTCATATACCATTGGATTTCAGGTTGTAGATCAATCATTGAACAATTGATTATTGAATTATTCTCCACTAATGAAAGGAAATTTGTAATTTCTTGATCATAATCTTGAATACAAATCTTGTTAGCTTGAGTTTCCAACATTTCTAAAGTTGGATGATATGCAGGAGGTTTGATATGTTTTGGAGGACCTAATTTTTGTACTTTTGGAGTCCACATTATGAAGTTATTATGATATGATTTTGAATGCAATATTAAATAAGTGAATAATAAATTATATGGAAAGGGTATATGACATTAAATATTGATGATGGTGATGATGATGATTATAATGATTCAGTAGAACGAACGAATGAATTACTTTCTCTCTCTCTCTTGTGTTGTATGGACTCTATGACTTTGTGATGATCAGTGTGTTGGATCTGGGAAAGTGATCTTTTGGGGAGTGGAAAGTATATATACAATGTGAAATGGTGAAAGGTGGTGGAAGTCGCCCTAAATTTTTTTCTAGCCTCGTAATGGTGAAGTATACGCTTTTTCGCGTCTTTTGATGGTGTTTTACCCTTTAAAGTACTTGCTTGAGGAATCTCCATCAGGAAATCTCACCTGTCTGAGTCCCTGTGAGATGTGTGTGTTGATTTTTCAATCGATGCGTTCTTCGATGGCTTCGAGCAGAAATTTGCTGCTGTTTAAAGTAAAAATGTACTAAATTTTCAGACGTGTCGACGCGTCTGTTTTTTGCTTTTCTGGTTCCAAAACGCGATTCCGGGCAGGGCTCCTTCTGGAGTTTAGGCGGGAGAAGGGGATTAGGCGGGAGGCTCTGGAAGGAGCCCCTTGTAGAGCTAGGCAGACGCTAGGCTGGGACGCGGACTGCAGTTTTTGCAAGGAGGTCCCTTTGAACTTTATACGGCGACCCTTTCTTTTGGAAACTTTCTCTGCACGATCTCGATTTGGAAATAATGGTGAAGAAAGGGCTCCATTATGTAAACCTAATCACAAGAGTCGAGTTTAAGCCTTTCTTTAGATCACATCAAATAATTGTTTTGTACTCGTTCGATGGTACTACAAGACGGTCATAAGTGGAGCATTTCGAGTTGAGACCCAATTGAAATCACTGGTGTCAAACACAGTCTAAAACAATATACAATACAATTGCTGATCCTCTCAATGAAGCCAGAAACCAGATTCACCAGATCCCATTCACATCAAATCACCTTGAATCCTACACGGTGAAATATCTTCAAAATTCAAATCGCGTGCCAATTGGAAACTCGAGAGACGCGTTCAAACTCTGGTGACACGCGTGGTGCTGGCAGACAATGTCAAAGGGATCAAAACAGGAACAACATATGATCAATGGAATTTGGAAAGTAAAGAGATCTTACACTTTTTGAGGCAAGATGTGGGTTTTGAAGGTTGATATGTTGAGTGTGTTAATCTGCTACTCGTTGAAGTGAGCCTCATTGGTATCTCTTCATATCTTGATGAAAGGTTTCTAGTCATAATTCATTTGTCAATCGATCAGGTTCTAATGTCTTTGTGAGCAGTTACCAAATTGCAATAAAAATGTTTGCATCAAGGCTAAGATGATCAATTGCTTTATCTTCTTATCTAATTTAGAACTAGGTGTATATTGTCCTAATGATCCAAATGATCCAAATAAAATATCTGCCATTATTGAAGGTTCAGCAAGTCGGACCGTTATGCAAATACCATCGAATTGAATACCAATTACTTCGATCTTTTTTATAAGCTAATATTTCTCTATGGATCTGCTCGCTAAAGAGTGAAAATGCTAGACGAAATTATGGGGCAATCTGATATTCTTTTGTTTCTTTCCCACGCTGTTTTCTAAGAAAAGGCTTTTTTTCGCGCTTTCTCGTTGGCTGGCCGGTGCATCCCAACACCAACTTGTGACTTTAAATGTATTCAACTCAAGAATGTCTTGAAACTTGAAACGTCTGCAATTGATTAACTTTACAACTTATATTGAAGTCATCTTGTTTGACTGTTATTTTATTTTTGAATGTGGAAAAGGAAATAATAACACAACTGATGTGTGTCTGTGCGATTTAGTGCAAGTGATTTAGCTAGCATATAGTTCAGCGGATCCACTGTTCGAATTTAATGGTTATCTATGTTTCTCAACTAAGGTATGATTCAATTGAACGGTGATTCAATTGAACGGACTTCAAGCCACAAGCTATGTTTCCATCTAGGTTCATACCTCAGTCGATACTTGAACACTCAACACTTCTGTGTCATGATTAGTCTTACTTGGTTTTGAAAAGAACTAGTAGCTCTTCGTGATTAATACATGGGGTTGTCAATTTTGAAAGATAATATTTGATGTAGATGGTTTATCCATTCAACTGTCTATGATTTAATCGCTTATTAATGCGTTTCTTCATCCCATCAAGGCTTCATAGGTGAGATTCAGGCTCACTCCATCATCAAGGGATGGATGCTACAACAATCAAAGTACTAAATATGAATGAGTTGCAATCTGGTAATTGAGTTATCCAGAACTAGAAAAAGTTCATATCGGCAAGTCCAGAAGTATTGATATCAAAAGAGCTGAATTAATGTTTATTTCCATAAGCATATTCAAAAAGTTAATTAGTTTGAAACTGATTTTGTCGTTAATTACGTTAATTAGATGATATCAAGCATCTTGACAGAATATCTTGAAGTTTTAGACCTCAATTATTAACTTGTTTCAGAATATAACATTAGTCACTGGTAAGAATCATTTGGGGGTCCACTTGCATCTAAGATAGCTATTGAATGTATTGATTAATGGTATTGGTGGTATTAGAGATACTCAATGCATGAACAAAGTTTATACTCATCTCTTTGGCATTACAGATGCTGTAAAGATATAAAATATGTTTCATAACCAATTTTCTGATGAAACTGGTCCTTCATTTGTTAATCCATGCCATTTTTTGATGATGATTCTTTGATCCCACAATGTTATGTGGTTATGAATTGACTTCCAATGTATCTGAGTGATTCAGGTGATCCAAAAAGCTTGAAGTTTGGTGCCTTAAAGGATAGTTGTTTCTTAAAATATTACGTTGATGGTGGATGCTTCAGTGAATAATCTAGCCAGCAATATTGTATATTGCAAAGAACTTATACTTTTTAAACCAGCTGTGGCTAAAACTAGAAGTCCGTGATTTTGATGCTTGTCACTGAATTGATTTTAAAAACGCAATGATTCACAAGTCAGATAATGATGATATTGATTTTTTGGCGAGATTCTTCCATCAACATTCAAGATTAGGTATATGAGAAAAGTTTGATGTATAGAAAGTTCAAATAGTACAATCAAACTTGATCTCTCATCCAACATTTCTACTCTTGGGTAATTTAAGAGATGAGCTGATCAAGTTAAGAAACAATGCATGAGATTCTTTATAATGATGATCCAGGCTTGTAGATAAAGTACACAGCAGGTAGGTACCACTCGTATAATATCAACTGAAACGTGAGATTGATATTCTTATCAATTTCAGCACCAACTTTGTAATTTTGACATATAATCAAATTCCCTTCAGCTTCAGAGAAGACCATGATGAGCTAACTCCGGCTGTCAATTAATAAAGCCGATATCTAGTTGAATTTAACCATTCAACATAGTACCAATTTGTTTGTTTAGTACTCTTGATTCGTAATGAAAGACCAAACCACCATCTCCAAGTTGTTCATGGTTTTTCAAGCTGAACAAATGCCTGAATTCTCGATTTGCTTCTTTTGCAGAATTTCATCCTTCTTTTATCGCTTCGAAGCTTCTTCCACAAAACCTGAATCCTGATAAAGTACAAGGTCCAAAATCTGGAGACAACAATTCATCTTGTAGGCTATTCTGATTTCTTAGTACTTACCCAGCAAATCATAGGCCTTCATCTTGTTCAAGGGTTTCGTCGCTTCTCTTTACACCTTACACGGCCCTTTTCTTCGCGCTCAAGGCATCAACTGGCAAATTTCAACCCGAGAAAAACGAATTTCAAAAGGCATCAGTTGTGAAAAAAGTAGGCAATGAGAAGTTCAAAGGGCAAAAGTTGGAATCTATGAGGGATCATTTCAAAGAAACGTACTGATAAAGAATTGAAAGATAAGAAGCGATTGAAGTTTGAGCACAACAACACAGTGCTCAGGTTGGAATAATTCCATTAAATTCAAATCATATGTAAATATTTTTAAAGCCCCTCCAAGCTCATCGCCGGATTTAGTAGGATCCTGTCCAGGTTTCTTTTTGAGGAAGAATTTTCTCTAGTTGAATAATAGAAAGTTTAAAGCCTAGGTAAACTTGATTCAAGTCAGATTTTGGAGTAACAACAACGACTAACCCCAGCTTCACCCACACAACAGCCGTAGGACTCCTAACAGGACAATCACATCTACATCTTGTGCCCAAAAAACACACATTTCTACACAATTTTCCCATACAAAACCAATTCGCTTCTGGCTTCTTGTGGTGCGAACCAGGAAATGTTATTTCCGAGCCGTTGCGCAGCTCTGAACTTTATTTTTTTGCCAAAATTTTCATAGAAGTCGCCTTTTGCGGTCTGATGTAATGATCGAAAAGACGTTTTCTTTCACCACTTTGGAGAATTTTGATACATGTACTGCTGCTGATAATGGTTTGTACGGTATTGCGGTAAATCTTGTTCCTTGGTGGGAAAAGGAGAAGTCTGATCCCATATATACTGAGCTTTCCATCTTGATTTTATTTTATTTTAAAGTTTTCTACTAAAACACCGTTTGGCAAAAAACCCTTTCCACAATCCACTCATAAACTACAGTCACGTACATATATTTTCACATTTCTTCATCAGTTCAAATTAAATATTCCAAGTTCCAACTCGAGTGTTTTTTTTTTGTCAAGTTTTCCTAGATTTTCATAAAGATGTCAAGCAGTTCAAACTCTGATATAAAGAAACAACAAAGTCCATGGTCAATCCCAATGGAGGATATTGATCAAAAAGGTGATTCAAGTGATTTGGGCAATTTTGAAACTTATCAAAGACAGCAAGATCCAAACCAATCAAAATGGAAAACTTTTAAAGACTCTTTTAAAAGAAAAGATGAATTAGGTATTGATGAAATTGTAAATGATACTGAATCACAATCAAGATCAATCAAAGACACAAGTAAAAAATCAATCAAGACTCGTCATGTTGCTCTTATTGCAATCGGAGGAGGTATGGGTACTGGTTTGCTTGTGGGGAATTCAAAATCTTTAGCCTTTGGTGGTCCAGGTTCTTTAGCAATTTCTTATATTGTCGTGGGTATTATGTTATTTTTCACTATGCTTGCAGGTGGTGAATTAGCTGTTGCTTATCAAACTGTTACAGGTGGTTATAATGCTTATTGCGCTAAATTAGTTGACCCTTCGTTAGGTTTTGCAACTTCATGGAACTATGCAATTAATTGGTTGATTGTGTTACCTTTAGAATTGGTGACAGCTTCAATGACTATCAAATTTTGGAATGATTCTATAAATTCTGATATATTTGTTGCCGTGTTTTTTGTCTTGATTATTGTCATTAATTTCGTTGGTGCTGAAGGTTACGCTGAAGCTGAATTTTGGTTTAATTTGGCTAAAGTGTTGATGCTTTTCGGATTCATCATCTTGGGTTTAATCATTGATACCGGTAGAGCTGGTAATGGTGGTTATGTTGGTGGTAGAAATTGGGAATTAATGTCATTTGCAAATGGTTTCAAAGGGTTTTGTGCTACTTTAATTAATAGTATTTTCTCTCTTGGTGGTACTGAATTTGCTATTTTATCAAGTGCTTCTCAAAAAAATCCAAGAAAATCAATTCCAACAGCCATGAAGGTTATCTTTTTAAGAATCTTTGTCTTTTATTTGGTTTCAATTATTGTTGTTGGTTTATTAGTTCCATATAATTCAGACAAATTGATGGGTGCTGGTCATAGTTCAGCTGCTCCAGTTTCTCCATATGTTATTGCAGTTGAATCTTATGGTATCAAAATTGTCCCACATATTATTAATGCAGTTATTTTACTTGCCGTGCTATCAGTTGGTAATTCTGCTTTATTCTCATCTGCTCGTACTCTTTATTCATTATCAGAACAAGGCATGGCTCCACAATGGTTTAACTATGTTGATAGAAGAGATAGACCTTTAAGAGCAATGCTAGTCTCAACAACTGTTGGTTGTTTGTGTTTTATTGCTGCTTATGAAAACCAAGAGTCCGTTTTCACTTGGTTATTATCATTATCTGGTTTATCAATCTTGTTTACATGGACCACCATTTCAATGAGTCATGTTAGATTTAGATCAGGTATGAAGGCTCAAGGTTTTAGCTTGAAGGAATTGGGATTTGTTTGTTCAACAGGTTCTTGGGGTTCTTATTTCGCAATTATTTTCAATATTTTAGCTTTGGCTGCTCAATTTTGGGTTTCTCTATTCCCAATAAAAGGTAAAGGTGCAAGTGCTATCAATTTTTTCCAAAATTACTTGGGCATGGTTATCTTTATTATTTTCTATTTTGCTCATAAGATTTGGACTAAAAATTGGATCTTGTTTATCAAAGCTGAAGAAATTGATTTGGTAAAAGATAGAACTATTGCTGATATTGATGTTATGCAACAAGAAGAAAGAGAAGAGGAAGAACAACAAGAACAAGTTCCATTCTGGAAAAAATTCCTAAAGATGCCTTTCTAAGCCTTTTTGCATTCTCTTTTGATATGAATTTTTATTTTTATTTGACTTTTGCTCCAGAAAAAGAGTGAAAAGGTTTGTATGTCTATCGGTGTTTCATTATATTCTTATTTATTTCATCATATTATTTTTTTTGTCATTATTATTATTTACTGGGAAACGGAAGGTTTTGTGATTTGAATTCATTTCTACGTTTTATCATGACTTGTTTGTCTTTTTTTTTATATATATTCATTCCAATTTTGTTTGTCTGCATTTCATTGTCATTATCAACAACATATCATATTGATGTTCAAACTTTTTTTTTGATCCTTGTATAAATATTTAGATTGATTTTTAGATTGATCAATGTATATTACAATTTGAAAACTAGTTAGATGTAAGTTTCTGTGAGCTAATTCTCTAAATATTATTCAAAGCGTTTGATTAAAAATAGCTTTAGTCAGCCATATAATGAGTTTAAATATTGGCTGTCTGGCTACATATAACTGTAGTCACGTGACCAAACTTAGCACACAACCCAATGATCAGTAGATTATCAAGGCAAGCATCGCTTTTATGGTTTTATATAGCTATAACACTTTTGTGACATTCCAACATGTATATTTATTAATTATTATATTGAAAAATGTCATTACAAATTTATTTAAAATATTGATTAATTTTTGATGATAACGTCCCCTTCTTAATTTAATCTCAAATCCTCTAAAATTCTTCAAAATCTAAAATTTGAATTTGTAGTCTACAGTCTCCAGGCCGAGTACATTAAAAGCTCCTACTCAATAAAAACCCAGTTCCATAATTTCCAGCCATTTTCTTTTTATTTTTTGGTTTATGTTGTAAACTAAATTAGTCAAAATTTAGTTACTGCCAAATGGTATCGGGTCAACAGTCCTTATCTTGATCAGGATCGAGATAAACAATAGGAAAACGTTTCGCAAACATTCCACTTCACAACAAAAGTTTTATTTGGCGAATTCACCAACGTCCACGTCTGGCAATGGTGCACCTTGATACTGGAAGTATAACCAAGAGTCGCCCTTTTGAATGCCCAACTTGCCAAAGAAGGTTCACAAGAATTGAAAATCTACGGAGACATGAACGACAACGTAAGTTACAATCACCTCTTCATTTCATCACAGGGCTAACAGAATTCGAATAGATTCACAGCAAAGACTTTCTTGTCAGCATTGCTTGAAATTATTTTCACGAAATGACGCTTTGAAACTTCATTTGAAACGATTCCACCAAAATGGGAGTATTTTGAAATCAGCAGCTTCTGTTAAGATCGATTCACCATTGGAAAAAGTATCAAGGGATAAACTGGAGACACTTCTACAATTATATTGGGAAAACTTTCATCCAACTTTTCCAATATTACACAAAATGACATTTCGTTCACCAGGAGATTATGACGATGATGATGATGACGATGATGCTACTATTATTCACGAATTTGCTCAAAACGCGCTGGTCAATATCATGTGTTGTATTGGTCTACGATACCTAAAGGATGATGAAAGCAAACAATTGAGATTAAGCTTAGAAGCCTATGTTCTTAAAAAACTACAGACACCTTCAGTTGAGGATCCTGCTTTGACAGATTTACAAGCATCTTTATTATACATTCATTGTGGGATATATTCAGGAAATGAAGAGTGGTTTAAAAAAGCTGAAATTGAATTACATTATTTAATTGAAATCGCAAGAGAAACAGGGATTTTCCAAAACACACCAGCTGTAAGCCAATTGGGTAAAGAATGGGATAAATTTATATTTTCTGAATCAAGAAGGAGAATATCATATGCAATTTACTTCATTGATAGTCAGTTAGCAACACTGTTTAACTATCCACCAGTCACATCACATTATGAAATCAAACACATCCTTCCTTGTTCAGATGAATTATGGGAAATGCCAACAGCTGAAGACTGGGAAGCCTATAAAGAGTCTCATGTTGAAACTCAGGGATTATATTTTTTGGAAGGCTTGCAAGATGCGTTGATATATGGTAAAATGTCAAAACCTACAAGCTCTTTTGGCGCAATGACTATTCTTTCAGCAATGCATATAATGATTAGACATATGACTCAGTATGCAGGGATTTTGGAAACAGTTCCCTCACATGCTCAAGATCCCTTTTCAAGACGTTCACAATTAGGTAATGGGTTAAATGGACTAAGAACGTTAATACCCAAAAATACACATTCGGATCCATTCAGACAGAAAACCATGTGGGATTTATTTGAATACTTCTGGAATCTTGCTTATATCCATTTACATTTACCAGACACTGTTATTACATCAGGTATAATTGAAGTCTCATTAGATGCTACTGTTGTAACTTGTGCAACCTTGGCTAAACCACAAAGTAAGAATCCACCAGGTATTGCTTTATTGAATAATGATTTCAGTCAAATTCCTTATCAAACTCATGCTTTGGCTTCAAGTCATTTAGGGTTTTTCCTGAGTTCATACAAGAAAGGAGTTCAGGAACAGAACCCAGCAATGACTTTCATGTTTTATAAAGCTTGTCTTAAAGCATGGCAAATATTGAATGTTGCCTTGAAAAAGGATGAAGCTGAAAATTTCGAATATCCTTTAGAATTGGATGAACAGAAAAGACAAATGTTGGAGAGTAAATATTTGATGCAAAGATTAGCTGGTGACATCTTGTGTAACTTGGAAGGTAGTACAGACTACAGTGACTTACAATATTTTGAAAATTGGGTTGAGAGTTCGTTGAGCTCATTAAACACTTGGGGTATAGGTGATTGTGCTTCTTGCTCATTCAGAGATATGTTGATAGAACCTCAATTTTAGGCCAATAAAGTGGTTAAATAGGAAAGTATGGCTTCAATTGAGTAATTGATATGCTTTAGAAGTTATGCAGGTCTAGAAACAAGTACAAGTGTAGATGGCAGCTTCATGTATACTACATGTGCCACCCTTTGGGTGAACTGCTGTGAGCGAATAAGGGAGCTTTGAAGATATAAAGAGGTGAAAGTGTAGATTGGGTGTATCAGTCATTCAACCTTTATGTTTGAGCAGCGGAGGTTTGATGTTTTTTTGACTTGGTTTTCCACATCAACTTATGCCTCTAGTTTAGTTCATGCTTATTGCATCAGTTTATCAAACAATTGTGCAACAAAGGTATCAAATGATACCTGAATTCAGTGAAACTGTTGATAAATTGTCTGAAATTCTTTTCAGAGCATGTTTCACACTCTCCATCCAGGTTGATCTGTGCTTCAACTTCTAAGACACAAAGTTGATCTTTTGTAGGCAAAAGTTGAGAGAAATGAGGTTTCACAAACTCATAGACTCATAGACTCGATGAAGAGAATAAGAGCGTAGCTAAACAGTTGGATTGAGTTGATTAATTCATATAACCTTCAAGAATATTATTGTAGTCATGTTGGGATCCTTATAAGTTGAAATTTGAAGCTTTTAAAGGAATTACACAGACCTTCCCGATTAGGAAAAGTAATTAAAATTTTTAGATCACCGAAATCCCAGTCAAAATTTTCAACACATTTGGACCTTTCACTTGTAGGCTATAGCACCCAACTAATTACACCTCCATTTTTGGGGCATAGGCTATGAATAATGGTTTATGAGGCACATGTACATTAGCGAGAAATACTCACAAACCACTAGGCACCTTACATATAATTGTTCCTTTGAAGACTGATCAAATTTCACGGGGATTGAAGAAACCTTCATACGTACCTTTTTACTACAGCTTCATCCCTAGTGCAAGAGTAGTCCAAACCAAAGTTAACACAAACGAATACTACTAATACTTAGAGTTCCTATTGAAAACCTAGATTAAAGTAGGTACCAAAAGGCTGAAAACTAGACTTTCTAAAAGTTAATTTGTATGTCTTGAAGAAATCTCAGATGCCGGTTGCGCTTCTTCGCGTCAAAAAGCGGTTTGGCACACACAATTTGGCAGATCAATAACGAACGTCGAACACTTTTGATCCATGAGCAAGAAGCTCGAGATAAATGCTTACAATTCTTTCCTGATCAAACAGAGTTGAAAGATATCCTGCATGGTTTGAAACTTGCCAGGATTAAAACAGAGGGGCATATAATGGCTGATTGTCGAATATATTTGATTGACTTGGAGCAATCTGTTCAGAAGTGTTTTCAATTTGTCAGTTTATCAACGTGAAAGCAACTGATAAACTTTGACATCTTAATTACATATGCAACGCCCCCAATTTACAATCACCTTAATTTTATTGTGATAGTCGCAATGATTCATGGCAGCAAATAGCAATTGGTCGAGAACTGTGTTAGACAGGAACATTGTTTCTTTTTCTGCCTAACGGAAAAACCTCTGACACATAGTTTATGCTTGATAAATTGATTGATTGTGTAAATCCACACTTGTTATACATCAAAATTGTTTATCCATGATCCAAATCACAACCAATAAGGCTTACATATGAGACAGGGGCTTTCAGATTCAAATATAAAAGGGCCTCAAAATCATGTCTTTTAATCACATCCATGTTCATTTTTTAATCATCAACCAAACACTGGGAAATCACTTATAAAACTACACATTAATTCATTATGGTCTCAATCAACGTTGTTTTACAAACTGCTTTATTTGCTTTAACTGTTCAAAGTGCTGCTATTCCACCATCATTGAACTCTTCATCATTACCAACTCCAGGTACTCCAGGAACTCCATTAACTTTCCCAAAGAGAAACTTTAACGAAACCTTGTCAAAGAGAGGCTTCAATGAAACATTGTCAAAGAGAAGCTTCAATGAAACATCAGTTGAAAAAAGATTATTCAATGAAACAAATGGTGTCAAGAGAGATTTAGGTGCTTCATTATCAGATCTACCAAAACCATCTCAACTTGCTGTTTCTGATTTCCCAAGTGTTTCAATCCCATCAATTATCCCATCATCTATTCCATCTTCATTCCCAGTTAAAAGAGGGTTTAATGATACTGAAGGTACCGGTATCTACAAAAGAGGTGAAGAACTTGAATCATTATCAGAGCCACCAGCTTTGAACGGTACAACTAACGGTACTAATTCTACTGGTCCAATTTCATATGGTGCTCCATCTTCAGCTCCACTCCCATCTAACTATTAGATCAATATTATTAAATGGGGCATGGTTTGCTTAGGTTGTTTTTTGATAAAATGATACAATTGATACAATACAGAGAAAAGGAAAATACAAAAAAAAGTTGTTAGTCCCGGTTATATCTTCGTTTATGTATTTCAGTTCTGGTATTCACGATTTATGAATACTCTCTTTTTCTATAGGGTTTTTTTAACTATTTTTGAATTGTCTTCGTTGAGCTAATAACTAGTGTAGTTGAAACTTGACGATGAAGCTACAATAACGTTTATTTCATTGAGTAAGGTTCATAATTGATGCAAAGAAGGAAAAACGGTCAAACTTTGATCTAATTAGCGCTGAAAGAAAGGATTAATCTGGAATCTGAGTAATCGTGGAACTACGCGACTCTGAATTCTAGAACCGTAACTGTTCCGGAAAGAAAACCAAACTAATTGACAACTGATATATATGTTTCAATTCCAAATTTAACGAGCGAGCCAGTTGCTTCAAAGGAGTGGAAAACTTCACCAGTGGTTGTTGCAGTAATTTTGATGAAGGTTGAAACTGATGTAATTGGAATTTGGTAGGCTATGAATCTGATTTGTGATTTTCAGGTACAGCACAAAAACGTTTCACAACCTACACCTTTCAAATTAATTAACCACCACATTTTCGCATCCAGATTCAATAGTCCTTGCAAATATTTTAATAATAGAAACAGACTCAAAATCTCGAGGCTTTGATCAAAAATCTAAGCTAATTTTGAGCTTAAATTAGTTCATGTAGGCAAAGTCTTTGATGAACCGTGAGATTGGCAGAGCCTCGAAAAAGCGCAACAAAAGCGCCTGGAAAATTCAAATTTATTCCAATTCTAAGTAATTAACACAGAATATCAAGTCAAAAAGACAACATTTCTGTAATAATTGATGTTCTTCGGTGATTCTACTTGATTCTTTAGTGGTCCAGATGTTGCTCGCTTGAATGATGATATGGCGTTGAAATTTTGACATGAAGATCAACAGCAATAGAGATTTGAGATCAGAAATTTTTCACTGAAATGATTAATTTTTGATAGAGAGACGATAATTAACTGTTTACATGTTCCCTATAGGAGAAGGTGAGAGGGCTTGCACCCTTTAATTTAATTTAGTTTGACCAAATGATCTATTTATGGGAACTGGAACAAAAAGAATTGATGTGGAGGAATGCTTTTTCAGAAAACTATTTAAATGGACTGAATTGACTACTTTGAGACGTGTTCAAATTATTATTCTTCAATATAATTAATCAAATCTAATTATCTACAAAAATATGGTCTTAGCTCAAACAATTTTACAATCAGTCTTATTCGCTTTGGTTGCAAATGCTGCTGCAATTCCAATTCAAGATGGTCAAAAATTCAATTCAAGTGCCTATTCAGTTCCACCATTATCAGTTCCAAGTGTCTCATTAGATCCAGGTTCTGCTTCAATTGCTTCTCCAAGTTTCTCTTCAAGCCCTTCAAGTGTTGTTGCCCAAAGTGCTGCTTCAAATCCTTCAAGTTTTTCATCAGTTTCAGTTCCAATCGCATCTCCACCACCATCAGATGCTACTGTTCCTAGGGTCTCTCCCCAAGATAAAAAGATAAAGCAAGAACAACAATACCAAAAGAGAGATGATGACGATGATGATGATGATGACAAAGATGATGATAAAGATAAAGATGATGACGAGGATGACGATCAATCCTCTAGTGCATCACCATCAGAATTCATACAATTTGTTTCATCATCATCAAGTGCTAGTGTTTCAGCTACTCCAACTGCAGATGATCATGATGATGATCATGATGATGACAAAGATGGTGACAAAGATGGTGATGGTAAATGATGAGATCACACATTTAATGTGATTCTTTCAATATTCTTTATGATTTTATGATTTTCGTTTTTCAAAATTAGCTCTAGTTTTTATTCATGACTGGTTGGGTTCATTTGTTTTTGTGCAAATATCTTTGAATATATGCAATCTTGGTTCTAAAAAACAATTTTAAGACTAATCGTAGTCAAGAAAGCTGCTGTTTTGCCAAAAGCTGTACCATACTCTCTCATTAGCTTCACACTTCTTATCTCGCTATATATTGGTCGAGCATATAGTACTGTCATGATACCACATATTCAACAAAATAGTTAATTACGTTCAACTGTTGCCTAGGAACTAGTGCTGTGATAACCACCACTCGAATATATAAGCTTGATTATCTGCCAATTCTTATGATTTCACTCAGTCATTGTTAAATGCAATACAGCTACTTAGCTCAAACGTTTTTTCACCAATAGATCAATCCGTGTAGTATCCATTCTTGTATAACACACCTTCTCTATATACATTCGCGTGGGGGCACGTGACGAGATTTGGCACAGTCTGAAAAAAACATTAAAAAAATTTCAATACTCTTTCTAATTCTCGTCTGAGAAGATAACAATGTTGTCAAGTATATTCTGCAGTATTTCTATGGTTCTCCTATCAGGGTGGCAATAAATCTGCTGAATATTTCAGAATACATGGCATGTAGAGTTTTTTTTGTGGCATGCATCTGGAAGGTATATTTTTAGTACTGTCCGTTTTCATGGTTACTACTATTGATGTACCTTCTCCATATTTTGGTTTATCTGTACTTTTACATCGTGGTCTTTGATAGTACTGGAAGGAAATTGGGTTTAGTACACGAAGTGTTCTCAAGACGCGTCTACAAAGCTAGTCTGTGGAAATTTCATGAACAATCTGAAAAGATTGAAAGCTTTCTTTTGAATGCTATAATTTCTGTACGATGTATGGGTGTTTCAAACTACGCTTTCATCGAATCCATGAAATATATGCTTTCATTTTTCACAATGGACCTGTAAGTTGAAATTTTCGTTACTAGTAAGTTGTTATAAGTTATAACCATTAAACGATACTTTACGAAGAGAACCTTAACAGGGCAACAAATTATCAAAGTGCAATATTATACAAAAACTTTAAGGCCATCATGAAGTATACGATTAATAAGCGTTACAGTAAACGTTGAATACGGATGACCGTTTTAAAATAGAAGTTTCGGGTACCTGATTTGATTGTTTGATGTTGGCTTGGGTCTTGGTGACCCATATACACTTGGCAGGTACCAGATCTATTGCTCTTTTGAAAGGGAATCTCTTCAGCTGTGATCAGCTTTTGGATAGATAACTGGTGAAAATGTATATCAGGACTTATAAAAAGTACATTGTTGAAGGGTAAAGCTTCAAAGAGATAGAATTAGTTATGTCTATTTCCATAGTTTTTGAGCATGTCTCAATGAAGACCGCAAATGAAGCGTACCAAGATTTCCCTTTCTTTCCTTTTTCAATTTGATTGAATACGAACTGGAGATTGAAGACGTATCTATGGTTTTCTATTTTTGTTTCCATTGTGTATTGTTAGTGTAATTCAGTTATTTTTAGGTCTCAAGAGAAGCAATGGAAGGTTATGGTGGTCACTTCAGGTATTGGCATCATTCAGGTACCAAAAGTTTAAATATATATGTTAACCCAAAACACAATAACCTTGAGAATCTAATGGGTATATAAATGGGCAGTTCTTCCTTGAAATTCTGGACCCAAAATATGATGTTGTTATAACAAAAACTTTATAAAGATGTTACCTCAAACTGTTTTCAATTCAATTTTACTAGCCTTATTGGCAAATGGTGCAGCTATTCCAAATAATATTGAAGATGTTGAACCATGTTCAACCAGCTATACGACATTAACAAATCCAACTGTGACTGCCACACTTCCAACTGCCTCAGTTCCAACTGTGTCTACTCTATCAACTTCTGTCACTTCAAATGACGGTTGTGTCTGTTCATTATCAATTTCACGTCCAAGTTTATCAATCTTACCAACTTCAATTACCAGTGGTATTGGAACAACAATATCAGTTCCTCCAGTTTCACTCCCATCTCCACAACCTTCCGAAGGAACAACATCAATTCCACCAGTTCCACTTCCATCTCCACAACCTTCTGAAGGAACAACATCAATTCCACCAGTTCCACTCCCATCTCCACAACCTTCTGAGGGCGAACAAGAAGAGAGAGATTGAAAATTTTAGTTATTTCAACAATCTTGTTATTTCTTTCGCTTATTGATTCTCAAATATAAGTTTATGGCCATATTCTTAAACGATTCATGTAGACCTACAAAGTTTCTTGCGCAATGACATGTCAATAAATGATTCATTTCAATGTTTTTTAACAACACCTGAAGCATCAGCAGCAGCCAAGATGTACTTCTTATAGTCATAAATAGTACCTTGGAATTTCTTCACAGTACCATCTTCACTAACCCAAATTTCATTACAAACAGTATTTATAACACTAACATCATGTGAAACCATCAAGACACCACCTTTGAAGTTCTTTAAAGCATCACTTAGAGCATCTAAACCAGCAGTATCTAAATGATTTGAAGGTTCATCCATAATCAAGATATGAGGATTATTTAAACATAATGCAGCAAAAGCAACTCTTGATTTTTGACCACCTGATAATAATTGCATTTTTTGTAAACCTAAAGTACCAGTGATACCAAATGAACCTAAATGACGTCTATATTCTTCATCAGTTTTACCTGGATAAGTTTTAGACATCCAGTCCACGGCTGAAGTGGTTAAATCCATCGAATCAACATGATGTTGTGCAAAATAACCAATTCTTAATCTTGGATTCTTGGAAACAAACCCATCTAATGGAGATAAAGTTTCCATAAGAATTTTCAGTAATGTAGTTTTACCACAACCATTAGCACCAACTATAGCAACACGAGAATCCATTTGAATATCTAAATCAACATGGTTTAATAATAAATCATTTGAACTATAACCAAATGAAACATCTTTCAATTGAACAATAGGTGGTGATAAACCTTCTGGATCTGGGAATTTGAAAGTAATAGCTTTATCTTGTTCAGGAGGTTCTAATACTGGTAATTTTTCCAATTTTTTAATTCTTGATTGAGCTTCAGAGGATTTAGCTGCATTATATCTAAATTTATCAATAAAAGTTTGCAAATGTTGTCTATAAGCCATTTGATTTTCATATTCACGTAAATCATTCTTACGTCTTTCTTCTCTTGTGGAGTAGAAGGAATCAAAATCAGCACCTCTGTAATAATCCAATCTTTCAGAATGTTGATGAATAATATCAGTGGCAACTTCATTTAGGAATGCACGATCATGCGAAACAACAAGCACAGTGGATTCATAAGTTTGTAAATAGTTTGCCAAATAAGTGATGGAAGGAACATCCAACATATTGGAAGGTTCATCCAATAATAATAAATCAGGTTTACAAAACAATGCTCTTGCTAAACTTAATCTCATTCTCCAACCACCAGAAAATGAATTTGTTGGTCTTTGTTGAGATTCTTTTGTGAAACCTAAACCAAACAAGATTGAAGCGGCTCTTGATTCAGCTTTATCTGATTCCATTTCATATAATTTTTCAGCAATTTCTTGTAAATGAGATTCTAAATCATCACGTTCATTATCCAATTTCTTAACTTCTAAACTCTCTTCCTCGAATTGAGATCTTAGGTTTTCAATTTCTGCAATACGATCATTATGTTGCTTCTCCTCTGTTAATAATTGTTTTCTCCAAACATCAGCATCTAAAACGGATTGAAGTGCTGTGATTTCACTACCTCTAATTTCTTGTTCCACATGTAAAATTGTTATATGTTTTGGAACATTCAATTCTCTTCTGGATAGAGCTCTTAATAATGTAGATTTACCAATACCATTCTGACCCACAAGACCATATCTATGACCATAAGATAAAGTTAATTGGGCATCACTCAAGATTCTTTGACCATCACCAACATAAAGATCAAATGTATCAATTTTGATATCTTTTGATTTACCAGCACCTGAACCAAATTCAATTGGATTAATCTTCAAGAAGAATTCATCATAATTTTCTTCTTGAGAATCATTAATTAATTTTGAAGCTTCATATTGAACAAATTGATTATTTCTTTTGGCAACTTTAGCTGCAATTTTTCTTTCAGCTTTTTCCAACTTTTTCTTATCAACTTTTGATTCAACATGTCTCCCAGTATGTTCAATATCTCTAGTGACACCTAATAATGACAAACTTGTATTAATATTTCTTTTACTTGCATGGTTTTTCAATAGATTAATATCTAATAATCTCTTGGATGTATCACCAGTTAATTCTAATTTTGATTGATTTTGTTTCAATTCTTCACCCAATTTTGAGGTTAAAGTGTCAGCTAATTTGGATATTTTAGTATCATCACCACCAGCATTTCTTAAAAGATCAGAAATGAATGATATTTCTTGTTCAATGTTCAACTGTTGAGATAGGACACTATCCGTTGTGGAGTGTTGGACATGGTTGATATAACCCACAGCATAATCTGCAACAATTGGATCAATTGAAGGGGCAGCCTGACGGATCTGTAGTCCAATATTTGACATCTTCTATGGTATCTTATTTGGCTTTATTTGCCTCTCAAAACAAGTTTCTTCATGTTTGTTCCTTCGATTCAAAATCAACATCAAAGAAAAAAAAATCTTGATTTTTCGGTATTCGCACTCTTAGGCCATTTTCTTAACTATGGGACCAGGGTTTAAAGTGAAGATAAAATGGAATTTTTGGTGGTGAAAGCCAGATAAAAAAGCCTGAATAGCTTTTAATAGTTCTATAAATAATATAATCTAGTTTTATAGTCATTGGATGGTTAAGGGTGTGTTTGCTTTACAAAATATTGCATTTCCAGCATCTTGAAAGATCCATTTCCCGCCAAATTTCATAGCGAAAAAAATCATCAACTACAAAAAAATCGTTTGCTGAATAAAAGAAGACATTAACTAAATTAAAAGGAAAATATTGAATAGAGATAATGGGATTATTCGGCGGATCAACTAAAGAAGCTATTGCTCCAAACAGAAACAAAAGAGAACAGTGTTGGGACAGCAGAGATATCTTTTTCGAGTGTCTAGATAAGAACAACGTTGTGGATGCTTTAGATGACAAGAATCAAGCTACTATCAAGAAGAGCTGTTCAGGTCAGGAGAAACAGTACGAGGATAACTGTGCAAAGAGTTGGGTGAAATATTTCAAAGAGAAGAGAATTGTGGATCATAAAAAGGCAAAATTCATGAAAGAGATGGAGGAAAGAGGTGGTCAGGAATTACCATTCCCAATATCGAAGTCATAGATATTCAAGGATGAGACGAATCAAAGACTGTGAAGGGTGTACATCATTTGAACTTTGGTGATTGTTCAGTTTTGGTGATATAAACATGTAAATAGTTCAAAAAGGCAAAGAAGTAATAAAGGTTTCAGGAAATCACAAATACCCAACATTCAACAGTTTGATTTGAGCTTGTAGTTACCAAATAATGAACTCATATTAAGTATCGGCTTGTTCCAGTGGTGTGTTTTACTTAATTTTTAATCGATTCACGGTGCCTTTGAAATGTTGAACCAAGATCTCCATGCTCAATTCTGTGATTTTGATCAAGTGAAGGAGCTAGTTTCGATAGTCATACCTCAGCAGAGATATCTCAGAGGATCAAGTAAACAGGTAACAGCATCAACATAATTCAGTAGAACACCAACACATTTCTTCAAACTCTGCGTAGATTACCTCAAATATTTATTCCCGTCCGTATTAGGCAATCGCCCAAAACGGAAGCATCCGGTTCGAAGCCCCGCTCTCCAAAATGACACCAAAAAAATGTTTATCACGTTACAAAAATTCCAGAAACTTCATTAATTAACAAATTGCGAATTTAATAGGCTCAAGCGGCGCAGACGATAGACAACTGTTGCAATGGAGTCATTCTCAATGAATCACATACTATGATCATGGGCCCTTAGTAGCCGTTCACACCCGCGTCTGAAAGTGACTGATTTAATGGTGAGCAGTTAAGTCTATTGTTTCGGTGTGATAGACAGCATATTATACAAAGGGACCACACGGGAATATAAATAATATCGTCAGACTTTTCAAATAGATGATGATTAAGATGCCATTTTATCCATGCTATTCATGGTAGTAATGTTTAAGCTGCTGGTCTTTTTTATGGTTTGATCAATATAGGTTTTGATGACCCTGTTGAACCGCACCTTTTTTTTTTGATATTGGTGATCATCAAGCTAAAATTCTAGAATTTTTTGCTTGTTTGTTGAATATGATGGTATGATAATTAAATTATAGTACAATTATACTTCACAGTATGGGTGAGATTACAAACCGACGATTCCGTCAACTACACCTGTGAATTATTGAGTTATTATACAGGAAGTATTAATCAATTGAAAGATATATAAAGAGCCATTGATGGCCTCAAGGTTCATCTGTTTGCTTTCATTTCCATAACAAAGTACCATAATACTTTACACAAACTTCAGATTACAAACAAAACTACTACAAATTTAACAACTTTCAATTACTATAATGGCTGGAAACGAGGCTACATTAATTAACAAATCAAGTGCTGGTATCAGTATTACTGATCATGGTTCAGATTGGTATTGGACATGTTTTTCAGTCTTTGGATTATTTGCATTATTACATGCTTCGATCTTCATTGTTTTCCATAAATCAAGCACTCAAGAAAGAAGAAACAAGGCAATGTTCCATGTTGGTACCTTATCTTCTAATGCTGTTTTAGCATTTACTTATTACACTTTAGCTTCGAATTTAGGTTATGCTCCTGTTGCTGTGGAGTTCAACCATATTCAAATTGGTGATGATACAAGACAAGTTTTCTATGCAAGATATATTGGTTGGTTCTTAGCTTATCCAGGTTTATTGTATACATTCGAATTGAATTCATTAGCTCAAAACATTTTATCAAGAACTGATTATCTTCAATTGTTCCAAACTTTATTCTTGCAAATATGTTCCACTGAAGTATTAGTCTTGGGTCTATTGATTGGTTCCGTTGTTCATTCTTCTTATAAATGGGGTTATTGGACTTTTGGTGTTGCTTCTCAATTGTTTATGATAACAATTTTCTTTTACCATCAATTTAAAACAGCTTCAACAACAAGTTTGATTACAAAATTATTAGTTCCATTCTTTAGTTTATGTTTCATCTTATATCCAGTTTGTTGGGGTTTAAGTGAAGGTGGTAATGTTATTCAACCAGATTCTGAAGGTGTCTTTTACGGTGTTTTAGATTTAATCAACTTTTGGTTGATTCCATTGGCTTTGATTTTTGATTCTTATAAACATGGTACTGTTATTAATGAAGCACATTTACCAACGAGAGGTGATGACGTTGAAAAGCAAACTTCTCCTGAACTAAGAGCTTCTGGTGAAACTGAAGTTGGAAATCAAGAGAATCCAGATGAAGGTGCTTTAGAAACTCAACATGCTTAATGTATTGGTTATTCATGATAGGATATAGAAGTTTAAATACCCTTTTCAACTTGATAATCGTGGTGCAACTTTTTTTTTGATATGAACATATCTTCTACCTCCCAGTTTGCTACCAATTATATTTGTCCCCTACGCCTTATGAATTATGAATCAATTAACTATCACAATAGTATTAAATCTTAATAGCCACGATAATTTTAATAAATGTTTGTCACATTTACAAAACCAATTCGCGAATATTATATAATATCTAACCAATCAGTATCGATGTGTCCCCTTACAGAAAGCGCGGAAAATAAAATTATTGTGGATCACAGATTTGTTATCAGCGATTTTATACGACAAACTGTTGAAGATTTCAAAACCAAATGGATAATTTGTCATTCAGTCGAACCTTGATGAGCCATTAATCAAGGTATTAATTAACCCATTGATTTCAATATTGGAAAATGCTGCTAAGGAGACTCTACTCAACTGCCATAAGACCATCACTCTCAGAAACATCAGCTAAAAGATGGGATGCAGTTAAGAATGCCAAACCAATTACTCATTTCCTTACTGATAATTTCAACAGAAGGCATGATTATTTAAGAATAAGTATAACAGAACGTTGTAACCTAAGATGTTTATACTGTATGCCTGAAGAAGGTGTACCATTACAAGCAGATTCTCAAATCTTGAGCACTGATGAAATTATTCAAATTGCTGAAATGTTTGTGAAACAAGGCGTTAAGAAAATTAGATTAACTGGTGGTGAACCTACTGTTCGTAAAGATATTTTGGAAATAATGGAAAGTTTAAATCAAATTGAAGGTTTGAATGAGATTTGTATTACAAGTAATGGAATTGCTTTGAATAGGAAATTACCAAAATTGGCTAAATCTGGATTAACTTCATTAAATTTATCTTTAGATACTTTAGTGGAGGGGAAATTCACTTTAATTACAAGAAGGAATGGATTATCAAATGTTTTGAAAAGTTTAGAAACTGCTTTAAAATTAGGTATACCAAAAGTTAAATTAAATGTTGTTATTATTCGTGGATTAAATGATGATGAAATTTTAAATTTTGTTAAATTAGCTCAATATTATCCATTAGAGGTTAGATTTATTGAATATATGCCATTCGATGGGAATAAGTGGGAAGTGGAGAAAGTTATTAGTTTCAAAGAGATTATTGACATAATTAAAACAAAACATCCAATTATTGAACAATTGACTCATAAGTATGGTGAAACTTCAAAAATTTTCCAAATCCCTGGATTTAAAGGGAAGTTAGGGTTCATTACATCAATGACTTCTGATTTTTGTGGTGATTGTACAAGATTAAGAATAACATCTGATGGGAATTTAAAAGTATGTTTGTTTGGTAATGATGAAGTTTCAATTAAAAATTTATTAAGAGCTGGTGTTGATGAATCTGAAATCCTGGAAGTTGTTGGTAAAGCTGTGAAGGGCAAAAAGGAAAAACATGCTGGTTTAGACGAATTGCCAAAAATGGCTAATAGACCTATGATTTTAATTGGTGGGTGAGTTTTGAACAAAATTATGAAATACCCTCAAAACAAATACTAATATTTATTCAAATAGATAGAAACACGAATCCACTGATTCACAGATTTGGTATAAGGCCCTACTCCACCAAGACATTAACCCATGTTAATGAAAAAGGTGAAGCTAAAATGGTTGATATTGGAGATAAACAAATAACCAAGAGAAGAGCAACAGCTTCAGGTTTCATCAAATTCTCAAATGAAATTCCAATCCAACAAATTGAATCAAATAGTAATAAGAAAGGTGATGTTTTAAGTATTGCAAGAATCTCAGGGATATTAGCCATAAAGAAAACATTTGATCTGATAATTCTATGTCATCCATTACAATTGACAAAAGCTGAAGTTAAAATTGAAATCATTGATACACATACCATAAAAGTGGAAAGTATAGTGGATTGTCAAGGGAAAACTGGAGTGGAAATGGAGGCATTAGTTGGTGTGAATATCGCATTATTAAACATTTATGATATGTGTAAAGCTGTTGATAAAAAAATGGTTATTCATGATGTTAAAGTTATTGAAAAGAAGGGTGGTAAAAGTGATTTTGTTATTGATGCACCATGATTTCAGGTACCAGTTTCAATGATTCTAGAATGCTGGCTTGTACACAGTGAAATTTGTTGTTTTGAAATTTGTACTGTTTTGAACATTGATTTTTCGTTGCCCTTTGGTCTGTTTTTCAAGTATAACTTCTTAAATATAATCAAGATGAAGAGATTTTGGATACCCGTTGACCAAAACAATCAAAACATTGCTCAAATTGTAGTTGTTTTCAGTGGTAAAATGGCTGGGAAAGCCCTAAAAAGCCCATTTTGAAAAGATGTAACTGGGGTAATGATGAGTTCAGCAAAAGCTTATTTACAAGAAGCCGCATAGAATTCAGTAATTCAAGACCCTAAAAGAACCCTTTATGGACCATGCTTACACCCTCCTCGGGTCCACGAGCCCTAAAGTTGGAAGCTGGTGCTCACTACCTGGTCCAGTTTCGTATAGTAGACTGTATTTCATCGTAGGGCTTTAGAACTTGAATACACTTCTTGATCAAATTATCGTACTTACGAATCAGAATTGAACGATATCCATACTTTACGGATTACAAATTTCACAACGATTTGTCATATATTACAGACTGCTCTGTGCATTTGTCAACAAAAGCCCAATTGTTTCTGTGCAATGGGATTAATTTGGGCCGATAGTGAAGTACAATTTCTCAGTTGTATTCATGCAGGCCGTTATTGTGCGTGGGAGTGCACGCGGTCTAAAAAAAAACTTTTGTTCGTAGAACAAATAAACGAAGGCACTTTTAAAAAACATTTTGTAGTTAAGTAATAACATATTCAAAATGACCCACTATTTCAGTCCAATATCCTTGAATTTGTGCTTGTTTCAAGTCAATTTGTCGTCATATTTGTCAAAAATGAGTTTCTTCACCACATTTCTTTTTGTCCAAATCTGGTAACGCCATTTAGCTGTTTTCGGCCAAAACCCTCGAGGAATCCAAAAGGCCGCTTCAACATGATCTCGAGACGAAATGACGTTCACCCAAATTCTTCAAGTGGTTGGCTATTTTTAAGTTTTATGTAAAATGTAAACAAACAAACGTGAAGTCAGGGGAAACCATGGACCATGTTGCAAAAATTGGATGTCAAAAAATGGGTATATAAGCAGCTCAAGATTCCCAAGATTTACACAAATTCTTCATCTCATCTTTCCATCATCAAGTCAATTGAACATCAATTCACACTTACATAACACTCGCTCACATTATACAACAACAATGCAATTCTCAATTTCATTCTTTGCTTTAGCTTTAGCTTCATTAGTCGTTGCTGACTCAGAAACCATTGGTTTATTAACCATCAGATCTGGTACTCAATACCATTTATCCCCAATTGCTGCTAAAGATGGTAAATTAGTTGCTGGGTACCGATGGTATCAACTACGCTGAAGGTGCTATCACTGATGCCGGTGAATTCAAATTCACTGATGGTACTTATGCCAAAGTTAACTCAGATGGTTCAATCTCAGTTTCATCATCAGAAGGTTCAAAACCATTCTCAATTAAAAGTGGTTACTTTGCTTACAAAGATTCTCAAGCTTTCAACATTGATGCTTCAAACAGAGATTTAATCGCTGGTAATGGTGCTAACCCAGTTGCCTTACGTGCTACTTTGAAGAACGGTCAAGAAGCTTCAGATTTCACCCCATCTGGTTCTTCATCATCTGGTTCTTCATCATCTGGTTCTTCATCATCAAACTCCACTTCTTCATCAAGTGCTGCTCCAACTTTCGCTACTCAAACTGAAAACGGTGCTGCTGCTTTACAAGCCGGTTTAGGTGGTTTAGCTGCTGCTGCTGCTGTTTTATTGATCTAGGTATACTAGATCTTTGAACTCGTTTTGCATCTTTTAACCTTCTAATTCGTCATGATCATGTGTGCTGTTTTTTCTAATGATTCTTTTTAATATTTATTTATATCTTTAATACAACTAATCTTTTATATGAATTGAACTTGTAGATCATCTTGTATCTTTGTTGTTGATGATCTTTGAAATCGTATATCATAAGCCCTCATCACTTGAAAAGGGTCCTACAATAAGCCTGATCCAGGATACAGCATCGTATAGATTTCATCGATTGATTATTGGAAGGTTGGTTCTCCCCCTAACCAGCTTCACTATACAAGCTGGCTCTTGGATACCTTTACTTTAGCTAAAATTTACACCATTAAAAGTCAAAAGCTTCTACACCTTCAAAATTTCACCATGTGCTCGTAAAAGCGAACGAAAATCAAGACCATCAATTACATTCAAACGTTGAATATCTTTCCAACTAAAATATGCTAGAGAGACCTCTTACCATAACCAACCTCAACTAACACAACACAATCGTTAAATTTAGTTCTCTTCCAACTCAATCACCCCATGCAATTCATTAATTCATTTTCAATTTCCCATGGGGTTTGGAAAAAAGTCATTATTTTTTGACCATTTCTCAACCCGCCATTTGCCCTTTTGGGAAATATTGTTCCATTCTATGCACAATGATGCACAATGACATTTTTTGGTAATGCAGGAACTCGGGAAACGTAAATTCTAAATTTAGAGCTTTACACAAAAAAAAAATTGTTTATCTTATTTTTAGGTGATATGCTAGCCATCTCCAGATCATTAAGCGAACATGTCAATAAAGAAACTAAAAATGGAATAGTGATTAAGTGTATTTATACTCGAGTTGTTCCAAAGAATCAAGCTTTTTGAATACATCTGTACCTACTTTCCATCAGTATCACATTTCTTCACTCGCTTTCAAAGATGATGTTTATTTCAATCATTTGTCTACTACTTTTACAACTTGTACCAATATTTGCACTTCCAACAGGCCAATTGAAAGTTTCATTGATTTTGGAAAAAGATTATCATTCATTAAATTCAGAAACTGTCTTGGTACAAAGGGATGATTCATTAATAGTTTCATCTACAAACTCCAATGATAAATCCAAAAAAACCAGTAATACTGATCAATATGATTGGTTCATGGCTCATTTCACTTCAAAAGGTTCATTTGAAATTGAATCACTAGAGAAAGAATTAATAATATCAAAAGATGGTTCATTAAAACTTTCACAAATTCATAATCATCAACAAGATGAATCAGAATCTCAACACGATGAAGAATTTCAAAAACGTGCAGTTTTCTCAATTAAAGAAGGGAGATTGATGTTTAATAGTGCTGATGATTTTACACTATGTCCAATAGATTCCCAAAAAGATCAATTTTCAATACATTTAACATATTCAGAAAGTGCAAATTCTGACGAGTGTTCTGAAGGTATTCCTGGTGTTAAATTAAAAGTTTTCAATCAATTGGGTATTCAAGCTAGAGATTTTGAAGCTCCAGAGTTTTTATACAGTACTGGTAAGATTGTTTATTTTTGATCCATCACTTCATCACTTCATTATTTGCATACAACTGTTTCAATTTCAAAAAAATACCCTAATTAATACCATTATTACACTTCATTTTGCATTATTTTCAATTGATTCACCAATGATTAGCTTTCCAGCTCATTCATTTATTCACATTCGGCTAATTACATTCATTCTACCCAGTTCTTTTGAAGGAACACTATTTTCATGACCCCATTTTTTCTGCATCGTTTCAATGTTGAACACTCCTTATTGGTAGTTATACCTATCCTAATATAATGACCTCTTAAAATAGTCTTTTCAGATGTAGTGAGAACAACTATTAGACCAGTTATTCTTTTCTAGTTATTTGAGCATTTGATTCTTTTATTTATCGTCTGTTCGCTCAAAGAGAGTCAAACAATTCGATGACAAAAGACCTTTGAATCAAGATATTTTAGAACGACAACAGAAACCACACGAAAACAAAATAACAATTATATCCTCACCTCTATGGAAATAGACAACATCTCTATTGTACAATGTACAAAACCACGAGTATAATCCAAGGTGAAAAAAAAACACATCACCATTTCTTGGCTATTCACTCATATTTAAACATCAAACAATGTGTTGAAAAAACTCTTCATCATCACCTAAACATGATGATATTCAATCCCCAAATCTGATATGAATCATCTCTACAATCCAGACACAGCACTTTTAACAGACCCTTCAATCCCATTATCATGGAAACTATGCATTCTCCACGGTAATTACGACGATCCCACAACCACAGCACAATCATTAACCGGTCTTCGAATCTCTTCAATATTTGTCATATTCATAGTGAGCACAATATTCACCATTTTTCCCCTGTTATCCAAGAGTTTCAAATGGATCAAGATGCCATTATACGTTTATTTATTCGCAAGACATTTCGGAACTGGGGTTATAATCTCTACGGCTTTTATCCATTTATTAGACCCAGCATATCTACAGATCGGTGCTGGTAGTTGTGTTGGTGCTCATGATGGCTGGGATTTGTTCCCCTGGGTGCCTGCGTTGATTATGGGGTCTGTGTTTTTGATATTCTTGACTGATGTTTTGAGTGATGTTGTTGTGCAGAGGAAATATGGGATTGGTAAGAATCATATCCCCATGAATGATGAGGTTATGAGGGCAAGAGGAGGAGGAGGAGGAGGTTGAAAAGTCTCAGGATCAACGTGGGTTTAGATCACAAATTGCAGCTTTTTTAATCTTGGAATTTGGTATTATTTTCCATTCTGTAATGATTGGATTGAATCTTGGTGCTGTTGGTGAATTAGAGTTTAAAACGCTTTATATTGTCTTAATATTCCATCAATCATTTGAAGGATTAGGTCTTGGTGCAAGGTTATCTGGGGTTCCCTGGCCAAGGGAGCAAGTTTCATTCATATGGGCATATTTGATGTGTTTAATGTATGGATTAGTTACACCAATTTCCATAGCTATTGGGATAAGTATTAGACATCAATTCAATTCAAATTCTTTTAATGTTAATGTTATTAGTGGTGTTTTGGATTCAATTTCATGTGGGATATTAATTTATAGTGGACTTGTTGAATTATTAGCTCGAGATTTTATCTTCAATTCTAATCCGCAAAGGGATTTGAAACAATTGATGTTTTGTATAATGAGTATAATTGCAGGTGCAGGGATAATGAGTGCAATTGGTAAATGGGCATAATTTATTCATGTGATGTATTATACAATGGCAATATATTTTCATTCTCTTTTAAATAACAAACCTGATCACAATTCTCATCCACAACACTTGGGAATATTTTCCTAAAGCAACCCCATGACACAACCACACCAATCATCCCACCCATTGTAACATCCCCAAAATGATGTCTATAATCCTGAGTCCTTGATAATGCTATCCAAACCGCAATGAAAATCGGCAACGCAGCACAAAACAAGAAATGCAGCCTTGTCCTGTTCGAAAACACCCTCCATTGGGAACAGAGGAACAGTGTTAGATAGGTCATCCCGGAGAATGAAATTGATGAATGGCCTGAAGGTGTTGATCTTAAACCTTCCAAGATCAATTCCTTATCGGGTCTTGTACAGATATCTATAGTGTATAGTAATTTTGAAGTTAGCTTGGATGGGTCCGGTTGACAACGATCAATGAAATCAGGACGAGGTCTTGCTATGAGGTTTTTGAGGAATACTGTAATCGTACCGGTGATTGATAATGTTAGGATCAGTCCTAATATTGATAATTGGAATTTGATTAATCGTTGTTTTGATTGTAGGATTTTTTGAGGTTGGAAATTGTTTTGATATAGTAAGACCAAGGTTATTGAGATTAATGGGATCAATGATGATATTAAAATACATGTTGTATCATTAACTTGTTCAAATTTTGTGAATGGGTGTTGAATTGATGGATCATTTATTAAGAATTCTCTTAGGAATGGATGGGTTTTGTTACCTATGGATAGGAAATATGTTATGAGGATGATGGCGAGTGACCATTCTGGGATGAATTGTTGTATTGATTGGATAATCATGTTGATATTTGATGTTGATTGATTGTTTACATTTGAAATTTCAATTAGATTCATGAATTTTCAATGGGTTAATTGATTTTTTACAAAACGCATTCGCGATAGTCAGGTGACTAGATTATATAATGACGTCATTAATATAAACTACGTTGTACAAATTTTAAATATAGAGCACAAATTTTTTATAATATAACTATATTTCAAATAAAACCAATAAATAAGATAAATAAAGACAAGAATGGAACAAAAAGTATAACATAATAACATAAAAAAAATAAAAAGTCTGATATAAAAATTGGGAGGGTCTCATAATGACATGATGTGTTTATATGAAGTCTAACATCTATGAATATAATAATAAAAGGGAATATAATTTGGACACATTAATTCATGAACGGTTCATAAAGCTCTAATTCAATTCTTTCTTCTCAATCAATTCATTCAAGGTGACATTAAAATTGCGAACATGGAAATCATCAACGTTAAAATTTTCAAAATCCACGTTATTTAAATCAATTGAAGTGTTGTTTGAATAGTTTGGTGGTTTAGGCACGGCACATAACCAAATTCTTGTTTTATAGATCTTGAACAGTTCTTTAATCAAATTTCTAAAATCTAATCTTTGATTGGCAAAATAAAAGAATGTTAATTTTTTTTGATCAAATTGATATTCAGAATTTAGGATTGTTAGGTTATTATGCAAGTTTGATAAATTTGATATTTTCAATAAGGAAGTTTTAAAAGATTTTAATTCCTCCATTAATTTAAATTGTAAATTTTTAATTTCTTGGAATGTTGCAAATCTTAGTACTTGTTTTGATGGGATTTGGAACTGGGTCTCTTCATCAAGGATCCCCTGGCCTTTAACTAAATCATCCACAGTGTTTGAAATCATTGGATTTATTGGTTGTTGACTCGTGGTGTTGTTATAATTCATTGATTTTGAATGTTGTCTTTTTTTCAAATAGTTGATTAGGATGGCAACATCTAATGAAATGCTTGGATCCAAGATGTAGACTAAATCTTTTCCACGGTCTCCATCCACAATGACAACGTCATTGGAGTTTAATAGGATGTTTGAATTGATTGGTGTTGATAATATTTCAAATTTCCCAGCTTTTGTTAGGACAAGTACTAAAGGTTTAATTAAATTGAATAAATTGTTTAATTTTTTCAAATTGATGATTATTTTTTGTAGGAATGAATCATTTGCGATTTGGGTTTGTAAATGATTATAAAATTCATTAGCTTGAGCAACACAGAAATAATTTCTAGTTTTGGAGAATTCATTTCTTAATGATGATGAAGTGATTATTAAATTCCCATTCAACACTAGTCCATTATCTAGTTCCACATTCCCATTACCTTGTTGTTGCTGAGGAGATGGATTGTTATTTATTTGAATACTTGGTCTTCTTGATCTAAAATTTTGTAATAGTTGATTTTGTTGACCAGATGTATTGTTGTAAAAATTGTTGAAATTGTTTGAATGAGCCAATAAATTCAATGAATGAGGGTTGTTTGAGGATTCAGAATGAGTATAAGATTGTTCAGCAGCAAATGAAGGTCTTCTTGAGTTGATATTGGAAACACCACCTTGTAATTCTAAAGGTAGGTTGAATACATTATTATTCACACCATTTGAATAGTTGAGGTTGTTGGATGCACCATAATGATAATTTTGATCAGTGGTGTTGTCAAGTGATTGTAAGAAATTGTTGTAGTTTGTTGAAGAAGATAAGTTGTTTAGTTTATTGATCAATAAGTTTGGAGATATTTGTTGATCAAGTTGTTGTTGTTGTTGTTGTTGTTGTTGTTGTTGCTGAGGTTGAAGTTGTTGAGGTTGTTCTGGGAATGACCACCCAGAATTGAAATGGGAAGTTGGTTGTTGATGGTGTTGGTTGTTGTTGGAGTTATTGGGGTTATTATTATTCCAGATATTGTATTGATTCATGGTTCTATGAGGTTTATTGTGTATTGATTGGTGTTGATGGTTGTTGGGTATAAAAGATGATGAAAATTTCTTTGGATTCTCGAGGATGAAATGTGGAGTGCGAATAGCAAAGAGGTGATATAATGATATAATGACAATATAGTATAGTATAATATGATAATAGTATGATAATATAATAGATCTATAGTATTATAATCTATTAATCTATTATTATATCTTCTCTCTCCCTTTTATATCCTCAGTTACTCCTCCTGTCAAAGCAATTCCTGCTTATGTAACGTGAGCTCATCTGAATGACTCTGGGGTAATGAAATTAATGGGATTTATTACGTAAAGGAAGAGATGAGTTGAGTTGGTGTAATAGTTAGTTAGTTATTGGTTAGTTAATGAGTTGGTATTAGTTAGTGTCTAGTGTCTTACTAGTGTCTTTATTGGTTATTACTATGTTGAACCTTTTATACCCATCACGAATGACTGAGCAGTAATGAGTGTCATTTGTTCTAGTCACTGGACATTATACAACTATAAATCATTCCAAGATCCTTTGATATCAGTTCTAAATATAACTAGTTATTGCTAATACCTCTATGAATATGGAATAGACTATACTATCATCATCTTGATACTCATGCTTCTTATTCTGTTCATTCTAGTATTCATGATTACCAAAGATCTTTTCATACCTCAAATTCATACTCTCTCTTTCAATCTATTTCAACAAGTACTTGATCTAATATCTTTCTCCTCTTCACTCTTCTATTTATCAATTCTCTATAAACTCATTCTAATGACTAGTCACATTAAGGGTCAATAGATCTCAAACTCACCCTAAAACCACTCAAAAAACACCCAGAAAAAGACTCAATTAACTAGCTAACCTCCCCAAACAACCCACACTCTATCCAAACCAATACACCATCAAATTCCCATCCAATATCAATCCAATCCAATCCTCAAATTCCTTCTTATTCAATTCAATTCGCGAATCCGTTTTCCATTTCGAAATTCGCGTTTTGTTTTTTTCAATTGGAAAAACAATTTCAACTTTTGCCATCAACAAGAACAAAATTGGATTAAATTGAATAAAATTAAATCAATTGGATTAAATTGAACTGAGATAAATAAACATGTCTGACTCTGAAACCCGTGACACCAAACCAGACCTCTCTGAACAAAAACCAGACGTCAAATCGGAAACCCACATCAATTTAAAAGTCAGTGACGGTTCAAGTGAAATCTTTTTCAAGATTAAAAGAGCTACACCTTTGAAAAGATTAATGGAAGCTTTTGCTAAAAGACAAGGGAAATCAATAGAGTCCATAAGATTCTTGTATGAAGGTCAAAGAGTTAATGCTGATTCTACTCCTGATGAAATGGATTTAGAAGATGGAGATGTGATTGAAGCTCATCAAGAACAAGTGAGTGATTGGAGTATTCTTTTATTGAGTTTTACTAACTATTGTATTAGATCGGTGGTTGTTAATGTGTGTATTAATGTTAATTTGAGATTGGCTATTGACGTGTAGGAAGATTGAATTGATTAATTAATTGCAATTGAACTATTAATTGAATTAATCAATTGAATACTCTATTACTTAATAATTAAACTATTAACTTAACAATCTATTAACCAATTGAATAACTCTCTATACTCTCTACTCTCTTAATACCATCCTCTCAATCTCATAAATTTAACCCCTTCCAACTAAAATTCCTATAAATTTTCATCAAACGCGTTTTTTTTTTTTCATCAAACGCGTTCCAATTTTTTTTTTGCTAAAGGGATGCGCGTATTAAACCTAACGTTTTAATTAAAATCTGTAAAATTTCAAGATTTCAAAATGAATTCAGATTTATATCACATTTTCAACTTCTTTCATTAAATTAAACACAATCCAACTTTCATTCATTCATTAAAATCAATCTCAATTGACTGGTTATCATGTCCTACCATTCAAGACAACCGTCAGTTGCATCCTCTTTATTATCATCTTCCACTTTCAACACCTCACAGATTAATAAAATTGGACCATGGAAATTAGGTAAAACTTTAGGAAGAGGTTCCACTGGTCGTGTCCTTTTAGCTGAAAACATCAACACAAATCAAAAAGCTGCAGTTAAAGTTGTTTCAAAATCAATTTTAAACAATTTAGAATCTTCAATCTCTGATGAAAAAGGTCGTGACGCTGCTGGATTAGCTTATGGTATTGAAAGAGAAATCATCATCATGAAATTATTAAACCATCCAAACGTGCTAAGATTATATGATGTTTGGGAAACTTCAAAATCCCTATATTTAATCTTGGAATACGTGGAAGGTGGTGAATTATTTGATTTATTAGTGGAAAAAGGTCCATTATTAGAGAAGGAAGCTATTCGTTACTTCACTCAAATTATATTAGGTGCTTCATATTGTCACGCCTTGGGGATTTGTCATCGTGATTTAAAACCTGAAAATTTATTACTTGATCATGATTTGAATATCAAAATTGCAGATTTTGGTATGGCTGCCCTGGAGAATAATGATCGTTTATTAGAAACTAGTTGTGGTTCTCCTCATTATGCTGCTCCTGAAATCGTTTCTGGTAAACATTATCATGGGTTTGAAAGTGATGTTTGGTCTTGTGGTGTTATATTATTTGCATTGTTAACAGGTAGATTACCATTTGATGATGAAAATATTAGAAATTTATTATTAAAAGTTCAAAATGGTGTTTTCGAAATGCCTCAGGATATTTCCATTGAAGCTCAGGATTTAATCTCCAAAATGTTGACAGTGGAACCTTCGAAAAGAATTAAAACTCATGAAATTTTAAATCATCCTTTATTATTAAAATACCCTTTAAATCAATCAGATTTGAAAACTTTGAATGAATTACCAAGTCCAAACACTTATCTCAACCAAATCAATTCAATTGATGAAATCGATGATCAAATCTTGGATAATTTAGTTATATTATGGCATGGACGTGCTAAAGCTGAAATTATTGAAAATTTATTGAAACCTCATTCAACAACTGAGAAAATTTTCTATTTCTTATTATTACGTTATAGACATACCCAATCTTTAACAAGTAATAATAACAGTTTGGCTAGATCTTTATCAATTGCAAAGTCTGTTCAAAATGGTGGGTCTGTTTCAAATTCAAGTGGTTCCTCCAAGACAACAACTCCAAAGAAAAACAGAAGATCAGTTATTAGTGTTAGTTCTTCTCATAAGAAACCAGTTTCTTTCAACACAAAGAATAGAAGATCTATTAAAGATATTAATGAATTAAACACACCACCTGTTCCAAAAACAATTATTGATGAATTTAAGGCAAATAATGTTGGTACTGGAATTACAAAATCAACTTCCAAAAGAAGAAGTATGAGAACTTCAATCTTGACATCAAAGAGAAATTCAATCACAACTAGGTTGATTTCAGTCTATGCTAAATTAGCAAATGATAATGATTGGGAATATATTGATAAAGAAGCTAAAAGAACAAGTTCAAATTTTGCAACTCTTTGTGATGAAATTTTTGATCATGAAAAATATGAAAAATTAAGATTAGAGAAGGAGGAATTAGAAAGACAATTGAAATTACAAGAGGAAGAATTGCGTAAACAAGAGGAACTTGAAAGACAGAAATTGGAAGATGAAAGAATTGCTGAATTGAAAAGACAAGAGGAAATAGAAGCTGCTAAAGAACCAAAATTACAAAATAATAAAATCCGTTCAACTTCAGGTCCAACACCTCAAAGAAATTCTCAATTATTGGATAAAGATGAAATCTCCAAGATTCAACAAAGAGCAATTTCTCATCCTTTAGAATCAAGACCAAAATCAAAATTAGATCCAGGTTTAAATTTTAATCAAGATCAAAAGAAAAATTCAAAATTCAATTATTATGATGAAAATGATTCAATTGTTCAAGCTATAAGAAGATCAAAATTCCTTGGTTCAAAATTTGACCTAGATTTGAAAAGACAATCAATTTCAAATCAACAAAAGCAAGTCTCCAAGAATTTTGAAGATGAAAAAATTGTGGATAAACATGAAAATGGGTTTAATGGTCCTAAAACTATTGCAGAAGTTAAAATTCCTCAAGTTACTAGAAAATCTCGTCATTTTTCAAATTCAAACAAGAGATTATCTGTATTATCAATCTATTCAACAAGAAATTCATTTACAAATTTAACTTCATTAAAAGAATTGGATAACACTTATAAACCATCTCCATTAATCCCAGAAGAGGCTGAATTCTCAACTTCAAAATCTAAATCAAGTGGTCTAAGATTAAGTTATGCTGATCGTTTAACCGCATTACAAGAATCTCAAGAAGAATCAACACCAGTTGTTAATCCTCAAGATGACAAGAAACTACATGCTGATGATTCAATGTATAAAGGTTTGAATATCCCTGATTTACCTGATCATTATGAACCTATCAAACCTAAAAGAAAATCCACAATTAAAGTGGAAATCCATGATGATGATGAACAAGAACCTGAAGTTGAACCAAAACCATTACCAAAACCTAAAAGATCAGCTCCTTCACCTCCAAAAGAGATCAACCCTTCAGTGTCAACAACTAAAGTTACTAAAGCTCCATTAGGTGATGTTACTAATGATCTAAACAACAAGAGAACAGGTTCAAGTGGTGGTGGATTTTTCAGAAAATGGTCATTAGGTAAAAAAGATCATGAACAATTGAGCTCCAATACTAATAATGGTGGGTTCTTTAGAAGATTTAGTGGGAATCATTCAGTTCAACAAAAGACATTAAACACAGTTTATGAATCCACTGAAATGTATCAAACTTTGAAAAGATTATTATTAGGTTGGAATGATTATGGTTTGAAAAACATCAAGACAAATGATGAATTGTTATTAATCGAAGGTGAAATTTCTAAAAATAATATAATGAGTTTGAATTCAACAAGGTTTAAATTGAATATTGAACAGTATGGTAAAAAGGGAAGTTGTATCAAGTTTGAAAAATTGAAAGGTTCTACTAAGAGTTTTAAAACTTTGATTAATGAGATTGAAAGAATTTTGAATAGAGAGAATGTATTGGCATTTTCTAATTGATGGGGGAGATGAAGAAGTAGAGACAATTTTTATTTGTTGGTTTTTTATTTTTGATGTTACTGTTTTGGTTTGCTTTGTATAATGGTTACTTTTTTTTGTTTTGTATACTTGTTTGTTTTAAGAACTATTTTTTGTTAATAGATATATTAATTGTGATTGAGATTGTAAGTGATCATGAGCTTTAGTGAGTGTATCTAATTGTGTCTACATGATTTTCATTACACAATCAATTCAATAATATACACATAATATACAAAAGCCAATATCTCTCATTTTGTAGGTTTCTTCCAAAAATATTGTTTATGAGTCTTTCTACAATTTCTTAACCCACTTGCACCTTTAATAGAACTAACCAATTTAGTTCTTTCTAAATCATCATCTTTCTCCACATCATAATAATATTCTTCATCTAATGGTTTACCAGCTGCATCTTTCCCCTTTCTATAAATTGTACCAATACTTTGAATTTGAAATAAAACTGCACGTAATTGAGTTCTTGATAAGTTTTGTGTTATTGCACTAACTGTTTGTAATGTATATAATGGAGTTTGTGAAGTTCTTGAAAATGCTAAATGATTAATTAAAACATTCTCCACTGATGCTAAATCTTCCACTGTAGATACAATTTCTTTAATGTTTAATTGGGAAATCTTATCACGAGGTTGTAAATGTTTAATTAATGGTTTTTTCTTTTGTGGTGAAATTCCTGGTTCTGCCTTACGACGACGTGATTGTGGGATTTTATTTAATGATGATTCTGATTTTGGTTGTAATGGTTGATTTGATTTTTTGGTGGTAGCTAATTTAAAGTCATTTTGTGAACTTTCTTTGACATCTTGGGTAGATTTATCTGATTTCACTTCAATTGGTTTCACCTCAACTGGTTTCACTTCAACCGGTGTCTTTTCAATTGATTTGGATTCTGTTTCCTCAGCTTTTGCTTCATCAACTTTTTCAATTGGGTTTCCTTCAACATCTTTAACTGATTTCTCTTCAACCTCTTTAACTTCACCCGATTCAACTGGTGTAACATTAATTCTTTCAACTTGTTCAATTTTACCAGGTTCAACTGAACTAAATCTAGTGTTTAAAACAGGTAATTCATCTTCAGTTTCTGAATCATCATTACAAACATCCAAGACTGTAACATGATCTTTAATTTCCAAAGTTAAAGAATCCATATATGGGACCGTGATTTGTTCACCTCTAAATAAAGAAATATCATGAAATATTTCATCATCTGATTTAATTTCAAATTCTTCAATTTTTTGGAAATAAAATAAATGATTTGAAACTTGTTTAACATATCCATAAATTTGAGTACCAAAATTTATAACACAACCATTGAAACCTTTACATAAGATGGATAATTCATTTCTTTCAGAATCATATTGTAATTTCAAATGAACACGAGATGCAAATTTACTTTTAACAAAATAATCACAACGACTTGATCTACCAAGAGTTGTAGTATGATTTGAAGTGATCTTGGCTCTTAAAACATCATTTAATGGATCTTTATATTCAACGTTTTCTGAACCCAAGAATGTTGATTCTTGAGGAGATGAAGCTCTATCTGGAGTTTGAACAATTTCAGTATTATTAGTTATGGTTGCATTTTGACGAGCAGGAGATGAAGAACGAACACCAGTTGAAGAACTTGGATTTGGAGTTGGATAAGTCTTTGAATTATCTTTATTGAATGGTGTATTTATAACAAATTTTTTGGATTGATTGGTGACATTGGTTGAAGTTTTAGAACTAAATGGATCCGCATCTTCTTCTTGATGATGATCCAAGAATGGTGAAGATGGTGGGAATTGACCTGACGTGCTCATGATGAATTCTTGTCAACTTCAAATAGCAGTGTCGTTCTCTTTTCTGGTTGAATTGTGTTTCTTGTTTCTTCTTGAACTGTTGATGATGTTTTCCAAAGTCCTGTTTTTGCAATATCGCGTACTGTTTACACTTGAATGCAAGACACGTCAATTTTTTTGAGATTGTGAAATGTAAACAAAGACGCGTGAAAATTTGGAATTTTGTTAGTGAATGATGGATTAAAGACAGGAAACAAGGGGATTGTGTTAGTTAATTAGTTTAGTGTGGCTATTAGTGTCATAATTAGCCTATAGTATCATCATTCTCCAAAAAACCGGATGTCTATACGTGGTTTCTACGTGATTGTAGCTCAACTCTTTCTCTCCTTTGTAATTCATCAGCCCTAACAGAGTCATGTGATCTTATTTCTTAATGGCTCCGTTCCTGTCCATCCCAACACCACAAACCAGTCACAACTTTCCCCCCTTCTTCGCGAATTTTCCTCAGAGTCTCTTTCGGGACGTGTGTCCCCGTTGCCAAAACAAAATTTCTGTGCGCCCAAAAAGAAAAAATTCGCGAACTACAGCTGAAAAAATTTTGGCCTGTGGAATTTTCCGGTTCGCACAACAGCAGCGAAAAGTTGTGTTGAAAGTTTTAACAAAAATTCAATACGACTCAAAAACTTCTATACAAAGAGGTTTCTATAAACACATCAAGAAAGTAATCATTAAACATGGGTAGTAAGTAGACATCATAGAAGAGAATAGGGAATAGGGTCAATAGGGAGAAGTAGATTATCTAGAGACTATGAAAGAATTTAGGTGAAATGTGATGAAGTCAATAATTTGAAGCGTTATGAAGAAATTAGATGTATCAAGAATCAATACAAAGAACCAAGAGAAGGAATGAACTAAAGGGAACTGAATGTAATAATCAATATTAATAAGAGATGCGAATAGAGAAGTAAGATCCTATGATTGTCAAGATATGAGCTCAAGAATACCAATTATCAAAAGTAAGGATTAAGGAACCCCCAATGAATCTAGTTCTAATCAACATCTCCCTATAAAGCCCAATATTCAATTAATTACAGATCACTAACACAATTTTTTCCAACAGAAGGTACTCCATCTTTCGGTAAACGTCACAACAAATCACACACCTTGTGTAACAGATGTGGTCGTCGTTCATTCCATATCCAAAAAAAAACCTGTGCTGCTTGTGGTTACCCATCAGCTAAAATCAGATCTCACAACTGGGCTTTGAAAGCTAAAAGAAGAAGAACTACTGGTACTGGTCGTCAATCATACTTGAAAAACTTACCAAGAAGATTTAAAAACAACTTCCAAACCGGTGTTGCTAAACCACAATCTGCTTAAATCCAATGATGTATATCAAAACAAATAAAAAAGCAAGGAATTTTTAGAAAAGGGTTTAATTTTAATATGATGAATGTGTTTTTTTAATGTTTGCATCACTATTAAATCGGTTGTATTTTGTATCATAAAATAAAGATATTTTCTTTTGGTTAAAAAAGAAGAATCTCTTCATGTATTAAAGCTCTATTATTATTTCTTAAACTGCATTCATGGATAGATATAAATTATCAGCTTCATCCATAGTTGTACATTTCTCTAAAATATCACGAGCTAATTCAACAACTATATCATCATATGCAAATTCTAATCCATTACTTAACCCAACTTCTGCATTGATTATTGTATTCAAATCATTGTCATTCCCTTCCTCCTCTTGACTATTTATTGATAAATGACTTATTTCTCTTGCTCGTTCCTCACACCATTTATTGAAAACTATTGAATTCTTATCAAATTTTCTAAATTGATATAAAAAATCCGTAGCTTCATTACTTGTTATATTTGCACTAAATGCAATTCTTGATAATGTTATAATTAATTCATGTGTTGTATCTTTTGTTATCCTTGGTGGGGTCTTAATGTTGATGAAATTTAATTCCCAAATTAAATGAATGTTTTTAATTATTGATGAAATTAATTTTGAACGTAAATGAGTGCAATCACTTCTTGGTGACTTGAAAATATACTCTTGTTGTTTAGAAATTGTACCAACTAATAATTTTAAAATCACAGGGTTTTTATTGAAAAAAGTTGTTTGATCATTAAAATCATCATTTGAAATTATTAATTTTTCAAATAAATCACATATCCTTAATTGTAAATTGATTAAATGATATTCATGTCTTGAGCATGTACTGGTTTTTGAATAAACAACACAAGGTTGATCAGATACACCATCCCATGTTATTAAATTTGAAATTAATTGACAACTTTCATCATCACCTAAAATTCTATTCATCCCATTTAAAAATAAATTCTCCCTTGGTTTGAATCCATTATTTAAAACTTGAGTTAATAATAAAATTAATTCCTCGGGGAACCCATCATAATGACCAATTATTAAAAGTGTTTCAACAAGTGAAAACATAACAACCAAGCAAGAATTTGAACCGAATCCTATTTTGAAAATTTGAGTTAATTGACTAGATATAATTTCCAAGATTTTTTGAGTTAATACTTCATCATTACCACAATTCATAAACAATGATTCTAATAAATCTATGGAGAATATTAAGATCAAACTATTTATGAAATTTTTTTGAATTGCAGGAATCATAAATTTTTTTTGAATTAATGTTAAATCTTCTTGTTTTTTAATTATGAAAATATGATGAGTTATTAAATCCACTGTGAATAATATCAAATTTGTCATTGTCTCTGAAGTTATTGCACTTGGTCTAAATAATATAGTGGCATGTAATAATGATATTAAAAAGGGGATTGATAATTTTGAAGATTTGGAATCTTGGAAAATGGTTTGGATCAATAATGTTAAATTTTGTGAAAATTTTGTAATTAATAAATCTAATCTTAGTGTTTCATGTTTCTCAACCAAGTATTGTAAAATTGAAGTTGATATGGGTATTTTAGGATCAATTTTAAAAGAAGGATCTTGATCATTTTGGAAAGGTATCGATGATGTTATATGTGATAAAAAATCCATTGTGGTGTTTTGACAACCAATGATTGTATGGTTTAATATAGAATCCATAAATAATGAATTTTCATTGATTGTTCTAGGTGGTGCTAATTTAATTGTTGGTGGTTTTGGTTTAGGTATTGTGTTTGTTGATGTTGGTGGTGGTGGGATTATTGGTTCTGGTGTAATAGGTACTGATTGTTCCACGTCCTCCATTTGAGTATCTTCATTGATTCTCCTTTTCTTCCTAAGATTACTTAGGTTTTTAATTTCCACAGTAAGAAATTTTCTTTCATCTTCTAATCTTTGAACAGCATTCTCCAAGGCCATAATTTTATGATTACTTGTTTCTTTTTCACTTTGACCATTTTGTAATAATTCATCACGTTCATGAATCCTAGCTTTTTCCAGATCTGCAATCTTGGATCGAAGTACTGCAATTTCACCTTTTGCCACTAATAATTCTGGAAGCTGTTGAGATTCAGTAACATTATTTAAAGTTGGCCGCTGAGTATTTATATTCGAAGTTGGTTGAGTTGATTGTATTTGCTTTGGTGGCTTTAATGTTAGCGCTATGAAATCATCATCGTCATCAAATTCATCATCATCATCATCATCGAAATCATCAGCATCAAAGACCTGTGATAAATCCATAATCAAACCCTCTTTTTGGATTTGATTCTTGTTTATTTGATTGTTGATGTTTTTGTTTTTGATCTGTACTTTTTACAAGGTCAAATTGTTACGTAATCTTTTTTGGAAAAAAAAAATTTCAGAATGCGAAGAGCTGAGATGAGTACTTAAGTTATAGATTGATTTCAACTTAAACTATTGCTGAGGAGTGTTGATTATGACTGAATCCAAGAAGAAAGAAGTGTTGCCAGCGTCTTTGGTTCCAGAACAGCCTACTCCTTTGAACTCAAAGGACAAGGACACCAAACGTTTGATTGTTGTGCTTAGTGCAGCATGTTTAGAGACTCACAAGATTAGTTCAGGTCATGGTTCAGGTGGTCAAGATAAATATGCTTTGTTGAATTGTGATGATCATCAAGGTTTATTGAAAAAGATGGGACGTGATATTTCAGAAGCTAGACCAGATATTACCCATCAATGTTTATTAACATTATTAGATTCACCTATAAATAAAGCTGGTAAATTACAAGTTTATATTCAAACAGCAAGAGGAGTTTTAATAGAAGTTAATCCAAGTGTTCGTATTCCAAGAACTTTTAAAAGATTTTCAGGATTAATGGTTCAATTATTACATAAATTATCAATTAGAAGTGTTAATTCAGAGGAAAAATTATTAAAAGTTATTAAAAATCCAATAACGGATCATTTACCAATAAAATGTAAAAAAATTACATTATCATTTGATGCTAAATTGACAAGAGTACAAGATTATGTTGAGAAATTGGATCAAGATGAAAGTATTTGTGTTTTCGTTGGTGCAATGGCTAGAGGTAAAGATAATTTTGCAGATGAATTTGTTGATGAGAAGATTGGATTAAGTGATTATCCATTAAGTGCTTCCGTTGCCTGTTCTAAGTTCTGTCATGGATGTGAAGATGCGTGGGGGATATATTAGGTTGGAATAATATAAACATGGGATGTGTATAATAGAAGGTCATTAGTGGTACTAAAGGGCTGTTGTAGGCTGGGCTCTGCCTGGAGCTAGGCGGAAGGTCTGAGTTTTTTCTTGAAATCTGGGAAGGCTTTAGACGGAGAACAAGAGGGTTGGTGATACAAGTGTAACGATGGAGAGTGGTATTCGAAGGGTATGATATTACCATTGTACTATTATTACTATTACTATTGCTGTTACTACTCCTTACCTAGCTCCCTCTAGCTCTCTCTAGGCTGTTCCCTCTGATGTAATCTTACCCCGGACTCGCCTTTTTTGATCCGATTTGAAACGAACCATCGTCAGACGTTAATCGGTGATGGCTTGGTTTGATGGAGATGCTGTGTAAGTATATAAAGAGACAGTGCTTCTGCTCTTCCTTTCTTCTTTCTTACCCATCATCAATTAATCAATTAACTAATTAACAATGTGCTCAACAGCAATCTGTGGAATTTGCAACAAGAAGAGCTGGACAGGCTCAGGCAGCCATGTCGCCCAAGTCATGGAGTCTACACCTACAAAGTACTGGTAAGTGATCACAAGACTATAAAGGGCCTATAGCATACTAACAACACCAGGTGCACTTGCAGACACAACATCACAAACAACGACACTGACCAGCACTACCCTCCAAAAGCTGGTACTGGTCGTGGGAGTGCCTGTTTGAGCTTGTGAGAGAGCTACTCGGACTTTATCTTGAGTCAAGATGAGATCAAGAAGGAATCAACATCGCAGTCTGGGTTATAATGTTTGATCACATGAATCAGATTTATTCAATCCAGTGTGTATTTTTAGTGTGGATAGGCATGTCTTTTGTCTTTTGGGTATGGGAAAGGTTACTTATATAGTGGAATATTGAGATATACGAAATTATTGTTATGGTGAGTCACATTGTTGTAGTTTTCTAGTTATGTAGTTACGAAGTTCTAAAATGAACTCAACTTGATTCTTTCATTCCCCTTTTCGTTCATCCTGTTGATGTTGGTTAAGCGCTGAGGATTTGTATAGGCAGAATAAATCTGTCAATGGAATACGTGTCTATAATTACTATGGGCAAAATCAAAACAAACATAAACTAAACAACATCAACATCATCAACAGAAGCGCCATCGGCAAGCAACTTGACATGCTGAATCTGCTTGTATCCACCGAGACCTGACTATTTCACTGAAACACACCCTTATAGTCATTGTCCACCTCAAAATACAAGCTCTCGACGGTTTGAACCAGCCTAGTATGAGTGGTGTTTCATATTTGACCCATTCAAAACAAACATCAACAACACCATGAAACCCTTGGAAAAACCCATATATCAACATCAATGTGTCAAATTCAATCATTTATCCCAAACAGCATATCCCTAAGGAACTAACACAAAATGTCATCAACTCCATATTTACAACTCAAAGATCGAATATCTCAAGCATGGTTAAATAAATACACCATTTTATTAACACTTATTGCCCTGAAACTACTATTATTTCAACAATCATTAAATTCTTCATTGAACACTTCCAAACTATACACTTTAGAATCATGTCCCACAATAGATTCTTATGTATCAAATCTAGTTTCATTCCCTCATTATATTGCAAAATCTTCAAATTTCCTAATATTGAAAACTATTGAAGAAATTAATGAAAAAACATTAGAAACACTGGGTTTAATTGTCACGGGTACTGAAAATATCATAATATTTGCCTTGGAAATGATTGTGGGCACTTATGCATGTGTTTTAGTCTCCACTATTGACGGTGCTGTTGATGTGGCAGTAAATTCAACTGAAAGTATTATAGGTTGGGTTAATAACACTTTGGGTGATATAACAGATGATATTGAAGACGGGTTAACAGACATTTCAAAATTCTTAAATAAAGCTGTCAATGCAGCTGAAAAAGTTAAAGACTTTTTCGATGGTGATGATGATAATCAAGGTAATTCATCTTTATCTCATATCAATTTAACAGTTTCATCTTTAAGGAAACTACACATCCCAAGTTCAATAAATACAAAACTTGATTCCTTAAAAGATCATACCCCAAATTTTGATCAAGTTAAGAATAAAACTGAAACTTTAATAAGGACCCCATTTGAATTGATTAAAGATAAATTATCAAATACAACAGTCATGAGCACCAAGGATGATACACTTTATGTCCCTGAACTAGCCCAAGTCACTATATGCTCGGATAATTCTGACAAGATTAATGAATTTTATGATCATTTAGCAAAAGATATTGGAATAATGGTTAAGATATTTGTCATTTTATTAATCCTTGGTGCATTAATCGCACTGATACCAATTATTTATCAAGAATTTAGATTATGGACCAAGTTGAAATCCCTAGAATTGGATAATAACACAAAAGACCCAATTGAAATCTTTGAAAAAACTTTTAATAAATATCCAACTGCACTTGGGAGTTTTGCTTCTAAAACAGTTACAAATGATTTAAATTTTCAAATATCAATTAGATGGTTAGTCTCATATGTATTATCATCAAGAGCCATTATATTATTAGGAATAGCATTAGCAGGCATCCTAGCTGTTTGTTTACAATTCATCATTTTGCAAATCCTGACAAAATCAATCTCAAAAAACATGACAAGTTTTAATGAGATAACAAACGAAATAACTTCCAAAATCGATGACTCCATCACAACCTGGACAGATTCAACCAATGACTACCTACAGCAAAAACAAGACTCAATAAATGATGATGTTTTCTCATGGGTCAAGATCGCCACTGATGGTGTCAATGACACAATATCTTCATTCGTCACAGAGATGAATGAGGCAATAAGCGATGCCTTCAACGGCACGATCCTATACGCCCCTGTCAAGACTATTGTTGGGTGTGTTATTGAGGATAAGTTGATAAAGATTGAAAAAGGTTTGACTTGGATACATGATCATGCTGAGATTACATTACCTAGGGTGGATGATGATTATTTAACACAGGCTTGGAATAATAATGATACGAGTACAGGTGGTGGTGGTGATGTTATGGGGAAGGCATCGAATATGATTGATCAAACTGAAAATTTGATGAAGAAGATGCTCAAGACATTAATTGAACAATATAAAAAAAGTTTGAAATTTGAACTTTATATATCATTGGCATTATTGGGTCTTTGGGGTTTACAATTCATTATTGGGCTGATCATATTGTATTTTAAAAACGGTGCACCAATATGGGGTGGTGGGTTGAAACAAAATGAAAAATTGAATATAAGTTATCCAAAAGAATTGACTAAAGAAGAACAACAATTATATGGGTATCCATTAACTGGGAACTTAAAAGTGATGAATTTAAACCCATTTAATGATTCAAATGTGATCAAAAATCCATTTCAAGATCCTTCCAAAGTTGATGAAAAATTGGATATTGAAAATGATAGTAAATCAACATTAACTACTGAAAAATTACATACAGTGATTAATCCATTTGATGAGTTTGAAAGTGAATCAATGAGTAGGGTATTGACAAGGTTTGATGATGATGAGGAAAATGATTTAACATTTAATGGTAAGAAAAATGATTGGTGATTTCTTTTAGAATAAGAGGGAATAATATAGATTTGTTGTTTGTTTTCAAGATGCGTAGAGTATTTTTGAGGAATGTATATTGAACATTGAGCACTGCAGACAACGATATATTATGTATCTAATGTGTACTTATGAAATGCTAAAATAATGTGCAAAATCACCGAGGACTCAGTATATGGCTAATTCATAAAGAGATAATTCAGAAATGTAATTATGTATGAACTAAAAAAAAAGGCCATTTTTGTATAATTATTATTCATAATTGTACTAGTTATTTTTATAATAATATTTAGATGTGGAATTCACTTATATAATAAGCTATTCCTGATACTTTTCTTGATCATGACGACGTCGACAGCCTATTGGTAAATCGATTTTAAGGTGAATGGTAAACTAGCTGAAGAGCTCATGAGGGTGAAAGCTTAGTGGAGCTTGAAATTGTGGTATAATGGGAATTGATAATAATTTATAATATTTAAAAGAATATTTTCATAAAAATATGCATGTTAAATTTTTTCTAATTTTTATAATTAAGCATCTCAAACTTTTAATATTAACTTGAATTTTCTAATGATCAAATAGTGAAAAAACAAAATACATTCAAATTAGCTTATGAAACTCACAAAATACAACTAGCAGTAATTTAAGAACATTCAATTAATAAAAATAATATTATTGCTAACAAACTTTTGCTCTAATTGAACAAATACTATATATCTGCCAAAGAATCACGGGTCAATAAGACGCTATCACCTCAGAAACGGTTGTCAAAAGACACCAATTAAAGACGTGAAATTCTATGAGAAGTTGATTGAAGAAAACAGATCATTAATTTAGCTCTTTAAAAGCTTACTACTTTATGAATTTAAGTTTTTTATAAAACTCCTCATCCATTTTACACACTTTAACGTTTTCGCTTTAAGTTAGGCGAGGCGTGGCCGTGTTCAATATTTACTTTTTCTGGCTTTTGTTTACTTTTTTTGTTTATACTTTCAAGAAAAAAAAACCATGGCGTTGATCAAGACTGGAGGCAGCCAAAAAATAAAGTGTTGATCCAAAGAAAAACTTCAAATCAAAACACAACACAAGATACCATTCTCAACATTGAGGACACTGCTTTCTTATCTCCTTCAGTCACCAGCTCTCCTTTTGTTGTTATTGTCTTCATAGCATGTTGATATAAGAAAAAGCAGCCAAAAAAAAAGGATCACTCAACAATACAATAAATCAGAACATGATCCAACAAGAACAGTGCACTGGGGCCACCATTCCAGTGCTGGATTCAATAACTGATAGATTGCTCAAGAAATCAAATAATGCAATAGGCAAAATAGAAGAAAATATAAAACTCACCAGTTCGTTGAGAAATTCTAATTCACTTATATCTCAGATTGATACAAAGATAGATGGATTGACCAGTAACTTACAACAATATCAATTCTACCTTTCACAATTGAACTCATTACTCATAAGGAGTGAATTCTTTGAAGCTCAGCTTAATATGTTGGAAGCACATAATAAGTTAAATTCCCTCAGATCATCAAATGGTATGCCTAGTCTGAATGATTGGAAAGATGAAGATTTAAATTGGAGAACAACAGAAGCTACTTTGAGAAACTTGTACTTGGAGTATCAATATTTGACTAAACAAATGGAACAATTATCTGATCCTCAATCATTCAATTCATTTATCATTTCACAACATGATCAACAACATCAACAAGAACCAGAGCCACAACAACTACACCAACCAACACTTCAAGATAAAATGGATAATCAATATGCAAACCTCAAACCAATTAGAATTGTTTCCAAAAGGGAAAGAAGAAGATCAATGGATTATTCAAAGAAGAAGCCAATTGCTCAAATACCAAACCTATTGAAACACAAGAACCAACAAGAACTGCCCACACCTGATACAACTTTTGATAAATCTTTCAACTATTCAATTGATAATGAAACTGCTATTTATGACACAGTATTACCTTCCAATCTGACAACCAATAACCAACCAACATCGAGAAGAAATTCGCATAATAAGCATACAAGATGTGCTTCATTACCGGAATCAATTGTTTCAAGCATGCTGGATACTGTTAGATTCACACTGAGTGATGATGGACTAGCCCATGAGACAAAGAAAGATAGAAAATTCAACCTAAGACATTTTATCTCTCATGAAACTGGGTTGAAAACAAAATGTATTCATGATGAAGAAGATGAGGATGTTAAAGACTCGGAATTCCTGCATTCACCAGTATCAATCAAACTTGAATCATATTTGAAGGAACATGTCAATAGAGAAGAGCCTTCAAAAGTTTCAGAAGAGGATATTCTCATAGAACCACATGAAGAAGAAGTGACGGTGTTTGAACATAAATTGAATAGATCAAATTCATGTGATAGTATCTTTTCCATGATGAAACCAGAACCATTAATTCCAAGAGATAATACACAACAAACAATGAGCTGGATGAAACAATTTGCCAAACCACAAAGCTCATATGCCAAAGAATCTAACGTCACCACCATATCCATCAACAATCTTTCATCTTCAATTTCATCTCCAAGTAGACAAGCATTATCCAATTTGGTTACTCAAAATACAACAAATGCATCTATTCAAAAACCTCAAAATAAATTCCCATTTCTTTTTGCTGCAAAGAGATCATCACCATTAGCTGCTCCCGCAACCACCACTACAACTACAGCAGTATCTGAACAATCTGCCACCGTGAGTTCCATACCAGCATCAGTTAAAAGACAATTATCAGTGGATGACTCTTCGTCATACCATTCATTTGAATCATCATATTCTGACTCTCAACAGCACAAGCAATGGTCATTATTACTCAACAAGTTCAAACCGAAAAACTTGATGCCATCACATAGTCTTGTGACATCAGAGGTTGGCAAACCAATAGCACAAGCTCAACCAATACCCATATCATCAACAGGTTCTAACCCTATCCATATGCATAATCATTCAAAAACTTTAGGCGCTGAAAAGATTAAAGGAAGTTTTTCAACATTGACAATAGGTCCTAATCGCTCAAAAATTGTGCAACATGGAGAATCATCAACATTAGGTCAAAGTTTAGTTGTTAGTTCCAAAATCAGTCATGCTGCTTTGAGAGATGCTATTGACAGTGACTTTATCTTCAATTAGCACAAGCTTCAACTTTAACTAATCATGTGCATCAGTATAGATTGTTTTTGTTCTCATCATCATTTTGCTATTTAACTTGCTTTTATTTTGCTTTTTACTCTTCTTTTCATTCATATATATAACTTTTTTGGCGCGATAAATTGGACTTTTTTTACACTACATATCTTAATAAATTAATCATCAAAACAAACATGCAAATATTATAGAATACTAATGTACAAATTATAAATTAACAACTTAACCCAAATCATAATCATCATTCAAAATTTCCCAAATCCAATCCTTTTAATCTATTTCTTTTCTTCATTGTTCTTTCAACTCTACGTACTTTCAAAACCCTAGTATCCTGGGATTTAGCTTGTGTAACCTTTGTTGGAACTTTAGTGCTTGAGTTATTCTTACCAAAAGACATAATGGAAGCTTTTGAACTAGTAGCAGCTTTATAAGCAGTTGAGACTGTAACCTCATTACTGTTCTTGAAGGAATCATTACTATTTGATTGAAACGATTTCATAATCTTTGATGGCATTTTGAAAAATTTCTCTGGTGATTGATCACTATCATTTGTTAAATCAACAGTTGATTTTCTTTGTGGTGTTGTTTCTGGGAATTTGATTATGGATCTTTGTTTCAAAGTTGACATATCTTCAGTGAAATCATCATCATCATCAATGAAACCATGTTGATGAGCAGCAATTATTGAATTTCTTTCAACTTCATCTTGTTCTTCATCTCTTAAAAATGATAAAGTCTTTTGAACATAAGCTTCTGTAAGTTTCATTTTTCTTTTCTTTGCAGGTGCTGCGGTTGATGGATCTTGAAAATCTGCCTTTGTAATTTCTGGTTTATCATTAAATGGATCATCTTCTTTCTCTTCATCGTCTGATCCCTCATTATCATTATCAGTTACATTGCCAAAGACATCATTAGCAGCATTTTGAGAATCTTCTGCAATACTTTCAAAGAAAGCTTTTGATTTAGCATCTTTGGATAATTTAGCAAGGTTACCATCTTCCAAAATCTTAGCTCTCATTCTTTCATTTCTTATTCTGTTGTAGTTTTGCAAAACTTGATCTTCTTCATCAGAGAATTCTAACTCAACACCATTTCTAGCACCTCTTTTTCTAAATCCACCGTTATTAACATCATTCAAGATCTTGTGAAGCATTTTTTCATCATTTTGCAAGTTTTCATTAGCAATTAATTGAGCAATTTGAGATTCATTAAGTTTCAATTTTGAATAATCATCCAACATCTTTTCATCTTCAGAATTTTCTTCATCCGATCTTTCACCATCAATACCACCAATACCTTGCCATTCATCTTCAGATTCTTCAGCTTCATTCTCCATGATCTTGTCAAGACCTTTTCTTTTCATTTCTTGTTTTTTACGTTTAGCTTCCAAATCACGTTGACGAATCTTCTTTCTCATTAGTTCAACTTGTCTTCTTCTTTCCATCATTTGTTCTTCAGTTTCTTCATCATCCTCATCATCTTCATCAGAATGATTGACTAGTTTCTTTTGTGGCTTTTTGAACAATCTTCTTTTAGCTGGCTTGACTTCATCTTCATCTTCATCTTCATCAGCATCATTATCTTCTTGTGCAGGGTCTTTAGCTGTAGCTTCACATGAATCACGAGGAATGGAATCAGCTAGTGTTGCAATGGAGTCCTTTTGTGTAGAAAATGCTTGTGTTGGAGGTTCAATTTCCGAAAACTGAGTAGATGGTTCATCAAAGTTTATTTCTTGCTTTTGAGAGTTAAATGAGTATGTAAATGATTTTTCTTTCAAAGAGCTTTCAACGAATGATTCTTCACCAATAATTTGGTTACCATTGTTCCTCAATTGATCAAATATATTGACAGTCTTTGAACCACCGTTGACTTTTGGCGATTCAGTTTCAAATGCCTGTGTCATTGTAATACCAAGCATATTATTCAGCTTTTGAGTACCACCAAAGTTGAGACCTTCAAGCTTTTGAGAGAAATTACCTCCAAATGATCCCAAATTAATGTTCAATTCACTTTTATCTTGTTCAAGTTTTGATTTTAGTTCATCTCTGGAAGCTTCTGATTCTTCAGCCTCATCATCATCATCACTTACAAGTCCTTTCACTCTAAGTTTTCTATGGATTGGTGCAATTTCCTCCTCTTCATCATCGTCTTCCTCATTGTTTTCCTCTGCATCATCATCTTCATCTTCGTCATCATCTTCTGCACCATCACTGTCAGGAACTGCATCGAAATCATCTTCATCGGAATATTCTTCTTCATCAAATTCTTCACCATTTTCTTCAGCTTTCTTTCTTAGCCTTTCAATTTCTTGTTCCTTCTCACGAGTACGATTAGCAGCAGCAATATATCTATCCAATAATTTATCAACAGCTTCTTGTTCAGTTGCCACTTCCTCAAGAGCAAGCTTGTGCGATTCTTCATTTGCATGTGTTCTTTTCTTCAATTGAAGTCTTGATTTTTCTTTCAATTGACGTATAAGTTGGGCCTGTGAAACAGCCTTTTTCTTTTGAGCTTTCAATTTGCTTAGTGTTTGTTTACTGAACTTGCTTTTCACTTCCAATCTGGTGACTTTTGATGGAACAACTTCTTCATCATCTTCAGAGTCGGAGTCCAATTCAATAACATCACCATTATTAGAAGTATTTTCCTTGTTGAATGGAGTCTTCAGTACAAATTTTTGTTGTTCTTTTTCTTTCATCTTTTTAACCTTATCTTCATTAAAGAAATCTGTAACTTGAAAATCATCTTCCTCATCTGAAGATTCAGACAAAACAACATCATTATTCCCAAATTCTTGCTTGACTTTTTGAGGTGATCCTGAGATTGGTGAAGTTATTGGACTTGATTTCTCCTTTGCAGGGCTTGAAGTTGGATTCAAGGGGTTATTAATACCGAATGCAGCGAATAATGAGTTCTTGTCAAATGTCTTCACCACTTTTTCTTCATGTTGAAGTTGTTCACTCAGATATTCTTTTTGATCTTCCAGCAATTGTTTTTCATAGTCAGCTTTAGATTTTCTATCAGGTTTGATCGTAGAGACTGAGACATCACCATCTTCATTATCATATTCATCGTCATTGACTGGATCCTCCAAGCTTTTGTAGTCTCCGAGTTCCTTCTGATTTTTATCTCTTTCTTGTTGTTCACGTAGTAATCTTTCTGCACGTTTCTTCGCAACTAAAGCTTCAATTTTCTCTAATCTGGACTGTGTTGCATTACTTTCTTCAACTTTTGATTCATTTTCAATTTCTTCTTCAGCATCAGACTCCACAAATAACTTGTTGATTCTTTTGTGCTTGGCCTTTATAGCATCCTCATCGTCATCCTCACCATCATCGTCGTTTTCATCATCATCTTTTTGATGCTCATCTCCAACCTGTTCATTAGCATCTTCATCTTGACTAGTTTCAAATTTTTGAGTCATGTCTTCTTCCAGATTACCAAGCTTGAAAGATGGTGATGGACTGACACTTTGTTCTAATTGTTTGATGGATGATTCTGGAATCACTTGAGTTGGTAGTTCAATTTGGGTCTGGTTTGAAGACTCTTCAATTTTCTGAGTCTGGCTGGGTAGCTCACCCAATTGTGAATTATTGATCTCTTCAGCTTCAGACTCTTGGTTAAAGTTATCTTGTTCGATTTGTTGAGTCATTTCATCTTCACCATTTTCATCTGAAATCTTCTGCGTTGGATCTTCTGCCTCGTCTTCCTTTGGTTCACCATTTAGTCTTCTTTTCACCTTATCAAGCAACGAGCTGGCAGATCCAAATAGACCAGCAACTGATGGAGCACTTGGTACTTTCACTGAATCTTTTGGTGTATTTAAAATGGAGCTATTTGAGACGTCAAAAGCACTTAAAACAGGAGGAACAGATCTATTTGATTCACTATCATCAGCACTTTCTGTATTCTCATCTATCCTTATATCAATATTCTTTTTGAAAGTCCTAGATCTCATAGGACCCACGTCCAAATCATCTAAAAGATCCATTGGGCTTTACAAGAGTACCTCTATTTGATATTGCAAATGTTTTTAGTTGAAAAGTGAAATAGTAAAGACGCGCTTCTAAAATGTTTGTACCTTTACAATTCAAAATTCGCGAAACAAACGCGCTTTTGATTAGATAATCAAGTATTGCACGTGACCAACCATTTTGGTCAGGGCCTGCACACTTTTTTGGAAAGTTCAACATCAAAACAATTGAATTCTTGTACAGATGGCTTCAGTTTGAGCATTAAAACTCATCAACAACCACAGCTCAACTTTTGGCTGAGGGCATCATTTTATTATGCCATCCTATGATCATCCAAGTGTCGCCGCCAGTACACCTGGATCTTTTGGAAGAAGAGGCTTTGGTTTCAGTTCACAGCGGAATTACAAGGTTGCACACCAGAAGATCTCAATAGATGTTGATTTGGAAAACAATGCTATCCATGGGTCCACAGAGCTAATAGTGATACCAACTGAACCCATACTTAAGCAGATCCAACTTGACTGTCGCCAACTTGAAGTTCATGATGTGTTTGTCAATAATAGAAGAGCAGTTTTTAGTTACGATGATCCACTTCACTCTGAATACTCTGACTTCGTCAACCATGATAGTAACCCAATATTCAATGATATAAGTCAGCATCATTTCTATAAAAATAAATTTGAAAAGATGTATTCTGGTGAAAATACAGAAGAATTGACAATTTCCATGCCAGAAAAGTTAAAGTTGTCCCTTCATGATCCAACCACAATCCATTCACTCACACCAAGCTATAAAGACTCCCCAGGCAGTCACAAAATGTCTACTGCCACAGACGCTGTGTATACACCTGTCAATGTCAAGATTGAATACAGCTTGAAGAATCCAAGAACAGGGCTGGCATTTGTTGGTGGTAAAGGTTCACAGATAAGTAAATCCGAATGGCATGCATATACAGTGAATTCAGACTATGGTGTCAGTACATCTTCTTGGGTGCCATGTGTTGACAGTCTTTGGGAAAAATCAACTTGGGAGTTAGAAATAAGTGTTCCAAGAACAATTAAAGACATTGGTGTAACAAGGCTAATAGGATCTGCAAACACAGAACCTGAAGATGATGAAGACGGAGATGAAAGCAATGATATTGTTGTTGTTGGTGGTGATTTTAGCAACCAGAAAGAGAGTGCTCATCCTATAGATATGGCCAAGAAGCTGGTTTCATATTCCATATTTAATCCGACTGCTGCTCAGCATATTGGTTGGTCAGTTGGTCCTTACGTTCAAGTACCTTTGATTAATCTACAAGAGGAGGAGGAACCTGAGCTGATGGAAGAGAAAGATACAACTGCTGTTCCAGCCTCTATTTATTGTCTTCCTTCCCAAAAAGATGATGTTGTCAACACAACAATTTTCCTATACAAAGCTATTGATTTTTATTCAAGAGAATTTGGTTCATTTCCATTTACTAGTTATGCATTGGTTTTTGTTTCAGATATAGATGCAGATGTTTGTGGGTTTGCTGGACTCTCAATCTTGAGTAAAAGATTGGTTTACGCCCCAAATGTTATTGAGCCAATTTATACCAGCACTTATGCTTTGAGCGTTGCTCTTTCTGAACAGTGGTCTGGAATTAATGTCACTCCAAAGACCTTTAATGATTCATGGGTCACCATAGGTATTGCTCATTATATGGCACAACAATTTATAAAAAAGCTTATGGGGTCAAATGAATATAAATACAGAATCAAGAAGCAAGCTGATAAAGTCTGTGATGAGGATATTGGTAAAAGACCTTTGGCAGAACCGTTTTTACAATTTCCTGTTTCAACGCACGACTTCAAATTCATTGAACTAAAAGCTCCTATTGTGTTATTCATTTTAGATAGACGTATGACTAAAACAGACAAGTCATTTGGTCTTTCAAGAGTTATTCCAAAGATTTTTTTACAAGCAATGTCTGGTGACTTAGCTAATGGTTGCGTTGGAACTAATCACTTTCAACATGTTTGTGAAAAAGTTAATCATAATCGTTTGGATTCATTCTTTAGACAATGGGTCTATGGTTCTGGTGTTCCAATTTTTAGAGTCACTCAAAGGTTCAACAAAAAGAGAATGTTTATTGAAATGGGAATAAGGCAAGTTCAACATCAAGAAACAGCAAAAATACACCCATCTCCAGAATCGTTCATTACTGAAGCTAGAAGAGATCAAGAAGGTGCATATGCTCCGTCTTCTCCAACATTATTTACTGGGCCAATGACTATTCGTATTCATGAAGCTGATGGTACGCCATATGAACATATTGTTGATCTAAAAGAAGGGTTTACTAAACTTGACATACAATACAATACAAAATATAAACGTCTCAAAAGGAGTCAAAAGCAACAGAAGAGTGACAAAGAGAGAAATGAAGTTGATGAGGAAGAAACTGTCCTGTTACATTGTCTTGGTGATATTCTGCAATCAGAGCAAGAGATTCAAGATTGGGATTTAACTGAATGGACTAAAGAAGAGGAGGAAAAGATGAATAACGAAGCATTTGAATGGATCAGAGTTGACGCAGATTTCGAATGGATTTGTAAAATCCATATCAATCAACCTGATTATATGTATGCATCACAATTACAACAAGATCGAGATGTTGAAGCTCAATTGGAATCAATCAATTATTTCCAGACTGCTAATCCAAACACATTATATTCAAGTATCTTATTGAGAACCTTGTTGGATTCCCGTTATTACTATGGTGTACGGGTTGAAGCTGCTCTGGGTATTGCTAAGTTCGCCAAGGAGAAATCAAATTGGATAGGTACAAAGCATCTACTTACTGCTTTTAAAAGACTTTTTTGCTTTGAAAACTCAACCATCCCAGTGCCTAATGATTTTTCAGATTTTGCGTCATATTTTTTGAAAAAGGCTATTTCTGAAGCTTTATCAACAATCAGAGATCAAAACAGTGACTGTCCAATAGCTATTAAAAGATTTTTATTAGACATGTTGAAGTTCAATGATAATCTGAATAATCCATATTCAGACTCTTTTTATGTTGGTCATTTGATAACTTGTCTTGTGAATTCAATTTGTGCGAATGCTTTGAATGATAGTGTATCGAAGTTGAATGATGTTGATAAAGACTTTTTAGTCGATGCTATTTCTGAGATTTCAAGACATCAAAAAATGGATGAGTGGATTCCGTCTTATAATTCACTTGTTGGTGTGACGGCATTCAAAGAAAAGCTGAAATTGGCAAGAAGAGGGTTGTTTACTATTGATCCTGATGATTTGTTTGAACATACCAGGTCTAATTATTATGAAGATGTTAGAGTTACTGCGTTTGAAGGTTTGTTCCAATCTGGTGGCTTAAAAAACTCTGAGATATTACGTTATTTCTTCTTGTTGGCCACTTTTGAGAAGTCTCCATATATTAGATACAAACTTATCAGAGCGTTTGCTCATTCATTTGGAACTGTTATAATTGATGGAAGCTCCATTGATTTGGACGAAGAAGAGCTGAATCATGACATTGAAATAGAGAAGAAAACAAGAGAGACTGATACTGGTATGGTGGTCATTGATGAGGGTGCTGAAGATCAATTCAACTCTAGAAAAGATACATTTGCAAAAGCAACTCTTAAAGGTGCTGTTGATCTACTTAGAAGGGATTACAGCAAGTTCGAGCCTTTAAGAAAAGAGCTATGGAATGCTTTAAGAATACCTCTATTGAGCGTTTCTGAAAAGAGAACTTTATTTGATGTTGTTTCTGTGCTAGTTCCTGCTTATGATTTCCTCATATCCAAATTCCAAATTCCTAGACAAAAGAATTTGGTTGCCCAAAATCTTGGTAATGGTAAAATTTTACTAAAGAGAGAGGGTCATTTCAAGATAAACCTTACAAAGAAGTTGGCAATCAATCCGAAGACTCCAGCTCCTACTCACTCAAGAAATAAATCAATCACCAAACCTATAATCAAATTGACCACAAAGAGTCCAGATGTTCCTGCTTCCACCTCAAAGCCATTCAAAGCTGAAATTAGACATTCAGAAACTGGCCCATTACGTTATGTCAAAATTAGTGCAAAAAAGAAGGCTATTGTTGTCTCATCTGATCCACTAAGACGTTCAAAGAAATCTTCAAGTGCCTTGACAAAGGAGAAACCTGTTGAAACGAAAAAAGCATCCAGACCAAAGATCATTATCAAACCAACATCTGCACCAAAACCTCCACCTCCACAAGAATCATTTTCACCGCCAACAAGCAATGAAGGAAAACCTAAGCTTAAGCTGAAGTTTAAATTTTAGCTATTAATGACCGTTACTATTTAAAAAAGTTTTAATGAAATGTATTATAACTACGAGACTTTTGATGTAATATCTATCATTAAAGAATGTTTTAAATATACACATATGCTTGTATATATGAATGCTTAATATATGGGGTACATGAATCAACTGTAAATACCTTGAGTCAACAATTGGAATTGGTCATATAGTCTTGTGTAGATACTTCCAATACTTTTACCAATCAATACATTTTCAACAAATGCGTCACATTCAGTTTCTGATAAATGTAATTGGAATCTTTGTTTTAATTGAACACTTGTTTGAGGACCAGCTTTGAAACAAGGTAACTGACTATCTTTTTGCATTAATTCAACCATAGTAACTAATGAATCTGCATTTTTTCTCAATGCCTTGAAAGATTCTTTAGTTAAATCTTTAAATTTTTGGAATGGAGCACCGTCAAGACCACCTAACAATTCAACGTACTCTAAAGTTAATTTGAAAGGAGCAGCTTCGAAACCAACAGAACCTGGTGAATTTGATAACAAGAAACCAAAATCAATATGAATGATGTGACCTTCATTATCCAGCATGATGTTACCATTATGACGATCTTTGATCTGTAATAAATAACAGATGACTGAATAAGCTGCAAGACTGCTTGCAAAAGCATCTTGGGCCCTTCTATATTTAGCTGATTTCGGATCCCCAAAAGTACGTTCAAAATGTTCAGTTAAAGTACTGATTGTTCCCTTTGGATTTTCACCACCCTCTATAGAAAGTTTTGTTAATGCCTTTTTAATCGAATGGATGGATAACGCATTTGTGATTGTTTCAACAAGACCTGTATTTGCACTTGTGATCAAGATTCTCATACGTTTAACCCAAACAGGAACATTTGTAGTCTTCCAAATAGTTGCCATTGCTTGAATAACTTGAGATGCAAAAGCCTCTTGTCTTAGATCATCACCAGTTTTAGCAATAACTGAACATAGTTCCCAATTGTCCAAATGACCATAGATACTTGTTTTACGGATTCTCTCCCTTTTGGTTTGCCAATCTTCACCTAGATAAGCAGTTGAATTTTTACCAGAAACACCACCTAATTTTAAATCATTTTCTAATTTACGCTCACCAGCAGCACCATGAATAGCTTCTAAATCTTTATAACCGAAATGATCTTGTAATGATTGCATGGAGGAAATGATTCTGGCCTTGATAGCAGTAGATTGATCAACAGGTAATGTATTTGTGGTACTGTCCAATTGTGACAACATAACTGCAGCGATTCTCATTTGTGTAGCCAAATCTGAAGTATCAACATTATCAGAATTCATATTAAAATTGTTATAATTTGCACTGAAGTTCAAATCTGTATTACGTTCTTCTTCATTATCAATAATTGGAACATTTGTTGCAGATGCAATCAACATTTCGTTTTGGAAATTATCAGTTTCATTTCTGTTTGAAATATGAACTACTGATAAATCACCCAGATCTGTTTCTTTTGGTCTTTCATCAAAATAACTAGTTGGTGGAGGAGATACTTGAGTTGATGAAGTTTGTATACCTAGGTCAAAAATATATGAATTGTTTGGTTTTTCATGCAATAATTTATTATTTTCACCAGTTGATGGATCAAAATCCAATTCATCACTTAAATATTCAATCAATAACAAGAACGGCACTCTTTCAGCAGAGTTCAAAACAGCAGCTTCATTAGCAGCAATATGAACAATCTTGTGTAATTTACCGCGTCTATTTGGTGGTAGTAAAGTTGGGATATCAACTTCTGCAGGTAAATCTCTATTTAATAATGATAATTCAGCACGCAATGAAGATAAACGAGCTTCTTGTGGGACTTGACTTAATCTAACTGAAATTGATTGTAATGCAATGGCAAATTGAGTTTCACATCTAAAATAATTTGATTTCAACAGTTTTATCTTTGCTGGGGTAGTCATTAATGCTGGCGAAATATTTCTCATATTGGCACCATGATGAGATGTTCTTGATGATTGACGACCACGTTTTGAGATTCTATCAGGAGATGAAGTGATTGAACCTTGAGGGGATGAAGGACCAGTATTTGCACGTTGTAATTCAGGCATTGACATTGAATTATGTTCATTATCAAAATTATGACCAAATGTTGGGGAAGATGCAGTGGATAAGTCATTACCTTGTTCATAAAATGCAGAATTAGCTCTCAATAAATCTTTTGTTAACTTATGTCTTTTATCTTGAGCAACAACGTTTTCTGTATAGGAATCTATTAGTGCAAAGTCATAGTTTAGTTCTTCTTTCCTTTGTTCTGTTGGTGATTTTTTTCTATAACTTTCATCAGTTGAAGATTTACGAATAGTATCATAAGTAACACCACCAGCTTGAGATGAAGATCTTGAATTTGCAGAGTTTGTGAGGGTATTTTTCAATGTCAAGTTGTCAGTTAATTTTGATTTGAAATTTTTAACTAATTCAAAAACAAATGATTTTTGCTTTTTACCTTGAGATTTAGCAACAGGACCGATAAATTCACTTAATTGAGGTAATCCAATACTAGCAGCAATAGCAGAAGTTAACACAACACTTGGTGCAATGTTTTCTCTGAATTTCTTGGAAGGTGGAGACCCAATGTTGAAAAGGATATATTGTAGATTGTTTAACACTCTTCTTGCACTTTGAAAGCTATGTGAATTTGGATTATCAGCTAAATCAGTCAAATGAGCTTGTAAATACCAAAATGTTAGCAATGTGAAATGAGGATGTTGTGTACTTAATTCCAACATTAAATCTTCTAAAGCCATGGATTCAGTTTCCACTGTAACCAATATTTGACATAATTGAGGAATGAAGAATTGTAAATCTTCAATCTTGTAACTTCTCAATTTTTGACAAAGATGATGATGGATCCCAATGTTTGAAGCATATCTTGTTAGGTAGGCAATGCACATGAAGAGACTAAAGTGTTGAGATTCAATGAATCTCAATAAAAGGGCGTTACCACTTTGATCCATAGTGGATGTTTGTTTATTATTTTGTTATGTTTCTATTTTTCCTCTTTTGCTTTTGTTATGAAACGAACTGCTCAATAAAGTTGCACCATCTATTGTTTAATTTGTTTGAGTTTCTTAGATTTCTATGATTGATCTTGCTTAATGAATTTGGATGAAATGTGAAATTGTACGGGATCAAAAGCTTTCATGTTATTGTTTTCATTTTGAAAACCAGTTGTTCACTTTTTTTTTCGGTGAATTTTTGCGCGAAATTCGGCAGTAAAAAGCCTGTACCTAACCGCGACAGTATTACTAAAAATAGACACTTCAAAGTGTCAATTGGCAGAATAATTTACGCAAAATTATAAAGAACGATAAAATCATTGTATAAATGCTATTAAAATTACTCTATTCATCTGAATGTTTAGACTTCTTCTTTTTCTTCTTTTTCTTTTCACCATCTTCATCATCATTATCTTCACTTGATCTTTTCTTTGATTTTTTAGACTTTTTCTCTTTCAAAAGTGGATTCTCATAAGTATCTTCTTCAGGTGCCACATAATCTTTAGCTCTTTCCTCTTCTCTTGTGATTTTATGTTCTTCTTGCATTTCCTTTTTGGCATCCAATTCCTTAACTCTTTTCTCTTTTTTACTAAGGAAATATTCACCACTTTCAATTTGTAAATCAATCTTTCTAGGTAATTGAGCAGGTGGGAATGGAGTGTAAACTTTCTTTTCCTTCTTCTTTTCCATATCGTCACGAACTTGTTTAGGTTTCTTTCTAGCGACATTTCTCTTTTTGAATTGTGGCAAAAATCTACTCCAATCCTCATTAGCTAATTCAGGATTTTTCCGTAATTCTCTTTTAATCATCAATTCTTTAATATGATAAATTGGATGAATGTTCTTCATACAATCCTCCACAACTCTTCTAACTTCTTTTAAACCTTTGAAAGGACCCATTGCACTCACAGTATGACCTTGAACTAATATATAACATTCAGTCAATAATTCTAAAGCTTTTAAAGTTTGACCACTTGGACCAACTAATCTTTGTCTTCTTTTCTTAAATCTATCTTTATTAGTCACGAAATTACCAATTTTGATAACATCACATGCAATATCATCTCTAAGGATGTTAACAGCTTGAGGAAATGGAACTGAACGAGCCAATAATTTGATTAAATCTCTAGCTTTTAAAATGATTGCAGGATCAAAAGTTTTTCTTGTAGTTTTCACAGTCATTGAACCTTCCACCAAATCTAGCGTACATGCTATATGATGTTTATCTAAAGCTTTTGTAACATCTGGCCAAATTTGCTTCAAATAAATTTCACGATATTTTGGAAATAATGTCATAAATGAAGACTCTTCTGCAAATGGTAAACCTGAAATGTTATCTTCAGGTTTAAATTCATCGATTTTCCATTTATCAATGTCTGGGGTGTCCCAAGGTTTGTCTCTATTATGTGTTGAAGGCATTTTCTATGTGGTTTGAATGTAAATTTACAATGCTCTCTAGTTATTTGAACTTGTGCTTAGATTTTTTTTGTAGATGAGCTAGAAAAAAATTTCTGATGGCGCCGGTGACCAAAACCATTTCCCAAAACAGAAGCTGCCGAATTCAGACCAAATTTTAAAAAATTTATGTCAAAAAAAAAAAAGGTTTCTCTAAATCAAATCAACATTATAATCGAACTGATAATACTACCAAGAACTCATCGAACCCTTAATCAAAATGGCTAAACCAAGTAAAGGAATCAAAAAGAAATCATCCAAAACCTCATCCAAAATACTAAAGAAGAACTCAAAATCTACATCTTCAAAAGTTGATAAACTGGATTCTAAAATTGATGTATCTGAAATCACTTTACTACAATTAAACCAATCAAATGACGAAAAGAAAAAGTCAATCTTGGATCATAAAAGCTTAAAGAAGGACCACGATAAAGATGTCGAGACTAAAGAGAATGAGAAAAAGAATGAAGGAGATTTGATGAAACAGTTGGAACTTATTGGATTCAAAGCATAAAAACAGCTTGATAATACAAATACATTTTCACTTATCACTGATGTCATTCTGAAACACACCCTCACCAATCAGATACAGGGGAATTGTGCCAGAATGATCATTAATAAAGGGGCTGACTGATACAGTTTTATTTGATTAGAATCTGATTTGTGCTCATCAACTTTTGGCTGTGGTTTGAAGCCCCGAGTATACCTCTGTGTCCCCTACCGCATATTTTAATTCCACGGGAACTAAACAGAGGCCATTGTGTATAAGCATGTTGAAATTGGTGTCAAAACACTTATCTAGTTGCATACAATCTCCTGTAGCATAAACACAATCAAAATCCTCTACACAAACACCTGTTAGTTACACAATCCTCTAAACATGTTTATTCTGCTGATTGCCTCGATGGTTCCGTGAAAATTTTTTCAATCACATGCCAGAAAATCCTGGCTCCAGCCCAATCAGAATCGAGTATTCCTCGAGCAAAGCACAATTATCGTTACAGCTACGCTACAACTCTCGTTTTCTATCACAAACTGTTCAAAACAATTTGAAAGGTCTTTAATCCTTCTGTCAATCTTCATCGTCTTTCAAGCTGATTTAAATCCTCGTGATTAATTGTTTCTCAAGAGTATACTCAACGGGCTTATCTTTTTTACTCAAAGCAGAAATATCTTCAAGCTTATCTATCATCACATCTCCACCAAAACTACAACAAAGAATAACTATCAAATCACAAAAGCAAGGTACTGCCAAATCAGAGCCGTTAATTTACTGCTGCTGCTTACAACAAAATTTTTTTGCTTGATTCGTCGTTCGACAAACTACACAACTCATATACATATAAATACAACCATTAATGTCCCAAAGTTTAAAAAACCGTTTGATATCAACTTTGAAACAAAATACTTCTTCAAACTCAATATCCAAGATGTCAGATAGTGAGAAACTCAAATCTGTCAATATAGATGCTGATTCAGCTTCAGTGCAAACAGGCTCACAAATGAATGTTGATGACTTGAAACTTGCTGAACATGGTTATAAACCTGAATTACGTCGTAACTTTTCCATCTGGTCCTTATTGGGTGTTGGATTTGGTTTGACAAACTCGTGGTTTGGAATTTCAGCTTCATTAGTTGCTGGTATTTCATCTGGTGGTCCATTGTTGATCGTATATGGTATCATTGTTGTTGCTTGCATGTCATCATGTATTGGTATTTCGTTAAGTGAATTGACTTCAGCTTTTCCTGAAAACTCAGGTGGTCAATACTATTGGACTTTCCAACTAGCTCCAAAGCAATACAAGAGATTCTGGGCTTACATGTGCGGTTCCTATGCTTGGTTTGGTGCAATTTTCACTTCTGCGTCAACTACTTTATCTGTCGCTTCTGCTATTGTTGGAATGTACGTTTTGGGAACTGGTGATCCAAATAGAGAGGTCCAAAGATGGGAAGTGTTTGTTTGTTTTGAAATTATGAATGCGTTCTTGATTATTTTCAACGTTTGGGATAAGCCATTACCTTATATTTCATCTGTTGCTTTATGGACTTCAATTTCTTCATTTGTTGTCATTACCATCACCGTTTTGATTTGTTCAAGAGGTCATTACCAAACAGCTTCGTTCGTCTTCGTGGAGTTCAACAATGCTACAGGCTGGTCTTCTAAAGCAATTGCTTTTATCATTGGTCTTCAAGTGAGTATTTTTTTTTTTGATTTTTTTTGACTTTCCAACATGGAATATACTTAAGGAAGAGCATACTAACATTCAAAACCGTCTCCAAATTGGGCCTTCTCATGTTTAGATGCGAGTTGTCACATGACTGAAGAGATCGCTAGTCCAGAGAGAGAGATTCCAAAAGCTATTATGTCAACTGTTGCCATCGGTTTTGTAAGTATTTTTTTTCACAAAATTACCAAAAATGAAGTTACTAACACCAAATTTAAAGGCAACAAGTCTGATCTATTCTATATCCATGTTTTTCTCTATCACAGATTTGAGCGCTATCTTAGCCTCAAATACTGGTGTTCCAATCTTGGATATCTTTGATCAAGCTTTGAAGAATAGACATGGTGCCTTATTTTTAGAATCTTTGGTTATTTTAACAGGTTTTGGTTGTACAATTGCTGCTCAAACATGGCAAGCTCGTTTGTGTTGGTCTTTCTCCCGTGATCAAGGTTTACCAGGCTCAAGATATTGGTCTAGAGTCAATTCCAAGACAAACCTACCCATTAATGCTAACTTGATATCAGTAGCGTGTAGTGCGTTGATTGGATGCATTTATATGGGGTCAACAACTGCCTACAATGCCATGGTGACAGGTTGTATCACATTTTTGTTGCTTTCATATGCCATTCCAATTTGCTGCTTGTTGTATAAAGGAAGATCAAATATTAAACATGGTCCATTTTGGTTAGGTAAATTTGGTTTTGCTGCTAATATTCTTACTCTTTGTTGGACTGTTTTTGCAATTGTTTTTTTCTGTTTCCCATATACCATTCCAGTGACAAAAGGTGATATGAATTATGCTTCTGTTGTTCTTGTTGGGTTTACTATTTATGCTATTATCTACTGGTTTGCTAGGGGTAATAAGGTGTTTGCAAAGAATCATGATATTGAAAAAGAAGTTGAACAAGATCTTTTGAAATAGAGTGGTCTGTCATTGAGTTTCATCTACAGTTGTGTTTTTCATATGTAATCATTTAGTTATATACTACATTCATTAGAGTTAATTTATAGATCGTACTATTTATTTGTTCCCTTGTAGACATAATTCAGGTATAACACCTCTACCTTCATTTATATAATTATTTATATCTTGGTACAACACTTCACCATTTTGATTACACTTCTCTGCAAGACACCAACCATCAGTATGTCTAGCCAAGATTCTAATATACTCACCAACTTTAATACTCAATTCATCAGCCAAATTTCTTTCATAACTCTTGATAACCATATAGACTTTATCATTCTTGTATTTAGCAAAATCAACTTTTGGTGTAGTTGGAATCATTCTCTCCATAACAATTTGTTCTAACCCTGCAAGACTCTTGATTGATGATTCAGTAGAGCTTTGGGGAACTTTAGGCAATGGTTTAGATTTCTTCTTGTTCTTCAATTTGGATGGATGTTGTAATATAATTTCACGTCTTGTTGTATCAGCTCTAACAACCTGTTGCTTAATACTACCATTTGGGCTTGATTCAATAGAATGGAAAGAATGATCATGTCCACCATATGATTTTTCTGGGAAACTTGGTAAAATTGGAGATTTTTCATTAAATTCATCATTTGATTGTTTTTTCAAATTAAATTCACGTAATACTGGTGTCTTTGGTGAAAAGATCCCCGTGCTTAAGCTTGCTCTGCTTGACATTGCACTTTTACTCATATTGTTGAACCATTTATGAATAGGTGTTGCCCATTTAGTACTGTTATCATAACCCTGTGGGATTTCTTTTATAGAGGGAACTTTTGAATTATGAGTTGTTGGAACAATAGTGGATGATTGATTATCAAAATTTGATCTATAGAATTGATCACCTGGTTGAGTTTTCAATTGATAAACAGTTTTCAAATTATAAGGTGATGTGGATTCATTCAATGGACTTATTCTATAATTGTACTTATCATCATAAAATCTTTGTAATTTAGCATCTTGACTATGAGCATAATTTTTCCTATACCTTAAATAAAAATAAAAGGCAACAATTATCAATACACTAGCTATTATAGCAACTGGAATACCTATAGCCATACCAATCTTGGGATTTGAACCATTTGAGGCACTTGTACCTTGTGTTAAAAGATTATTACCAAAATTTATATGAGATGAGCTTGGTTTTGATGAAGATGCAGATGAAGTTGTTGTTGATGATGAAGTGATTGTTGAAACTGTTGTCCCTGGATTAGCTGCCTTACCAGCAAATGTTATGCCATTGTCACCGTTTACAGGGATTGATGTTTGGATACTCAAGTCTAATACACCTTTAACAATTGCAGTTTGAGTTGATGTTAATGTTGAAGTGATTGTTGTGGAAAGTTCTGTTATTATTGTAGTTGTCATGGTTTATTGGAGTTCAATTAGAACCTTAAGAAGACCAAGTCAAAAAGAGAACATGAAATGAATATATATCATGATGACTTTATTAACTCACTTGATTCTTGATCTGCATTTGTATCTTAAGGTTTCATAAATGTTATACAACTTCAACATTTCAATTTTCAATCTTCATCAATGTTTCATAATTTGGTTACCGCACGCAAGCTCCATAGAATTTCCAAATTTGGGTCTAAATCATGATACATGGAACTCTGGAAAGCCTGAAAATGAGTTTGAATTGAATGGGGATGCTTCTAGTATTGAATAGGGGGCTTGCTCGTTAAAATAATAGGAAATGAGCAACTTATCGGGGGCTGGATCTCGACTAAACCTGATTCACAGCAGGTTTTGTTTGGAGAGAAATGAATCAAGCAAAAGGAGATACAGAGCACTTTGAAACACTCCAATTTTGGAAGATAATAAAAATGGTAAGATATCATCATAGAATATACACTTTTGAAGTTAGTATGATATATCAATTCTTAATAATTTCAAAGTTTATGACTATGTGTCCCTTAACAATTTAAGATCTGCAGAGAGTTCAACGACTTTTTATTTTTCAAGTTCTGGTTGTATAGTGTAGTGGTTATCACCTTCGGTTTTGATCCGGATAACCCCGGTTCGAATCCGGGTACGACCTTTTTTTGCAAATCTCAAATGGGATGGTTTGACCAAAGAACAAGTGGTTAATGCTGCCAAATATAAACTCAAAGTGATTCATCAGAAATATGGTTTTAAAGACTACAAACGATTATGAAAATCAACTGCTAGAACAACTTGAGATGAAGTTGAAGTTGGATAAAGATCTAGAATAGAGAGATGGTGGGGATTAGGTACAATACCCCTACGGTATTACAAAGATTTATTGAAACTCCCGTTTTGAAACTTTTGGATTGTTTATTTTGACTTTTGACTTTATTAAGAAGGTTGCTCTATAAGGAAAGAAAGAAGGATAGAGCTATAAAATTGAGCTATTGATTAATATTGGAAATTTATTTGGAACAGTGTCATATTGGAATTATTATATTGAAAGTTGAAGTGTAAAAGTGTATAAGATTTTAGAATAAAGTAACTTTACCATT